TGATTTTAATATTTATGTACAAAATATCTTTTCATCTTTTGTTAATATAAATTTAGGTAATTTTCTTATTTTTTAATTATTTAATAAGTATTCAACCGATTTAATTTTACAAATTTAATTGGTTAAAAAATAAAAAGAGAAACTATTACTTTAAAGTAATTTTTAATTTTACTGATTATAAAAAACAACTAGTGCCTGTGGTTTAATATTACTTTATCATTAAAAATTAGGGAGAAACAACTATTGCTTTAATATTTTGATACTTTATATTATGAAACTTTATATTATAAAAATTTAAAAGAATTCGCAAAATAGAAAAAAAATTTTATAAGATAAAAAAATTAATAACTAAGGCATCATTTGTTGTAGTTGACTATTTTTAGTTTTTTATTTATTAGAAACATAAAGCATATTTTAATTTTTGGTCATTTATCTTTTCAAAACTTTTTTTTTTAAATTAGTTTTTTTTTTCTTTTGGTTCATGATATGAAAAATTTTTCAATTATTAAATCTCTCCCGTTAAAGATTTTATTTAATAATAAAAATTTTAAAAATTTAAAATTTGAAAAAAAATAATTAAAAATATTTTATAATTTAATTTTTAAATTTCAAAGTTACAATACGTATAAAATCAATCGAATAAAAATATAATATTCAAGTATTATAATAAATAAATAATACAAAATGGCATTAGAAAATAACAATAAATATAAAGATAATGCTAAATAGGGAAAAGATAGAAAAATATAATTTTAATAAAAAAGAAAACTATCTACTTGTATTTTTTTGCATAAATAATTGCATTAAATTTGAATAGATAGAGAAAATAATAACAATAATAACAATAATAATAATACCTTATTAAGGATAAATCTTATAAAAAATTAAAAATTAAAAAATATAAGATTAAAAACAGAAAATACAGTTACATAAACTACTATTTGTGATTTCATAAAATTTATTTTTTGTTTTAAAAACAGTTTTTTTAAAGGTAAAGAAAAGAAAAATTAAACAAATTTAAACAAACAAGTTTTGTTTATTTGTTAAGAAAAAAAATAAAAAATTTAAGCGCAACAAACAGCACCAAAATAACTTAAAGAAAAAACATATTTATAATAAAAGAATTCAATAACTAAATAACTTCTTAAGAAAAGAATATATTTATAATAAAAATATTATTATAATTTGACAATTATGTTTTCATGAAAATAAAATTAATTATGAACCAATTTAATTTTTGTATACAATATAGTATATATCATAATCTGTCTATATTATTAAAATATAAAATATCGATATTAATTATTATAATAATTAATATATTGATCACTATTTTAGAGTATCATATATCATTTTAGTTTTTTTTTTTTTTTTTTTTTTTGTTTTCTTGAAAATTTCTTTCAAACGTGATATATATGGTTTGTCACTATAAATATGTTATGTCATAAATTTTATACTTGTTATATTTATAATTATATATATATAGTTTTGAAGCAGACGTTTTAATTTTGCTATTTTTGTATATTCAAGTTCATTAATTTTTATACCTATTTTTTTAATTTTAAAATTATTTTATTATTATTATAATAAGTTTATTTTAGAAATAATTGTATATCAAGTCATAAATTTTATAACATATTTTTTAATAAAATTTATTTTTATATAATAAGTTACTTGTAGGAAATAATTGTAAAATTAATTAAATTAAAGATTTATCAAAAATAATAATTAAACATATTATATTCTTGCCATATTTAATATGCATCTTATACACTATAAAATAATCAACCAAAACTAAAATACCTTTATTTTTTTAACCAATGAAATTAAAATCCTTAAAAATATTACATTCTTATCATATTGAATATAAAACTTATTTAATGTAAATTTTTTAGTTTTATCTAATCATATTTATATTTAAATAGGAAACTAATATAACAAGTCAAATTCAAAATGCCTTTTTTTCCGTCAATAAAATTAAAATCCTAAAAGTATTATATCCTTACCATATTAATATATAACCTATATAGTATATAATATAATTTCTTATTTTAGAATTTAGGTTTAAATAGGAAATTAATGTGACCAATCAAAATTAAATTACTTTTATTTTGTAACAAATAAAATTGGAATGACCTAATACATAGATTTGACCTTGAAACTCTGGCCAATTATCCTTGGAGCCTCTTTACGAGGGTTCAACATTACCCTACACTTTCAATCAAAATAATTATGCACATCACTAAAATGAAATATCTTTTTAGAAATTTAATTATAATTTTACACTTTCATATTTTATTTTGACGAGATACATAATTATTTTTGAAATGTGAAAGTGCATGATAATGACGAATTCCCTATAAAGTTCAGGAACCACAAGGATAATCACTGAAATTACAAGGTCAAATTATGCATTAGGTCAAATTAAAATCCTTAATGATATTTTTGCCAATTCATAAACTTAACATGAACATTTTTGGCAATCTCAATGTTCTCCCACCCATTTTCGCTAATATATATATAATTATTAGTCTAAATTATAGTAATACATTAGAGATGGATAAACTTATACTCAATTTGCAAATTTACAAAATTATACCAATAAAAATAGTTAAAAATTATAAAAAATTATACTAATTATGCATTAGGAGAATATTTTGTATATAAATATAAAAAAAAAATCACTATTTCTACTATGAAGAGGGAGATGATGTCACCAAATTTTGCAACTTCAAGAATACAATGGGTAGCTCGTAAAGTTAATAATGGAACAATTTTTTTCCCTAAATTATGAAAAAGAATTTATCCATTTCACCTTTAATGTTTGGTTATTTAGTATACACAATGATGACATCCATCCCTTTGGCATTCACTGCCATAATGCACGCACTTGGAAGCAATAGAAAATGAGCAAAATACACCTTGGAGTTTGCAAATTCAGGTGGGTTTGTAACTTTTCTATGCAACAACTATCTAAACTATATTCTAATTCAATAATTAATACACATCCTTTTTACTTTAATAAATTATTTATTGTAATTTTATTAGCAAGCCTTTAGGTTGCCATTCCAAAAATCTTTGATTATTTCATAATACTGAAGTGTTTTAAAATTTTTACGTGAAATTAAAAAAGTAATTAATTCTCTTAAATTATAATAAAATTAAAAATAATTTAATAAAATTAATTTTATCTCAAAATTAATAATAGTTTATGAATATAATTGTTATATTTAATAATATAAATAAGAGTAATATTAAAAAAATATAATTTATTGCTCTTTAAAATGCTCAAAATAATATATATTTTGAAATAAAATAATCACTTTAAAAATTAATATTTTGGGACGGGGATTAATTGTGATTATCTTTCTCCAATATTTCAACCACGTTTCCAAAACCTTTTATCAAAACCTCCATTTGGATCCGGATCCATGGCCTACCACACTAATCTAAACTGGTGTATTAAATTAAGAGATGGTTTAATTATATTCGGTATGTAGTTCTATCATATATCAAACCGATCAATAAAGATAGCTTTGAAAATATTTTTTTATTGAATAATCATAAATACATTTGTTTTAATTAAAAAATTTTTAATTTCCATTGATTTTGATACGAGTGGAACCATATACATAGTATATAAATAAATCTTTACTTAAATTAAGTGAGATGCCCTCTATGCAAGATTTTTTTTTAAAAAATTTTTTTTTTTATTTTTAGGATTTCTATGATGTAAATTTATTCATTATCCAACTCGTACAAATTTTAGTAATGGGCTTTTAACTTAACAGTAGCTACTCAAAAGCCGTCTTATCCATTTAATCTAGAACAAATCGTGGCCCAATTTTATGTTTATAATTTTTTTTTTTTCTTGTAAATTAAAATCTGTGTACAATATGAGCAGGTCTAACCTAACTTAAATAAGATGTTAACATTGACTACCATAATGGAGGAAGGTCAAATAAAATGAAAGACTGAAAATCAAAAAACAAAAATAATGCAAATACCAAATAGTATAGATATAACAAACACTATATGTAGATCGATAATTTTATAAATTGAAATACCAAAGAGATTTGGTTTATGTTGGTTATTCTGAGTTTCAGGAGTCTCTTTCGAAATTTAAATTTCAGATTCTCAAAACTTTTTATTAAAATTAAAGGAAAGGTTATTCTGTTATGTAATTCAAAATATTATTTTGATCTAGTGACCTCCAATAAAAAAAAATTAAAAAGAGAATAATTCGTAATTGAGTCAATTGAGCATAAGATAGAATGGTATAAAAAATCCTGTCGCTAATGAGCCTATGTAATGTTAATTCTCTATAGGTGGCCTTTTAAGTCTGCCGTCAAATCCCCGGGCTCAACCCTAGACAGGCGGTGGAAACTGCCAATTCGATAACAATCTAATTTTCTATAATAAAGACCGCAATAAATTTAACATCTCGGTTCCATGGTGTAGTGGTTAGCACTCTGGACTTTGAATCCAGCGACCTGGGTTCGACTCCCGGTGGGACCTTATTGGTTTTTATTATATTTGTTACTCTAATTTTTTCTATCGTTTTTTATTATATTTGTTACTCTAATTTTTTGAGCCCAACTCAAAACTAGTATGTTAGTGTATAAATTCATTCTTGAACTTTATAATTTTAATTATGTGAATTTATAAATTTTAGTAATATATTACATACATTTTACACTAATATCAATAATTTTAATAAATATTTAATGGATCTAATTTGCAAGTTAAAAATTGAAGTAAGTGTAACTTTATAAATTGAAGTGTTTAATGGGTTGAAATAAAGTTGAATTGTTACAAAATAATAGAGTTCATAGGTGAATTTATACATTCAACCCCCAATCCCGTATAAGCACATGTTTGGCCTCATCATGAAAACAAATCCATCAATTTGCTTTCTATGAATTCTTCAATAATTGATATTTTTCTTTAATCATGGAATCTAAAACTTCTTTGGCTCAATATTCTCAAAAAATAATTAGCACTAATCACATTCTTATATTGTAAAATTATAATTTTTGAAGACATTTGACTAGAGTAACAATATACTAAATGCTATTTATATTAAAAAATGAAAAGCTGATCAATTCCAAGTACATGATGTTGATCAAAACTTGCACAAAAATTTGGATCAACACTGTTCTTTTGCTATAAAAAAATGAACATGCACAACTCAAGACCTTAACCACCCTACCGATTTCCAGACAATGGCCAGCTATTGGAAAACCTGCTAACATTAGAGCCAGCACAAGAGTCCTAAAAACTGTATCCAATACTATGTTTATCTGTTCCTTAATCTACTTGTTCTGAAGTACTCTAGTTGATATACCTGCTGTTGCTATTGTTTTCTCTTATCTCTCCAACTCTCACCCCACAATTTTGCTTCTGCAACTGCTCGGTCTCTATCTAAATCTTTTTCCAAAACGGCTTCTGCTGCACTTGGAGAGAGATTAATCTCAGGCCATGACTTATTCGCCTTGTCCTTATCCGGTTCATATTTTCGCGACACCAAATATTCCATTGCCGATACTAAATCAGTCGATGAAGGGCGTAAATTTGCATTCTCATTCAGACAAATTGATGCTACCTCTATTGCCTTGTTTAATAGAGACATTGAGAATTGACGTCTTAGCAATGGATCTACTAATCTTACATAATTTCCGCGGTCTTTCATCAATGGAAGTGCCTGTACACACGCAAAAGAATATTTATATGTAACTGAAATGCCGAAAGCTAAAATTTATAGTTATTAGTGGATAATCATAGCAGTTATATGTCAGTAGCAGCAGCCATCAAGGGCCAAATGCTAATGATTACTGCTAATGGTTATCCACCAACAACAATCTGTATCAGTTATTATAATTTCATAACAGCATGTGATAGATAGATATTATACCCAATGAATTAGGTGCATTTGGCGACCTTCAATTTCATCTACTGCTTTTTTTCCGGTCACCAACTCTAACAAAACAACTCCAAAACTATAAATGTCAGTTTTCATAGATAATCTTCCAGTTGATGCATATTCAGGAGCACAGTAACCATATGTACCCATGACTCTTGTGGAGACATGAGATTTATCCCCTATTGGACCGAATTTCGCAAGTCCAAAATCTGAAAGTTTCGGGTGGAAACCTTTATCTAATAATATGTTTGAGGCTTTTAAGTCTCTGTATATTACTGGAGGATTTGCATTATGTAGATAATCTAATCCTTTTGCTGCCCCTGCAGCTATCTTCATTCTTGTATTCCAGTCAAGAGGCTCCATATCAGGTGTAACATCTGCATATATCCCATCAGATTATCCAATCAGGTACAACATTTTTAACACTATACCAAACAGACAATCATCCTATAATATCATTTGACAATACAATCACTAAATATATGGAATTCATTTTAAAACCAATTTTAATGAACTCTAATTAACATTTTCGTCTTTCAACATGGTACTTGTCTCCTTAGTAATTCAAACATATATAATTTGAATATGCAACCAGACACAGAGAAATTGAAAGTAGTACCAAAAAGATGATCTTCCAAAGATCCTAAAGGCAGGTGTTCATAAACAAGAAGGCGTTGTTCCCCTTCAGCACAAAAACCAATCAAATTAACAAGATTAGGATGATGCATAAGAGTGAGCATTAGAACTTCCACTAGGAACTCCTTTTCTCCTTGCAAACCTTCAAGATCTAATTGTTTAACAGCTACAACCTGTTAATTAATTATCATATTACAGTTCTTAATCCGCCAATTCACTCGAAAACCTCTAATTATAGACATAATTGTAAACTATTTTTAATTACCTGATTACTGCTTTCTAATATCCCTTTATAAACAGCACCAAAGCCACCTCTGCCAAGAAAAGATTCTTCTGCAAAATTATTTGTTGCAATTGCAAGCTCTTTATATGTAAATGTTGGAGCCGTATTGGAAGATCTATTCCTAGTTACTGGATTTGATGCTTCAAGCCTCGTATTCGAATTCACTTTTGATCCTGATTCTGCATTTACTATTCAACACATAACAACATATTAATTCTAACACGAAATCACAAGACAGTAAAAGAAAAATTATATCATAATCATCCTGGAGTAGACTTCAGCTGACAGCAAATTACATCATAAATTCATAGCTTCTCACATTTCAATGTTGTAAACTATGCAAAATTTATTCTGTACAAAAAATTTGAATAGCTAAGGTTAATTTACTTAAAGCACCCCTTCATCTACAGGAAAGTAATGCCTGCATGCTTCTAGCTTAGGATAGTCAGGATTCAAAATGACGATCCAATCAGAAACAAAACCCCAATAAAAATATATAACACATTGAAATTGAATTAACAATATATGAAAAAAAGAACAACACATTTATGCATCGCAAATGCTTAATTAACACTAGCAAGAGTCGATATCTATAATCAAGATTCACACAAACTGATCAACGACTCCAAAAGCAAAATAATATGAAGACTAATGTGTACTAAAACCTAAAACCTTACCTGAACCGTTAAAACACAAGTTTCTTGTGGCGGCACCAAGGAAACCAATGAACCCCCATAAAAAGCCATGAAATATAATTTATCTAATTCATTGCAGACACACAAACACACACATACATGAAAAGAGAGAATGGCTATAACATATATGAATAATTAAATAAATGGAGAAATAAAACTCACCGTAAGATTGTTGTTCTTTATTGTTAGTTTCACGCTGGAACCTTTTCCAATTCAACAAACAAAAACATGGGCAATAACCCATTTACAGAAACAAAGAAAATCTAGTAAAATGGGGAATGTATATTTTTGTGATCAGAATATTTATACAAATATAGATAAAAACGTGAAAAGAAAAAGTTTGAGAAAAGGTCGTTTGGTTTCTTAGAGAGTGCAGTTGATAGCTAATAAACCCTAAAAAGAAAGGGAAAAGATGATGAGGGGGAAAAAAAGAGAGAAAAAAAAAAAAAAACTATTAAGAAGATGAGGAGAAAGGGATAAGGAGAGAGTTTTAGGAATAGGGTTTCTAGCTAGTTAGGTTACAATATTTGATCAAAGGTCGTCTCTTTAAAAAAGTTTTTTCGTTAGAAATGAAACCCAAAAGAAAATCTTCGTCACAGACACTTTCATTTCATACATAATATAATAGAATCTAAAGCTTTTGTCTTTTACATTTCGTAAATGACGATGACGTGACCTCTCGCTTTTTGGATTTTGTTTTTAAATTTTTTGTCTTTATTCTCTCAATTGTTTTGAATTAGATTTTTCTTTATTTGGGATTTTGGATTCTAATACCAAAATTTTAAACAAAAATTATATTTCTATCCCTATATTTTCACATAATTAATTAATTTATCATTATTAAGAATTACATTATTTTATTCATATAAATTAAATCTTTTTGTTAATTATTTGAGATTTAAATTATTAATTATGTATACATATAAACTAAAAAGGGAAAAGTTACATTTTTATCCTTATATTTTGACATAATTAACTTATTTTTTTAGGGAAAATGCGGTAATATTATTAGTGAGAAATAATATCAACAATACGAGGAGGTGGGACAAAAGCATATCTTTTTTGACATAATTATTAAAATAGTTTTAATGGAATGAGACTAAACCTCAAGGATAAAACAACTATTTACCATGAAGAGACTACGCAGTAAATAGGGTTAAATCTCATGACTAAATAGTAGTTCACCCTTATAATTATAATTTATAAGGTGATAAGTAAAATTTATTTACAAATTAAATTAAAATTATTTTGACTTTTTTGAAACTGACCTTATTTAAATTAAAAGCTTATTGAATTAATAATTCTTAACGCAAGTTGATAACAATTTAAAATTAAATTTTCAAATTTGGAGAATTTGAGTCTTGTCATCTTAGTTGATATAAAGATGGAAATTACTTGATTCAATTTTTTTGAATTTTAATGTTGATGTGTTAAGATTTCCTTATCTTGAGTGCTATTTCCTTTCAAAAATTGAAAACTATTTATTTATATCAAGAAGGATAATCTTTTAAGTTTCCTATTTAACTTGAAGTTAATGTACATTTCTTATTAGGGCCTTAATTATTGTCATCAACATTAATCAATTTTATAACTTTGATTGCATTAAAAAAATTAATTTTAATTAGTTACAAAAATAATATAACATGAGTCATTTAATTAATTATAATGGAATAAACTATACTATTTAGTAATTAATATAATGAAATATTAGGAAAAAATTAAGTAAAAATTGTAGTTTAACTACAATATTAATTTATATGAAATTTAAATCAAGATTATATCTATAGGATAAAAGGAGCAATAATTTTTTAAAAAAATAATTATAATTCAATAATTTTTTAACCCTTTCTTTGGATGAAAGTATTTTTTTTCTAGAGGAATGAAAATGGTTGTGGAAAATATTTAGAGAAAAGTATTTTTCTTTGTTTGAAAAATGAGAGGAAAATATCAAACGAAATAACATTTCACTAATTTTCAACGCGGACACACATATTTTGAATCTCTCCAATTTGGAGAAAAAATAATAGAGAAAAATGAGATTTCACTTATTTTTATTAAATTATCCAAATGCCTAATTAATTAACAAGTTTTAACCATATCTTAAAGACTCTATTATTTAAGTAAGGACATAATACTCAATTTCAATAATAATATTTTAAGCACTCTAAAATTTTACTCCTCCAAACACAAGGGTGGAAAAATATATAACCATGGAAAGAAAGTTAACAATTTTTCATTATTTTCCTTTTCACCCTTCAATATTTTTCTTCCTCTTCACTCCAAATAAAGGGTATATGTATGCATAGCATTAGAAAATATAGAAAAATATCGAATTTTCATATTCTTCTCCAATCTATCTATTTATCTATATATCTTTTGTCTATATATATTCATATCATCATATGTATATATATATATATATATATCTATATCTGTATAAATATATAAAAGTCCAACCAAATTATTGTGAAACTTAATTTGTGATATGGAATTTTATTTTTTAAAAAATTTTTTATTTAATTATTTAATTTGAGTAAATCAAATTATAAAACTTTTCATTGTCTTTATTCAACAACTAACAACTATATAATAAATTTATTTCATTAATAAAAAACTCTTTATTTTCTTTATTTTGCATTAATTAATAATCCAAATAATGAAGATTCATAAAGGTTACATTATGGGAAAATAATTGTTTATATGTATAAAATTTACAAACCTTGTAAATATTTTAGGATATCCAAAAAAGGAATAACAAGAAAACAAAATGGAACAGAAAGAATATATTTTTTTTTTAGCTAGCCAACATGCGTAAACACATGCAATAAGAAAAGTCAATTACTTAGTTATTTCTCAGCTCAATCTTGCTGTTTTTTTTTTTTTTTTTTTTTAATATATTCCCCCCGTTTTTTAATTAGCTAGCCACACATGGCGTAAATCACACACACACTAGAGAAAGCCAATTACTTTACATTTATCCTTCCTCAGCGCTCAAATTCTTGCTCGTTTTTTTTGTTCTTTATTTTTTTTATATAACTAACCAATTCATCTCATAAATGAGTATTACCAGTTGGATATGTGATCAAAGTATATCGTATATAATTAGAACTTATAGCAAGTACAAATATCACCGAAACCATTGAAACCTACTTTTTATTTAAAAATGTTTTTAATGTTCTCGTGAGTATATCGCAGTGGCGCTCCCGTTGAGAAAATACGAAACCAACCCCGAGAACATTTGTCTCTACACTCATACCATCACCATTGCGTCACCCAACTCCGTGAGGACCCTCAGTTTTAAATTAATTTTAGAACTATTATTTAAGATTCCAAACTCCCACTCTCGAACACACACCCCATCCCTTCCGACAAAATCCTTAGTCAAGCCTAAAATAAGCCTTAATCTCATAGACTAATCTCTTGATTTCTCGAGCATGGTTGACATATAAGAAGATTTGGGTGGAAGGATTTTGGTGAACTCCTAAAATTTGCATCGCGCAAGTGTCCGCTAAATTGGGGCTTTAGCATCGATTCCAACTACACAGCACTCTCTTCTTAAAATTGGACACGCTCCATATTGAAGTTCTCCACGAAATTCTTGATCTCGTTAATTTATAAGTCTATAAATGGCCACCCAAGCTCTACTCCACACCCTTAATCTTGATTATTTCCATCTCACTCATCGCATGCGGCATAGTGCACCGGACGACGACACGTTCGCTTCCACACAAAAATCCCAAGCATTGTACAGTCTGACTACGTGCTCATGAGCGAGGCCATTAAAATTTTAAACCGACCTAAGCAAGAAGTTCGTTATCTCCCGGATAAAAAACACAGGTTAAATATATTGGAGCACAGTCGGTAGGAGCGCCATCTTTAAGAGCAGTCCTGTTCAAACACAACTTTATGTCGTTTAGCACTACCAAAAAAGAAAAAAACGGGTAACGAGCATATGAAGTTAAGGTTAAGGTAAGATATATATGCATTTCAACAAATTATAATTATGGCTTTTAGCTTTTTGAGACTATTAATATAAAATTTTGTATATTAATAAGTCCCTTCCAAATTTAGGAGGAGACAGCTCACTACTTTTGTTCTTATTAAGCTCACTTAGTGAAAAATGGAGAAAAATACGCCGTCCTACACCCCGCATCACAAGACCACATGAAACAATTTTCTGCCTTGAAAGACACCCCGCTGGACATAATCAATACCGCCTTACTCTTTCAATCGAGCTGAAAGCCTCGAAACTCTAAACGTTGATGAGGACTTGGGATGCTTATACCACCGCTCCATTCAGTACCACAACCTCAACATTTACATAATCACCAGAGAAAAGTGGTTAATTTCAGCCTCCATCAGACGTTTAAGCCAAACTTAGCATCAACGTTCACATTTTTGCTGTTCTGAGTACCATTATTAATTTAAAATTTCCACTTGTCCTATACTCTCGGTTGGGAAAGTCAAAAGTTTTTTATACTCATATTTTTACATGAATAAGACAAAAATTACGTCCGCGACCTAACCCACGCCACATCATTCAATCTTACTTCCTTTGCTTGTCTGGCCATCCAAAAACAGATTCGTAACTCAAGATCATGTGAAACCACATTACCAGATCTCTGGAAGTCGTTGCCATCAACTCAACTTCATCAATTACCGTATCACTCTAACCTCCTTGCAACACTTCCCATACAACGTAACCTAACCGGACAATGCGCCCAAATAAATCAAAACGAATCTTTCATCACAAAAAAAAAAAAAAAGGTAAAATAGAAGTTAAGTTAGGAAGATATATATGCATTTTCAAAAATATATTATTTGGCTTTTAGCTTTTGAAACTATTAATTAAAATTTTTATAATTAATAAGTCCTTCCATTTAAAAAAACTCAACTACTTTTCTATTAAGCACTTAGTGAAATGAGGAAAAATACCCTTATAAACTATGAAACAATTTTCTGCTTGAAAGAACCGCTGGAATACATACCCCTACTTATTAAGAGGTGAAAAGCCTGAAATTAAAGTTGATGGACTTGGATGTTTAAGTCCATCAGTACCTCAAAATTTAATAATCAAAGAGAAATGGTTATTTAGTCATGAGGTTTAACCAAATTAATCAATTCATTTTTGCTGTTTATCATTATTAATTAAATTTACTTTCCTCTTACTGTTTGGAAAGTAAAGTTTTTTATATTAATTTTACATGAAAAGACAAAAATATCCGCGACTACCCACCACATCATCATCTTCTTCTTTGCTTGTCTGCCATCAAAACAGATTCGTACTCCAAGATTCATTGACCACATTTACAGATTCTTGGAGTGTTGCCAATATCAATCTCATTACCTATCACTCTACCTTTGGCAACATTCCCATCAGTAACAACCGGACATGGCCAAAAAATCAAACTGAAGTCTTTCATCTCTACTCCATAATTCACAAGTTGACTCTTCACAACAAACCCATCAACAGAAACAGGGCTTGAACGAACCAAACTAACTTTTACCATCCTCTTCAAGAGAGGAATCCAAACTCCCCTCTCCTTCAAGCCCCGCCTTTTCCTCTTTCACCGTCACTATATAACCAGACCCACAATCTATTGGCTCCTTAAAGACTTGGATTAAAACTATCTATCATTGGTTTTGACTCAAAACAAGAGCCTTTATCAGTCATCTTCCTGTAACCCCGAAATAATCAATACTATCAAAAACTGATCTTTGCTTGCTCAATCTTCAAAAAATTACTTTATGGAGCAAAATCGAGAAAAGAATCAACGAAAGATAAATCAAAGAGCTCGGCATCTACAATTGGGTCTTGAAGGTTTTTGGATTTTGGAAGCTTATTGTGTTTTTCTTCGTCAACAATGGTGGGCTGAGGTACAAACCCATACCCCACAATCTCTGGGAAAATAAAATACAAAGCATTGTAGGGTGAAATTCATATTGCAGAAGGGGAAATGAAATCTCATAGCTACAAAAGAGAGATTAAAATGATAGAAATCAAATTTATATCAGCGACCGCTAATTAATATTGCCAAAAATAGCAGAGGTAAGTTGATTGATGTGGTCAATGCCAGGACTAAATAGTTATTTTCCCTATTGATAATTGAAATGCTGATTGTGTCATTATAAGGTACGTTTATTCTGACTTGGCAGCTGACATGGCAAGAGAGTAAGCCACGTTAATGTTCCAACTCAGCTTCTCTGCTGAAAATCCCAAATAGCCGCTCTATTCAGTTCCAAAAATGACCAAGAAAATCTACCGTACGAAGAAGCTCTTCCGGTTCTCTTACCAGCTTCAAGTTCAAAATTTCAAGAAAAGCTCTTAGCTACTTAACAGAGAGAAGAACAGGAAAAGAATAATGAGGTATTACCATGGATCCAGGTGGAGAAGGGTACTATCTATGCACTGTTTCCTTGTCGCGATTGCTGTTTTCTCTGGTGTTGGCTTATTAGTGCTTACGCTGAGACCCATTGATCCAAATCCTAACAACTCCTATTATCGGCTCCCGAAATTAAACAAATATGATGATCGAGGAGGAGGAGGTGGTCGAGATTCAAGCTCTGACTCTCTCAATGGTGTCGTTTTAGATGAAACGGAGGTTCATAGGGAGAGAAATGGAGGTTCAAAATCCTGCGCTACGGTTGATGAAATGGGCGAGAGTTTCAAGGGAAGCGTCTGGAAGGAGAGTCTACGAGTTAGAAGAATCATCCAGGAGCACTTCGCTGTTAACGGTAATTTTATTTTTTGTTTTTGTTTATTTTATTTCAATTGCTCGATTTTGTTTGGTTGTCGAGAAAATGTAGGAATTCATATAAATTAAGATTTTAAATTTGGATATCTGTTATAGATAAGGATTTAGCAATCCATTGTTCACTTGATTATAAAATGCTTTTTCAGTCTTATTTTGAACATTATTTTCAATTACAAATTGGTCAAAGAGAAGGAAATTTTGATGTTAAGGAAATCTTTCATTAGGTTTTTAGTTGCAGGTTCAATAACAATGGTATCTGGGAAAATTAACGCTTAGAAATTGGAAAACTGAAACTCTGAGTAAACCATTGCATTTTTATGTAGCGACAGCCAGTCGTGAAGAATCTATAGTTTATATTTTATTACGTAGTGTTTGATACAATTGAATATAGAATTCTATTCATTTGCATATGAATTTCATTAAAAAGATTCATTTGCAGACCAATTTTCATGTTTGGATTAAATCTAGAATTCATTCTGAATATATTAGTTTAGTAGCGTGTACTATTAATTAATTTTATTAGCTCAACCCTTGTTAAGTTTGGAGTTCAATTGCAAAATCTATCAATTGTGGTAGAATTTGACTGAAATATAGCAAATTTGATAGAACCAAAAATTTAGAATTACCAAACTAGAATTTCAAAGTTATATTACAGGTAACTGATTATAATAAATATTTGCTTGTACACCATAACCATTTTGGAGCATTAGATGAAGATTTTCATGTGAAAATGCTGGAGATCTTGGTTTTTACATCTGATTTAAGAATCTTCATTTGGAACTCCATGCATTGCTTGCATTCCAGTAAGAAAGGAAAAGAAAAATTGAAAACTGTTCTGCCTACATTACCAATAGCCATGAGCTTTTTGTAGGTGTTCATGGAAAAGTTTTTCCCATTCAGTGAATGTTTATGGGGGATGGGACTACATGTTTGGCTTTGTTTCAGGTGCTTCGATAATCAGACATCTTCCTCCAGAACAATTTTGCAAGCATGGTTTTGTCTTAGGGAAGGCATCAGAAGCAGGTTTTGGCAATGAAATGTACAAGATCTTAAATGCTGCAGCATTAAGCATAATGTTGAACCGGTCCCTGATCATTCGGCAGACCAGGCATATTGGTTCTTTCTCAAGCCTTCCAGTTTTCTGTTTAAATTACAGTGATAACTTATAGCATAGTCTTTTTCATCTAGGTTGTTACCTTTTTGCACCTTAGATGAGCTCAAGATGTAACATTGGTAGTTTACTTTTTGGTTAACTAAAAGGGCCTCAGAAACGATCCACATTGAAACACTCTCCAAAGTTGTGGTCCTCACAACAGAACCGAGCATTGCAGACATTTTGCCTTTTATTAGTACTGATTTGTTGCTTCACTTTTATTTGTCAGGGGTAAGTATCCTTTTGGTGATTTTATTTCTTACTCCAATCATTCTTTCACCTTGAATGAAGTCAAGCATCTGTGGAGAAAAAATGGCTGTGTAAAAAACTATGGAAGGCATCTGGTTATGAGGATTGATGATTTTGAGAAGCCAGCAAAAACAAATGTCCTCTGTAGCAACTGGAGGAAATGGGAACAACCTATCATATGGTATACTCAGAATTCTTCTGATATCTACATTACTCATTCTTGGTGTTATCTCTTATATTTAACTATACAGGCTTCAAAATACAACAGATGCTGTGGCCAGTCAATTTTTCTTGAAGAATGTATACCCTGAAATGAGAGTATCTGCTTCTAATTTATTTGGAGAACCAGAACAACTACAATCACGGCCTAATGTTTTTGGGGAGCTCATGAGAGTTCTTATCTCCCCTTCAGAAGATGTTATAGAAGCAGTCAATTGGGTTCTCGGTGGTGGGGCAGATCCTGACATTTCATTGCACATGCGGATGCTTATGAACAGGTAATGTTAGAAAATTGGTAGCAAATTCCACGCATATCTCGAAAAGATTATGGTTGCTAACATGCTTTTCTTTTGCTTCATCCTTTTATTTTCTGAGAGCTGAAAAAGAATACAAGATAGAAATTGAATGAAAACCTTTTAAGGGACAGTAAAAAAAAAAAAAAAAAACTGAAACAAAACTGAAAAACTGCATCAAAACAAAACAAATGGGATACATGCACTGATGTGGAGTAGTTGAAGCAAAAGATAGGGTTGCACATATGCATACCCAGAGAAGCATTCTGATACATTCACATATACACGGAGAAATATGTTAGAAGATGTACTTAAGATGCCATATGATGTCTGAGTACGCACAAAGGGTATGACTTGGACTGGTTACTGATTAGTGATGCAGGTTCTTGCGTCTTTTTTTCACAGGTCTGTGAGAGCTACACAGGCAGCATTGAACTGCATCCAAAAAGCCTTGCATAATTTACACCAAATATCAAGACCTAAGGTGGTTTTAGTATCAGATACCCCAGCTTTTGTGAAGAGTTTCCTTCCACAACTAAGTGAATTTGCAGAGGTAATTTACTTGCTACCAGATCATTGCTGTTAATACAATGCTTTCTCATGCCATGCAAATAATTATGTTCAATTGAGACCTTTATGGTTCACTGTTTAGGTTGATCTTTAATGCAAAGTTAGTTAGCAATACATGATTTTCTGCATAACTGCTGGTTGGGTTATTCTACATTCAAAATCAATTTTGAGTTACATACCAAAAAGAATCAAATTTAGTTAAATTTCAAAATCTAGTATTGTAGGATTGTTTATTGGATTCTAAATCAGTTGCTCTTACCAGGTTATTTATTTTGATTATAAACATTTCGAAGGAAATGTCTCTCGAAATGTTAATGCATCACACAACTTAGATTTTAGAGTGAAGGATTGGGGACCTGCACCAAGATGGGTTGCATTTGTAGATTTCTTTCTTGCATCACGTGCAAAAAACACAGTTATTTCTGGTGCTCACAGACGTGTCGGAACTACCTATGCACAATTAACAGCAGCACTGGCTGCAGCAAACCACCTAGGTATTTATATACTCTTATTTTTGCACATTTCATGTGTATTTTAGTGAAATGCCCAGAAACAGTTAATAACTTTATTTATTTATTTGCAGGGGAAAACTCCACTGATTCAAATTTTTCATTCTTAAGCAGTTTCCAAAGTAACTTGTTAAGGGATGGTTTAAAGTTGCAGATCGGTTGGGGGCATGTTTGGAATAGATTTGCTGGCCCTTTGAGCTGCCAGAATCAGTCCAATCAGTGTGCTTTCACACCGCTTCTCCCTCCAGCTTGGTGGGATGGTCTTTGGCAATCCCCAATTCCTCGGGATGTCCGCAGGCTAATGCAATTCGGCATCAAACTCTCTGGTTTTGGCACAGTTGATGAGGATCATCTTCGATCTTTCTGTAGTTCAAAGAAAACTACAATGAAGACGGTGTTGATTATATAAAACAGCAAAAGAAATAGGTTTCCGGAGAAAAAATCAAGATGGTCTACTGTCCCATGACCGGACGTTAAGGTGAGAATACGGGGGATTATTAGCATTTCGAGATGTTTGATGTGTTCATTATATTGAGAAGAGAGTGAAGAAAGAGAATCAAGTAACATTAATATGAAAAGTAAATCAAAGATATTTAATTTTCTTTCTAAAATATTTGTCCTCAATAAAGATTTTTTTTTTCTCTTTTATTTCTTCTCCTATTCATCCAAATAAAATACAAGTATTTCTCTTCCTTTTCTGTTATTATTTACTCCCTCTGTCTCGTTGTTTTCTTATTATTATTTATTTTTTGAATGTCTCAAAATGTTTGTAAAGTTTTTAAATTTACATATTTAAACAATTATTTTTCTCATAGTAACTTTTATTATTATTCATTGAACGAAAGACTTTTTAATATCTTAATGAGTTATTAAGGGTAAAGAATGGCAAAATAATTTTTATTGACTAAATTAGTAATATGCGTGTTTCGTTGAACCATGCAAACAAAATGAGATGGAGGACTACTCTTCCATCCTCCCTTTCCCTCCCATCTTACATCCATGCATACTTGTAACAAATTATCAGGTTTCAAACTCTTGAAAGAAAATCGTTGTATAAGAAAAGCTTTTATTCACCTGTTGAATTTCAGGTTTATAAGAAAAGTGTTTTAAGAAGTACGTGAACAAAATTGAGAATCCTATTGATAATTAGCTTAAATGGGGGAAAAAAAGAGAGAGAGAGAGAGAGAGATAAGAATACAATAAGGACAACTAAAAGAATATCATAATATTGACAGAGAAATATTTTAGAAATTAATAAAATTAAATTTCTTTGATTTGCTTCGTATTAATGTTACTCAATTCTCTTTCTCCACTCTCTTCTCAGTGTAATGAGCACATCAATCATCGTTAAATGCTAATGAGTTAGGCATGGTGGACCACCTTAATGTTAAAAATTAACTAGTAAGAGAAAGGAGGAGAAATACTTGTAATAGATATGGATGATTACGAGATGAATTTTAGTTGGATAAAAACTATATATATATATATATGTTTTTAGTGGTTTTGATGCAAAAGAAAAATTTGCAGAAGGTTGACAAAAAGAAAACTATAATTTCAACAATGGAATTACAACAATGCCGTGGATTAATAGAATTAAAATATAATTTCAATTCACTAAAATATTAGTGCATTATAATTAATTTTTTTTATATCTCATTTAATTATAAAATTATATGCATTTTTATTGAATATATTAAAATTTCATTAAAAAAAACAAATATTATATCAGCTAATCACAAAAAGAGCATATAATTTCACATTTCATTATATAAGAAAATTATTTAAATTAAAACAACACGAGTCATAATAATTTTTTTTAAAAAATTATCTATTCAAATCAATTTCAAAAATATAAAATTATACCATTTGCGTATTGCGTAATTACATAACTAGTTATTTAATGAAATGTTTTCCTTTTGTGGGTTGAAATTCGTACTGGAAGGGATTTTTACTTTTTTTTTTTTTAAATTATATGTGCATTATGGGAATTTCAATCTTGAAGTGAGGCATGGAGAAATATTTATTACTAATTTAATAAAAACCCTAAGAGAGAGAGAGAGCACAGCAACTTTATGGAGTAATATTAGTAATTACCGTTGCCAATTAGAAACGGATTCTGGATCCGTTTCTAAGTGGCCTTAGAAACACCCAACTAGATATGGATCATTTCCGTTTCTGAACCGTTTCTAAACCGAACTAACAACGATTTTCTGACTTTGGAACGGATATTCCGTTGCTATTTCCGTTTTTTCTTGTAGCAATTAGGCTTTGAATTGAAAATGAAAACCTTTCGAAAAGGCATCATTTTGATATATGCTTTGCAATATCCTTGAATTTAAATTTTAAAATTTTTGAATTAATTATAAAAATATGAAATTTAGAAGGGTAAATAAATTGAAAAATAAAATTTATGTCAAATCATTAAAATTTTTTAAACTATATTAATAATTATTGATATTTTTATTGCTACTAAATGAAATGAAAATATCATTTTTCTTATCCTCAAAAAAGTATCATTTTTTTTTTATAAATACAAGTGCAGCTATATTTATTAACAATATTAATCCAATTATTATTATTATTAAAGAGAAGAAAAATAAATGAATAAGTAGATAAAATATAAAACCAAAAAATGTGTTTAATTTGTGGTATAAGATCGCGATATATGGAGAAGATCCCAATTGGCTCATTTTGATCAAAAGCCAATCACAACATGAAGGAGAAAAAAAAAAAAAAAAAAAAAGTAAGTGCCTTGAAAACAATGAGACCCAACTAATATGGACATTATCCGTTTCTGAAAACCGTTTCTAAACCGGAACTAACAACGATTTTCTGACTCTTGGAACGGATCGATCCGTTGCTATTTAGTCACGTTTCTTACTTTGGTAGCGCAGAGATTCACGGCTTTGAGATTGCAAATGAAAAGCCTTCGACAAAGGCAATCAATTTTTGATTTATGCTCTTTGCAATATCACTTCGAATTTCAAATTTTAAAATTTTGAATTAATTATAAAAATATGAAAATTTAGAAGGTAAAAGTAAATTGACCAAATAAAATTTATGTCAAATCATTTAAAATTTTTTAAACTATATTCATAATTTTTTTTAAATTCGAAAAAAATTAATTTTGATTTTTTTAGTGATAAAAAATATGCCACCCCACCCAATTCTTTGACCCCTTACATGAAATGAAAATATCATTTTATCTTATCCTCAAAAAAGTAATCATTTTTTTTTATAGAATAACAGAGTGCAGCCTATAGTTTTATTAAACAATATTAATCCAATTATATTATATAAAAGAGAAGGAATAAATAAAAATGAATATAGTAAGATTAAAATATAAACCAAAAAATGCTGTTTTAATATGTGGTATAGTAACGCGAATATGATGGAGAAGATCCCAAGTATGGGACTCATAATGGATACAAAAGCAGTGTCATCTAAAGTACAATCTCAGTATACTCAATTCAAATATCGATCAAAAAAAAAAAAAAAAAAGAAACTAAAGAAGTGTAGAAAAATAGGGTGTGGTTATGCAATTCTTCACTTGATTGTTGATAACTGGAAGGACTGTCTGTAGTAAGTGTCACCGCTGGCACCGCTCGAAAGACTTGATAAGTTTATCGAACGAGTTCGAGCGAACTTTCATCAAATCAAATTCGAGTACTCACGAGCATTTTGATGTATTTATATTCCTACTAAAACTGTTTATTGAACGAGTTCGAGCGAACTTTCATCAAATCAAATTCGAGTACTCACGAGCATTTTGATGTATTTATATTCCTACTAAAACTGTTTATTGAACGAGTTCGAGCGAACTTTCATCAAATCTCTTGGTCGTGCTTAGCAAAATCCTCTGCAAAACTTCCTGTTTGGTTGTAGACATCGGTTGGATCAACATGGTAGAAAACAGGAATTACCTTTTGACCGAATTCGTCTTTGCATTGAAAGATCTTGACAACTTCATCCAAGCACCAAGGAGAAGATGCATAATTCTTTGAGAAAATAATCACAGAAATATGTGAATCTTCAATTGCTTTCAGAATTGCTGGCTCGATTTCTTCTCCTCTTTCAAGTCTATTGTCTATGAACGTTGGAATCCCTAGTCGATCATGCAGATTACCGTAGAGATGGCTAACAAAACTATGACGAGTGTCTGCACCTCGAAAACTAAGGAAAACATCGTATTTTATAGAACAGACTGAAGAAGAAGAAGCCATATTCAATTGCTTTTGGGTATATGCAGCTAGACATGGACTACATTTATTGTGGAGTTCTCTTGTAAAAGACAGCAAGAACAGAAAAGAAATAAACTAATTAAAAAAGAAAGCTCAGCTATGCAATTAGCAACTGCCAGGAAATTGCTTGAGTTTCTTTGTAATGCATACAAGTTGACTAATTGACTTGCAAAGCTTTTCACGAAAATAATGCTCTTCGTATAACTATTTCCTAATCTATCGAATTTCAAAACTATGTATCAATTTAATATTTACAGAAAAAGAATGTTATACTAAAATCACTAATTAAATTGATAGTTTAGTGTAATAGAAAAAGTACTCGTACCAGTAAGCAGTCAGCAAAAAATTGTTATATAAATAAACAATAATTTTTATTTTGCACAGTGACCACCAATTTAATTTGTGGTTTCAATACAAAATGAAAATTTTAGATTGTCAATTTGCCTTGTCACTAAAAAAAACACAATTTGTTTGGTGATTTTAGTGCAACTATGGAATGTGAAAAAAGTATATGCGGATACAGTGTTTTGTTAAGAATCTACCGAATTAATTAGTGTTTTCAATAAAAAAAATAATTATTCACTCAAAATATTTTTTCATCAAAATACATGTATGATCTTGTGGTTTTGGTTCACAATTATTTTAAGTTAAGTAAGAATAATATAAGTTTTCTTACACAGTTAAAAATTACTGAGAGCAATAAAGTGTTTCAAGTTGAACTTGTATGATGTTAAAAATTTCTTAATAACTAATACATGAAAAATTAATCATATTAATGTCTACCCACATGTCCTTTTGTACCATACTTTGAAGGCCTCCTATTACGAAGTGGATTTCAGTGTACTATATCTTCTCTAACATCTTGATATTTTTTTTCATGCTCAATATTTAAATCGACACTCATGCGAGGAGTTTGAACCACATTCACAAATGGTTGTTGTGGGCTAGGAACTGTTAGATGAGTCTGTTGCTCAGGTACCATCATCATCTCAAAGAAATTTTTAAATGAGTATCTAGCATGAGATGTAAATCCATCATGTGTGCCAAAAGACATCGCAAAAGTATTGAAAGCAGGTACTGTCTATTGAAATACCGTTGTCTCGCCTATTTCGGAGAAAGAAGTATGGGTTTGCTAGGTTGCCATCATTGGAGTGTAATGAATGTTCAGTGGCATTTCTAATGTTGCAGATGGTACACTCCACTCAGGTTGTGGTGCAGAAGATGATGTGTTGGACATATTCGCGCAATAACCTTTATAATAGTTATATGTCATAGGGGGAGAGACTTGAGATATATCGTCTACTGACGGGCCTTCAACTGCAATACGTCTAAATACCAATTTACATCTCTTTCACCTCTGTAGTTCTTTTGGTGTTTGAACACGAGGAAACTCTATAGATGGAGGGGCAGATTGAAGCATAGGAATAAATTTTGGTATGAATTTTTCATTCATTGCACTGAATAAGCTAAATAATCTTCAACAGAATGATGGATTTCTAAATGTTGGTGATGTTGAACTATGATATATATGTTGCAGCTCATTTTTCTGTAGTAAAAAAATATTATGAAAATAAGAGCAAACTTTATTATTCAATTAAATTAAGAAATTATAAGACAATATAAAAAGATACCGAATAATTACTAGAGCTTCAACTTCTACACCATGAAATGAAATCCAAAGTCTAATTCGATGCACATATCAAATGTATTATATGTGTGTTTTAGTGAAAAAAATATTTTGAGTGAATAAATATATTTTATTGAAACCACTAATTAATCTGATGGACTCTTAACAAAACACTATTTTTCCATGTACTTTTTGCTGATTTGTAGAGAAGTTCTTGGATATTTTTGCGGAAAGAATTGTAGAATATGAAACTGTCGATGAAGAGAAAGGGAAGAGGCGTCAAGTAGTAGAGGATGATTTGCCATTTCTTCGAGCTGTAAATCAAGTTGGGAAGCTGAAACAATATCTTGCTGAGTTTATTGCAGATCCAAATAATCGCACATTGGTTAATCACATTGGCGCAATTCATCAACGAGCAATGTCTTACTTGGAGGATGAATTTAGAGTTCTTCTTGAAGGCTACAGAAGCAACAATGAGGCATTATTAGAACAGCAACAACAGGAAGAACAACAAGGAGCAGATCGAAGCACACTTCCAGATTCTGATGATCTAACAAATGATAATGTTAATGAACGCATAGTACAAGATGATAATTTTTTAGGGTATGCTGACGATGTTCTTGCAAATTTGAACAGGATTGCTAATGAGATGATTACAGGAGGGTATGAATCAGAATGTTGTCAAGTCTATACAATTACAAGGAGGCGTGCATTTGATGAATGCTTAGACAGGATGGGATTTGAGAAGACAAGTATTGATGAAGTCCAAAAAATGCAATGGGAAGCATTAGAAAATGTTATTCCAGCTTGGATCAAGACGTTTAAGGACTGTGCCAATATTTACTTCAGTAAAGAACGCGATCTAGCCGAAGCTGTTTTCTCTGACTGCCCTTCGATATCTTCTTGCCTTTTCAGTAATCTCGTTCGAGGTGTTATGATTCAGCTTCTTAATTTCACTGAGGGTATTGCAATGGTTAAACGTTCTACGGAGAAGTTGTTTAAGTTTCTTGACATGTACGAAACTTTGCGCGACAGTATTACTGCCATGGATGGTCTGCTCCCTGAAGAATGTGAAATTGAGCTTAAAACAGAATTGAACATGGCTAAAACTAGAATTGGAGAGGCTACAATTAGTATTTTCTGTGAATTGGAGAATTCTATTAAGTCAGATACCGGGAAAACTCCGGTGCCTGGCGGTGCAGTTCATCCCTTGACTCGTTACACAATGAACTATTTAAAATATGCATGTGAGTATATGGCAACACTTGAGCAAGTGTTCAAGTTACATTCGAAGATTGAACGAGCTGATTCATCAAGCAGGTCAAATTTTGAAGGGGAGACTACTCAAGGATATAATCATAATCCTCCACCAGAAAACCGATCTCCATTTTCAGTTCAGATGATGGCAGTGATGGATTTATTGGAGTCAAATTTGGAAGCAAAGTCAAAGCTATATAGAGAAGTTGGATTAGGCTCCATTTTCATGATGAACAATGGACGCTACATATTACAAGAGATCAGAGGATCAGCAGAGATTCATCAAGTGGTGGGCGACACGTGGTGCCGAAAGAAGTCCTCAGATCTCAGGAATTATCATAAGAGTTATCAGAGAGATACATGGAGTAAGCTGTTGAGTTGTTTAGGGCAGGAGGGTTTGCAAGTGAATGGGAAAGTAGTGAAGCCAGTGCTGAAAGAGAAGTTTAAGAACTTTAATTTGATGTTTGATGAAATACATAGGACTCAAAGCACGTGGGTAGTGAGCGATGAGCAACTTCAATCTGAACTTAGGGTTTCTATAACCGCCGTGGTGATTCCAGCCTACCGGTCATTCTTGGGGAGGTTTTCTCAGTATTTGGACCCCGGAAGGCAATCGGAGAAGTACATAAAATACCAGGCTGAGGATATAGAGACTTGTCTGGATGAGCTTTTTGATGGAAATAATGCTGCGGGAAGGAGGAGACAGTAAGAATATTACTAATAATAATAAGTCATGCATGAACAGAGATATACCTACGGCGTTCTTTTTTTTTTTTTTTCTTTCTTTTTTGTTGGAAATGATAATGCAAATTCTAATGTGCTTGTACTCATTTTCAATTTGGTGTAGATTAAAGCAATTAAAAATGGATTGATAATTTTTTTTTATTAATTTTTTTTTTATCTATTGAAGTGGCTAAAGAACTTCCAAAATCATTTGAAGTTGGCTGGACTTGGAGATTATTCATCTTATGTGTAATTTGTTTCTTCTATTGTAGTTTGTTTTGCGGACAACATTTATATGATTCTAATTGTAACCTTTGCAATATCTTGGCCAGTTTCTTGACCATTTCAATAAATTATTTGCAGACTTAGCTTCTTTATCTACAACTACATCTATGTTTTACACTGAATATGTAATTTCTATATGTTCTTGTATATAAATCATTTGCAGACTTAGCTTCATTCACCCTCACAACATTTTTATAATGATCTCTATATTGTAACTTTGCAATATCTTTTTGGCCAGTGGCCCTTTACAATTTGTACCATTTCAATATTGAATTTGCAGACTTAGCTTCTTTACTACAACTACATCTATGTTTTACACTGAAATAAATGTAATTCTAATAAAATGTTCTTGTATAGTAAATCTTTTGCAAGACTTAGCCTCAAATTCCACCCTCATGTTCCGTCCTCCCTTTTACTCCTCTTGTTTAAAAATGAATATGGAGCTTTCAGACCCCATCGCCAGCCTAAATAAATAATAAAAAATATAAAAAGCAAAGATATTAACGAGTAAAGAAAGAGGAAGAATGAACTATCCCAATACATGTTTCACAAATGTCATAAGATCCAACTTCTCCTTTTGTAAGTCCTTAGTCTGATAACTTGTGTGTAAAAATGTCCAAAGTTGCTTGAGGTCATCCCGACATCCACAAAGCAGTTAATAGCGTCGGTTTTACCGACTGAAATTCTCGCACTTCAGTCCAATTTATTCTGCACAATTTCATCTTATGTGTAATTTGTTTCTTCTATTGTAGTTTGTTTTGCGGACAACATATATATGATTCTAATTGTAACCTTTGCAATATCTTGGCCGGTTTCTTGACCATTTCAATAAATTATTTGCAGACTTAGCTTCTTTATCTACATCTACATCTATGTTTTACACTGAATATGTAATTTCTATATGTTCTTGTATATAAATCATTTGCAGACTTAGCTTCATTCACCCTCTTTCTCCCTCCCTTCTCCTCTTGTTTAAGTGAATATGAGTTCAAACCCTATCCCAGGCTAAATAAATAATAAAAAATAAAAAACCGAGAAACGAGAAAGAAAGAATGAAATCCCAAACATGTTTCAAATTTATAGACCAACTTCTCCTTTTATAATCCTTAGTCTGAAACTTGTGTGTAAATGTCCAAAGTTGCTTGATCATCCCACATCCACAAAAGCGTAACAGCGTCGGAACGACTGAAATTCTCCACTTCAGTCAATTTATTCTGCACATAAAACTAAAATCATTAACAGATCTGAAATACATATGTATGTTAAAACCTGACAGGGCTTGCAATAAATTCCACATTCAAAATGAAATCAAATCTGAAGTCCACAATTATGACAAATTATCAACTGAATAAAGAATTGGCTGCAGTTTACCCCGAAAAAGTAATATAAACCTTGTAATGAAAAAGATCTGACCTAGAGAGGTTACTTGTTGTCCATGTGAGAGCAAAATATTGTCCCTTTTGGATCCTCTCTTCCTCTTCTTGAGGGCCAAATGTTCCCCTTGGTTTTCCCTCATCCTCTTCCTCCTCCAAAGAGAAAAATACTTGATTGGTTTCAGCCTCATCATGGTTGGAGACAAAAACTTCTTGTACTTCCTCTTCCTCCTCCCCACAACATTGGATTCAACCTTATGCTTATCTGAGCTATACGTTCTATTCTGTTGAAAGTTAAATGCCTCATTTTGATTATGCACATAGATATCATTGCCTTCATATAGTAGTCGAACCCCACACTTCTGAACTGTGGAGGCAATTGGATTATTGTCAGCATTTTCCATGAAAAATCCAAAGGATACCTCATTATAGTCAACCATCCTTTCTCCTTTGTCTGTTGCTTCAAGACAAAAATCGCTATTATAGAACATGAGCACTTGCTCCAACGAGGAATCTGTGGCACATTCATAGAAGGAGAACCTTGCATTTTTAGGGTAGCTTTCCCCATAGTTGGATTTGAATTGGCATTCCAATCTCAAATATTTCTTCTCAACATGGTCGTGTGTCCCATTACCAATGCAAAGAACAGCAGATAAAGCGAAACCTAAGAAGTTTTCATACCAATTTGGAGGCAGTGGAAGAGTAATTGAAAACCCAGTGTCTTGATGTTGAATCCAATTTGGAATGCTATATCCTGGAAAAATAATCCTATACTGCTTTTCATCACTGTTTTCCAAACCCTGCACCATAAATAAAATTCCAAGTATGAGAGAAAACAATCTCATGTACCAAACGGATAATTCAAAATTGTGATTGAGAAAGAGATGAATCACGTACCCTGTGACTTTCTAATGTTTTGTGTGCTAGATGTAATATTCTCTGTGGTACATGACTCCGAAATTCTTCCCAATCCAAATTTGCGCAATCAACAAAACAGAAGTGTCCCCAACCTTCTTCTATAAGTTCCATCGATGATGAAACTGCTTGCAGAGATATGCAATGTGATGCATCCAAATCCCTTAAGCCTGGTGGAAGCTCTGGCAAAGATTGAAGCCTATTGCACAAGCACAAGCAGAGCTTTCGAAGCGATGAAAGTTGTTTGATGGTTGATGGTATGCTCTCAAAATCACATTCTCTTAGAAGTAGTTCTCGTAGTGACGATAAGCGGCAAAGTTCATTTGCAAAGACTGATGCATAGACGTATGGTCCAGATACAGCAATTGTTTCAAGTTCCAATTGAAACAGAACATTTGAAAGACTCTTGAGTTTGTTGCAACCATGTATATCCAGAATTCTAAGTTGAGAGAGGGACCCAATTGATGATGGTATATCTTCTATTGCAGTCCAAGCCAATAATAAAACTTGTATAGTGGTTGGGACTTCAGGAAACTTATTTATTTTTTGGCACCCATCCATGCGAAGTTGTTCAAGTGAACTCAGATTCTTAGTACTTGGCAAAGACATAATCCCTTTGCAACCTCCCAAATTCAGAAAAGACAGTTTGTTGAGACATTGAATAGATGGAGAAACGTCAAGCAACCTTATACAGCCTTGACAACTTATAGCCTTAAGATTTGGGGCACCAGAGAAGTCAGGCATTTCAACCAAGAATCTACATTCACTCATAGAGATCTCTTTTAAACTTGGAAGAGCCTGTTAACCAAAAAAAGCAAAAGATATTAATTAATGATCACTGGAGTAGGCTAAAGATATAATTTATAAAGGGTGAAATTATTAATGGGTATACCTGCGCTCCGCTCCAAAGTCTTTCAATGCGACTGCCAAACAAGTTTATCTCAACAAGTTTCTCGAAATCAAAATTTGATGGCAAAGCTTTCAAAGGACAATATTGCCATGTGAGCAACCTTAGCTCACCGGGGAGAGATTCAAGGCCTTGAGGGAAATCAAAATAATTTGGAAGACATTTCTTATAACATCTATACATAGCTTCATCTTCATTAACACTAGAATCATGAAATTTGAGAAATTTCATTCCAATCATATTGGAGAAAACTGCAGGATCCAGGCTCAGTGTATTTATCTTTGTTTGGTCGAGAAACATGCCTTCTACTGATTCAGTCCCCTGAATAAAATTGAAGAAGAATTAGCCCAACATTTCAACTTGAAAATGCTTTTGTCCCAAGTCATATGAGCCTCGAGACAAAATATAAACGTTGAGAAATAAGGGTAAAATAAAGAAGGCAAATTCAAATCATTCAGTTGTTACTGTTTTTTTCGTCAACACATGATGGACATCGTCATGATTACACAATCGACTCCGCTTGCCTGGCTCTGCAGATTCTTGACCAACAATTTCATGTCCCATTTGTTGTAGCAAATCATGCATCATAACCTTATTATTGCCAGAAATATTGATTAAAGACCTATTCTTGAGAATTGTCAAGTCAATTAAAGTAGAGAAACCACAAGCATCTAGCAGCTCTTCTATGCGTGATCGAGGTTCCCCTTTAAAGAAACATGCAATGTGAAGAAATATTTGCTGCTGTTTGTAATCAAGTCCATCATAACTTATTTTAAGAATACTTTCTACTTTCTTCTTAAGACTGGTTTCAAATTTCTTCAATGCAATTTTCCATTCTTCTTTGCTCTTGTTGTATAGATGCGAACCCAGAACTATAACAACTAATGGAATGCCTTTAGCATACCTTACCACACTTTCTGATAGCTCCACAAAACTTGTCTCTGGCTGGTTTTCTTTGAAGGCATAGAAACTAAAAAGCTGAAGAGCTCCATGCTCACTCAATGCCTCAACTTCATATATTTCATCAGCTATTTTTTCAAAAACTTCTTTATCTCTACTTGTGATGATGATTCTACTTCCAGGACCAAATTGACTATGCTGGGCAAATTTTATTTTGTCAAAATCGTCTACATCATCAAGAACAAGAAGAATTTTTTTATAATGAAGCTTACTCAGAAATATTTTTGGAGTTTGATATTTATTTCTTTCACCAAATATTTGAACAACAAGTTCTTCTTCTAGTTTAGCTAGACCACATGCCTGCAAAGATTTTTCTCTAACATTCTCAAGAAAGCACTTATTATCGAAGTGAGAAGAGAATTTCTCAAATACAACTCTAGCAAGAGTTGTTTTACCTATACCACCCATTCCCCATATTCCAACAATACGGACATCATCATCTTCACCGGATAATAATGATTCAACCCGTTTAATTTGTGATTCTAGTCCAATCAAATTCTGCACATTACTTGGGTGTAAATCCCTTAAAATGTTTAAAATGCCCTTGACAGCGTCTTGAACAAGTTGATACTCAGACCTAACAGCATGAATAACAAACAGTGGCAACTGGAAAATTAAATAGTGAAAAAATGAATAATAAAAAAATCAAAATCTTTTCGCAATTTGCAATTTCACCCAACTTGTTCAATTTTTCCAATTTTACTCTAATTTAACAACTAATTTGTTGTTTCAAAAAAAAAAAAAAAAGAAAAACTAATTTCTTGTTCTTCGTGACATATGAAATTTTAAATAATATTTTATTGATGATTTAAGTTAAAAATTAATAATTCATAATTTGTATTCCCTTTTTTTCTCTTCTTCCCCTGTTTCCCAGCCCAACTCTCTTTCTCTGCACCATTAGTTGCATAATCAACATTGGAAGAGAAGATTAAAAGAGGTAAAGCAAGAGGATCATGTAATTTCAGCTCCAAATTCAACAAGGAAATTCAAAAAAAGAAAAAAAATGGTTTTAACTCAATGTATCTACACTTAAATCAAAACCAGAGAAGAGACCAGTGTCATCTAAAGTACAATCTCAGTATACTCAATTCAAATATCGATCTCTATTTTAAAATTGAAAACATTAATAAATTAACATCGTTTGGTTAATTCATTTAAGAGTGAATTCCAAAAATTAAAAGATTGCCTACTTACTTGGACTCTGTCAAAACCTCCCCTGAGATATAGGCGGCTCTGCTCAAAACTACTCTCCAATTCTGCACTCTGTCCTTGAAATCTTGGTCGTGCTTAGCAAAATCCTCTGCAAAACTTCCTGTTTGGTTGTAGACATCGGTTGGATCAACATGGTAGAAAACAGGAATTACCTTTTGACCGAATTCGTCTTTGCATTGAAAGATCTTGACAACTTCATCCAAGCACCAAGGAGAAGATGCATAATTCTTTGAGAAAATAATCACAGAAATATGTGAATCTTCAATTGCTTTCAGAATTGCTGGCTCGATTTCTTCTCCTCTTTCAAGTCTATTGTCTATGAACGTTGGAATCCCTAGTCGATCATGCAGATATTCATTTAAGAGTGAATTCCAAAAATTAAAAGATTGCCTACTTACTTGGACTCTGTCAAAACCTCCCCTGAGATATAGGCGGCTCTGCTCAAAACTACTCTCCAATTCTGCACTCTGTCCTTGAAATCTTGGTCGTGCTTAGCAAAATCCTCTGCAAAACTTCCTGTTTGGTTGTAGACATCGGTTGGATCAACATGGTAGAAAACAGGAATTACCTTTTGACCGAATTCGTCTTTGCATTGAAAGATCTTGACAACTTCATCCAAGCACCAAGGAGAAGATGCATAATTCTTTGAGAAAATAATCACAGAAATATGTGAATCTTCAATTGCTTTCAGAATTGCTGGCTCGATTTCTTCTCCTCTTTCAAGTCTATTGTCTATGAACGTTGGAATCCCTAGTCGATCATGCAGATAACCGTAGAGATGGCTAACAAAACTATGACGAGTGTCTGCACCTCGAAAACTAAGGAAAACATCATATTTTATAGAACGGACTGAAGAAGAAGAAGCCATATTCAATTGCTTTTGGGTATATGCAGCTAGACATGGACTACATCTATTGTGGAGTTCTCTTGTAAAAGACAGAAAGAACAGAAAAGAAATAAACTAATTAAAAAAGAAAGCTCAGCTATGCAATTAACAACTGCCAGGAAATTGCTTGAGTTTTTCTTTGTAATTCATACAAGTTGACTAATTGACTTGCAAAGCTTTTGACAAAAATAATGCTCTTCTTGTAACTATTTCCTAATCCAGCACATTTCAAAATTATTTATCAATTTAATATTTATCTGACACGGAGAAAGAGTGTTATACTAAAATCACCAATTGAGTAGTTTAGTGTAATAGAAATAGTAACTCGTACTAATAAATAGTCAGCAAAAAATAGTTATATGAATAAACGATAATTTTTATTTTGTATAGAGACCACCAATCTAATTGGTGGTTTTAATACAAAATGAAAATTTTAAATTGTCAATTTGCTTTTTCACTAAAAAATACAATTCGTATGGTGGTTTTAATGTAACTGTGGGATGTAAAAAAAGTACATGCAGAAATAGTGTTTTATTAAGAATCCACCGAATTAATTAGTGTTGTCAATACAAAAAATAATTGTTCATGCAAAATATTTTTTCATCAAAATACATGTATGATCTTGTGTTTTTGGTTCACAATTATTTCAAGTTAAGTAAGAACAATATAAGTTTTCTTACACAATTAAAAATTACCGAAAGAAATAAAGTGTTTTGAGTTGAACTTGTATGATGTTAAAAATGTCTTAATAATTAATACATGAAAAATTAATCGTATTAATGTCTACCCACATGTACTCTTGTACCACACTTTAAAGGCCTCCTATTACGACGTGGATTTCGGCGTACTATATCTTCTCTAATACCTTAATATTCTTTTTCATGCTCAATATTTATATCAACACTCATGCGAAGAGCTTGAACCACATTCATAAATAGTTGTTGTGGGCTAGGAAATGTTAGATGAGTCTATTGCTCGGGTACCATCATCATCTTAAGGAAATAAAGCAGGTATTGTATATTGAAATAGTGTTGCCTCACCTATTTCGGAGAAAGAAGTATGGATTTGCTAGGTTGCCATCATTGGAGTGTAATGAAAGTTCAGTGGCATTTCTAATGTTGCAGATGGTACACTCCACTCAGGTTGTGATGTAGAAGATGATGTGTTGGGCATATTAGTGTAATAGCCTTCATAATAGTTATATGTCATAGGGGGAGGGACTGGAGATATATTGTCTATTAGTGAGGCTTCAATAGGAATACGTTTAGATACCATTTCACGTCTCTTTCACCTCCGTAGTTCTTTTGGTATTTGAACACGAGAAAACTCTATAAATGGAGGGACAGGTTGAAGCAAAATGATGAATTTTGGTATGAATTTTTCATTCATTTCACCGAATAGGCTAAATAATCTTCAACAAAATGATGGATTTCTATGTCTTAGTGATATTGAACCATGATGTATATGTTGCAGCCCATTTTCCTGTAGTAAAAAAAATATCATGAAAATAAGAACAAAATTTATTATTCAATTAAATTAAGAAATTATAAGATAATATAAAAAGATACCGAATAATTACTAGAGCTTCAACTTCTGCACCTCGAAATGAAATCCAATGTCTAGTTCGATGCACATATCAAATGTATTGTACCAAAATCACCAAATTATATGTGTGTTTTGATGAAAAAATATTTTGAGTGAATAAATATTTTTTATTGAAACCACTAATTGATAATATAAAAATACCGGGCAATAAATTTACTAGAGCTTCAACTTCCTCGCACCTCCGAAATGGAAATCCAATGTCTAGTTCGATGCAAATATCAAAATGTATTGTACCAAAAAATCACCAAATATATGTGTGTTTTGATGAAAAATATATTTTGCAGTGAATAAATAATTTTTATTGAAAAACCACTTAATTAATCTGGTGGACTCTTAATAAAATACGATTCTCCCGTATACTTTTTTGCGAAATGAAATCCAATGTCTAGTTCGATGCACATATCAAATGTATTGTACCAAAATCACCAAATTATATGTGTGTTTTGATGAAAAAATATTTTGAGTGAATAAATATTTTTTATTGAAACCACTAATTAATCTGGTGGACTCTTAATAAAATACGATTCTCCCGTATACTTTTTGCTGATTAGTGGTCACATCCCGTAGTTGCACTAAAACCATTAAACAAATTGTGTGTTTTAGTAAAAAGGCAAATTGACAACTTAAAATTTTCATTTTGTATTGAAACCACCAATTAAATTAGTGGTCTTAATATAAAATAAAAAGTATTATTTATTCATATGACTACTTTTTGCTGACTGCTTGTCAGTACGAGTTACTTTTTTTCATAGCACTGAAACCACCAAGTCAATGGATGATTTTAGTGCAGTATTCTCTCTCCACGTTAGAACAAACATTAGATTGGTAAATAGTTTTTTAATTGAGAAATAATTTTATAAAGAGCATCATTTTTGTCGAAAGCCCTTACAAATGTCTCTTTATACATTTTTCACTTATTTAAAAATTAAATAAGGAAAAAAATAAGCCGTTACTGCTTTGTACTAATAATAATAACATGCAATATTGTAAAAATACGAATAAATTTAATTATAAATTAGTAATAATTAGAAAAAAATAAATCGTTACTGCTTTATACTAATAATAATAACATGCAATATTGTAAAAATACGAATAAATTTAATTATAAATTAGAAATAATTAGAAATTTTATAGCCCTATTACAATAATAAGGATAATTATAATAGTTGCAGTATCATAAAAGATATTACAGTATTAAGTTTGACTATAATACTAATTATATTTAGAATGTATAATTATGATACAATTAGAATTTGAATGAATGTAAATGATGTAGTTTTACTTGTGGCTTGATTTAAATTTCCTACATGAAAACTACGCCGTTTGGATGTTATTATTATTATTATTATTATTATAATATAGAACAATACTAATTTGTAATTAAAAAAACTATAATTATTTCAATGATTTGAAATATCTTGCCATTGATTAATTACATATGTTAATTAAGGTATTGAATCTCAATTCCTATAATTATGTCCAATTTTTAGATTGTCATCAGTTTGATGGATATAAAAAGTCTTTTAATGATTAAAGAAAAGTTTTTAAAAATTAATTATTGAAATGTATTTCTTAATCTACTTTAATTATAATATTACAAGTTAAACCGCTAGAAAATCAAGGACATAAAGATTTTTATAATTCAAACTGAATCGAACTCGAATTGGTCGGCCAAATTATAAATAGTTTGAGAGGAGAGAGCAAACTCTACTTTTTTTCTTCCTCTCCTCCTCTGTTTGCGTCCTGTGATAGAGGCTTACTGCCTGTCTTATCCAATTGAACTTTAGCCACTGTTTAACGAGAATAGGATGACAAAATACTCGTCCAATTACAGTAAGCCTACATTTGGTCACTGTTTGGTCGATCGAGTTCTTATTTTTACAGAACAAGAAATTCAAGTTTTACTATTTTCGAGTTTTCTAGTTGAATTTTACGACTCCTACCATAATTCTTGTTGAGATAAACTTGGATTTATAGTTTCTACAAACTAAACTTGATTTCACGTTGACTTAAAGATACAGTGGAGGGATTTTATGAACTAAAATTTGAGTTTGAGTTTGACAAATTTGGACTTTTAATGAAATCGATAAAATTTTTTGAAATTGATAGCACAACTAAAATCCTTACGATATAATGCAAGCTTCTTGATTGGTTCGATTTTTCGGCGTACCAACACTATACCATCACTAAAACAAAAATCCATTATCCGTTATTATCTATCACATCAACAAGATAAACTGTTTAAATTTCTTTGAAGACATTATCGTTCTTTCACCACAATTGCACTGTGACTGCCTAGCACAAGTTGTGTCAAAAATATTTATCTACCGAAACAAAATGCAAAATGCAAAATGACCCATATGTTAAGTTGTTGAACATTTTTCCCACCGAAACAAATATACTAGCATTTGGATCGAAGTTTTTGGATTTGTTATTAAAGATATGGGATGCTTAGAATTAAATACGCTTACACTTTATCTTTTCCAAATCTAATGTAGATTTTGCTGATATTCTAAGATTGCCTTACTTTTCACTTATATGAATTTAAATCATTTGCCATATTTCATTCTTTAAACAAAAATTTTATTTTTATTAGTTTGGTTTACGAGCGAAACTCCGATGCTAATATAGGTGAATGAATTCCTTTATTTTATTTGAATTTAATTGCTGTCCATTTTTTATTTCAATAATATCTAATAAGGAAGTGATTTTTCAAAGAAATAGTTTTTATGACAAGCAAAAAACGCCGTCGCTTGATTGGATTGATTTTTTCCTCAGGGCTGGTCACTGGTCCAGTTACGACCTGGAGCTCCGGCTTGAAACACATGGTTCACTGAACCAGCACCTCGAGCTTTCTCCTACTACCTGCAAGGGTAAAATTGTAAATCTAAAGCTCACACGGTGAACACAAAACCGAAACCGTCCTTCCCACACTTGCAAAACCTGAATGCCCCAAAACTCAAAAACTTCAATACAACAAAACACAATCCGGCCCCCCTCTCTCTCTTGCAGTATTTTCTTTTTCTTTTTTGGTCTTTCGAGCTTTGACAGCTTTCCGTCCAATTCGAGGAAGTACAATTCGTATGGTTACGGCAAATTCCAGTTCCTTTTTCTGTTAATGCAAGTTCCCCAAGTCCTGAATCGATGAAAAATTTGTCCCGGAGGAGCAGCGCTATCCTTATCCGCCGTTAATTCTCCGTCAACCCTCACCCGCATTCTTCTCACCAGGTTGCTTCTTTTTGTTCTCTTTTTGGACCCTTTGGCTGTTGCTGTCTTTCTTCTTCTTCTTCTTCTTTTCCTTTTCTAATTTTCGCTGTCTTGTTTGGCTTATAGTTCAATTACATAGGTAGGTTAACCATGCTCGTTTTTTAAGAGGTTATTTAGTATTATCTTGAAGAAGCTGTTGGCTTTCTTTGTACTTCTTATGTGCTTTGTTTGTTTGAGACTTTATTTCTTGAGAGTGAATTTTTGCTGTAACTTCAATGCTTAATAAAACAGGGAGAGGTAAAGAGTTTTAGCTCTTAGGGCTTTGTGCTTTTTAATAATTTGTGAAGTGATTTCAAATTGTAGCATTTCTATTAAGTATATTTAAAACTTTATATATCAATGTGAAGCCTAAATCGTGTCCAATGTGAAAGATGGAAGCTTTTTCTTTATATGCCATAATTAAAGTTTGAACCTTTTTTCTTCATCACTCTGCTAAATGCAGCAATTTTTGTCCTCGTTTAATTTGATGAGTTTAGTTTCCCACATGACATTTGAAGTTTTTTGTTAAATAAAACCACTTGATCAAAATCCTACCTGATCCTTGTATTTTGTTATAGGCATGGCATATTCAAAATTATATTACCTAATCCCTGATGCTGAGTTTCTTAGTATCTAAACATTGCTACAGTAAGAAATTTTAAATGCATATATTGTATTTCCTTTAATAATCTAAAACTAACCTTCTGTAAATTTTTGGTTTCTTTTGTGTTCTTGATGTGGTGAAATAGACATGATGTTTTCTCAGTTGCCTTTTTGGGAACCGGAATCATCATAAAGTAATTAATTTATACCTAGAAAAGCTGCATTTCTAAAATAGATGACATTCTAAATTTGTGACTACATAGATTCAGGCTTTCAGCTTGTTATTTCCCTCGAGATGATTCATTATATTTCAAATTGGATATCTACACTCTATTTGGTTTTTATAAGCACGATAACATGTGAATTTTCTTTTAAATAATCTCTATATCCACATCGAAAGTTGCAATCGCATTAGGCATCTTCAAATTCTGAGATTTCATTCACTATGGGTTGAGGGAAATGGTCTCAAGTGTGGTAAATAGAAATATGCTTAATTTTGATGGTGTATTTTAATGCATAGTTATTTTCATGTATTGCATTTTGATTTATTCTGCTGACCATCGAATCAAGATTAATTTTGTTATTCATTTTTTTTTTGTTTCTTTTCTTTATTTTCTTTCACTTAGGTTTCCGTGGTTTTAAAGATCTGCTTTGTACATCATTTATTGGGAGAATCAATGGCAAGTTCATTTAATCCTCAGATTTTAGTGGAAAAGCTTGCCAAGCTCAATCATTCGCAAGCAAGCATAGAGAGTATCCTTTTGATAAGGATGGTGGATAATATTTTTCTTCTTTGTACTGTTAATTAGTGTCTAAGATAATTTCATTTGCAGTTTTCGTCATTATATATGGTCAGATGTCTATTCTCACAGTCTGATTGGTAACAAGCTGATTGATATCTTTAAAGAAAAAATGAGGGCTAGGATGCATTGATAACTTAAAAAGGAAAAAATGATGCGTTGCTACTGGGCTTTATTGAGGAACATTATGAAATTCTCCTTATAAAGTTTTCTAAGATTAGAGCTGTGTTATTATGGTTTTGGAATCCTCCATGGCTTTAACGCTGTATTTTTCCCTGTAGTTTGGAGTTTTGTTTGAAGAATTTGCTTCATGGATATATGGTCAGATGTCTATCTCACTTTTCGTGCTTTTATTTTTCACCATTAATAGATGACGGTCCATTTGCTATATGCATACGTATTAGCCCTTCATTTTTTGTCGTCTATATTGTGCAACCTTCTTTAAAGTGTGATTCTTTTGTCGCTAAGTTGCTATTCTTAATGCACTAAGCTTTATCGCATTGGTGTATTTTCCATATGAATAAAGCGAAGCAAGTTGTTGAAACCTGGGCCAGACAATTTCATTGTTCTCCACGTGAGCAGAGATTAGCTTTTCTGTACCTTGCAAATGACATTTTGCAGAATAGTCGTCGAAAAGGAGCAGAATTTGTTGGTGAGTTTTGGAAGGTTCTTCCAGATGCTCTTCGCGATGTTATTAATAGTGGGGATGAAGTTGGAAGAAATGCGGCCCTAAGGCTGGTAATTAATGCTTACTTTTGCAATATTTACTTTTGTTGAATGAGTTTATCGTACCTACTTTTTTGCCATGTACCAAGATGTCATAGGGAATAATCAGTTTTAAGGGGTTTAGAGTGTTGTATCCAGTGTTATCAGAATCTTATGATTCACGATTTGAATATACAATTTCATGCTAAACAATTCGAATCTTATGAGTGAATCGCAATCGAGCATGAATCTTATGATTTGAGTTGATTCTTATGTCCAACGATTCTCTTGCTCAATAAAGCAAGTAGAGAAGTCAAGGCAGAGAAAGAAAAGCAAGAGAATATAGTTATATTAGAAGATAAAGATGATGAAGGGCTTGAATTTGGAAATGATAATGAATAAGAATGGATTTGGATAGGAAATTTAATGGCTTGATAGTTTTTATTTTGTTTTTTTGATTTAAAATTTTAACTTCATAGTTTGATATTTTGTACTTGGACACTATACTTGTCATTAGGTTCTCTTTCATTTTGTGTTAATACATGGTTTGGAATTGAAATTTATATAAATACATTATTTGCAATTAAAGTTTTAGTATCATTTGATAAAAATAATGGAAATGCATCCATAAATGTATATGTATTTATTTTTAATTAATTTTGAAAAGTTTCTCGATTCTAAAAGTGAGAATTTTGATTCTCGATTCGATTCTCGAGTTGACAACCATGGTTGTATCTTTGTAAATAAGATCAGGGTATGTTGGGATTAAAGAAAGAGAACCAATATTATATTGAGCTCATTTAAATTACTACTTTTGAGTATGCTATTATGCAATTGCTATCTTATATGTTCTATTTTACATGAAACTCATGAGACCAAACAATTCTATCTTTAATGTTCAATGTTCATAATCTCATGTGACATAGAGGTGCCATATAGCAAGAGCACTGTTGTGCTATATTTAATTAAGCAAAGCCATTAAATATAAATGCTGGAATTTGAATGTAATAAAGTGAAGAAAAGTGTGATAATTTTGCATTTTTTAATGTTAAGGATCATTTCAAACTGCATACACGTATGGTTTTAGATAATCACTCAAACTACCTTATAGCCTGTTTTGTACCAGGATTTCAGCCTACCATTATATTATTTCTATGCAGGCGATTCACCAATCACCTGGAAATGGTAGGCAAAAAACATGAGAAATGACTGTTATCTTATAAAATGCTCCTTTAGGTTATAAATTTCACTTAATATCTTCACACCTTTTCTTTTTTCTTTTTTGGAATTACATGTTAATCAATTATTGTTTTTCTTGATTAAGTGATTTTGTTAATGGCCTTAAAAAATTCACTGCAGCAGCGGCTGATTTGGACTGATTAAGTGTGTTTCAGTTTGATTTTACAACTTGGTTTCTATTTCTGTTATTGTTTCTGATTTTGTTATTTTAAGACCTTGCTTACATGACCGTTTGAATACAATGACTGGATGCATGTTAATGTTTTGTTGTAAAAAACTGTTCCCCTGGTACATGGTGCTATCCAAAGTTTCTTCTCTTTATCTTAACTTGCCAAATATCCTGCAACTTATATTCAGTGTGCAACCCCACCCACCTCCCCACTCCCCTACCCTGGGCCTGGGTGTGGCCAGTCGATGGTCTGTCTCCTTGATAGTCCAAGTAGACGTTGTACCATCATCTTAACTTCAAGAGCAACAAAATTACAAGTGTCATGGAATGAGCAAAGATGTCTGGATGTGTTAATGTTGATGCTGATTAGGGTTTTAATTGTTAAACAAGATGGGTTATACAATTAAAGGACCTCTGTGCGTCTTGATTTTCCAATCATACATGATTCACAATTGGCTGGTCAACTTCCATATTTCAAGTTCCATCAAATTCATATTTTTATTACTTTATATTGCAGTCTATGATTTTCCACATTTATATCTACCCAAATGAAGTTATATTACTTAAAATTGCCAGGAGTTCTCAACCACAAATTAGTTACGGACGAGGACCAATTAACACACATCTTTTCCTCCATGTTATCTTCCAATACCAATGATAAGATATTTAAAATTCCAAGAAATCCTGTAATTCCTAGAAAGATAACACTGCTCAAAATTCTCCAATTCAGCATCACTTGCCTGCAACAATTGTGGAGTAATTTCAAAATAATTAAAAGAGGGAGAAGGCGAATATATGCATCACACTTCCCACCAGTATAGTTTACCTAAATTAAATATTTTATTTTGGTTTCAATCTTCCATACTTCATTACTAAGGTAATGTTTTTGACAGCATGATCTCATGATTCTGTTATTTGGTTCTTTAATGCTCTTGTGAAATTTGTTTATTTATTTGTTCCTGGAATTGCTGGGACAATTACATTTCTATTTTTGCAAGATATATAAACTCATAAGCCATATTTCAATATGTTTGATTGCAGGTCAACTTATTAATCAATTGTGTAAAAGTTACCTGGCTTTACTTCTTATGATTGATTCTCTTGTATTGTTTTTTGAATGCAGATTGGCATATGGGAAGACAGAAAAGTTTTTGGTTCCCGTGGGCAAATTCTGAAGGAAGAGCTTGTGGGAAAGCACTCAGATAATAATAGAAATGGAAAGCATTTTGGCTTCAAAGTAGTAATTGAATTCTGATGAGTCAATTTTCCTTGGCAGTTGTACTTTTGTGTATGTTTTGAAAACTTCATTGATCTCCTACTTTGTCTCATTCAAACAGAAGCAGCCTGCTGGAAGTACGTTAGACAAAATAATTTCAGGTTATGAAGTTGTTCACGGTGGTCAGTTGGATGAAGATGTCATAATAAACAAATGTAGGAGTGCTATGAGCAGTCTTGAGAAAGCTGAGAAGGAAATTGGAGGCAACATTAAGTCAGGTGAGTTGTCTAAAAAATTCATGATAACAGTATGTTTTACTGATATTTTAACTGTACATTTTTTGTTTCTCAGTAATTAGACATTTGGCTACTGAAGATTACATGCTGAAAATTTAAGATCTGGGTCGTTTTAGTTTCAACTATTTAAAGAAAATAGTTTACACTTGGCTACTAAATTTGTCAGTTGACTTCAAAACTTAAAAAGAACACGACATTATTGTAATACAATTTGTGTTGATCATGGTAATTGTGCTCATAATGGTTAGAAGATGTAATGGTGATAATCTTGGTGGTGGCAAGGAAAATATATGTGCTGGTGGTGATTTTGGTGTTTGGATGAATTTTTATTTGTGGTGATGGTAGTGAATGATAGCCGTGTTGGTAATGAAGATAATGGTGGCTGGGGTTGGGAGTAATAGTGGTTAGAGCAGTATTAGAGCCTGTTACGAATGTCCGAATGATAGTTGTGGGCTAGTGTTAATTTATATGAGTAACCTTAATAGATATAATGATGGTGATAGCATTGGTTGTGACTATAATGGCAACAAGAGAAGTGGGGTGATGGTAATGATAGTGCGTAAAAATCCCGGGGGTGGATTCTTTTCATTTATTTCACACATTGAGTTACTTAAAAATTAATTGATTATTCAAAACCAAAGTGGTGTTTGTAACGCTATTCAATAAATAAAATTTAGCACATAATAATTTTAAACGATTACATAGTGTTTAAATGTACCGAGCTAAAAAATTCACTTAAATATTAAGAAGCCTAAAATTCCTGAAACTTGTACTTAATACAGGTCATTGGCCTCTTAAAGAACTTCACAATTTATAAAAATTTTATCACTTATATTATTCAGGACTTAAAATCAGCTCTTAAATTTTCGGTATTTAGTTTTTACTTTTACCAAACTTACGTAAGTCTGAAAAGAAAATAATTGTAGAGTATACACACACGCACACGTAAATAGTTAAGAATGTTAGCAAAAAAGCTTTACAAATTAAGTGTTAAAATTTGCTTTTTAATGCAATACATGTTCAATAAAGGATAATAAGTTTTTTTATGATAATTTCCATATTAAGCTTAGAAGTCTGGATTTGTTAATTTGACTGTCACAATATGACAAACATATCCTGTAAAACAAGATGGAAAGGTGATGCATTTTTGGCCTTTATGATTGCTTGGGTGGAGCATGAGTGTTGACATAGGTTTTTGATATGATAACTCCTAAATAATTTGATGGTGTGAATCAACTTTACATCTTTGTTAAAGTAATTTAATGTATGAGAGATACGTATATCATAAAAATAATTTGGATTCATCTAACTATTACACCTCCAAGTTCTTTTTGTAATGTTCTTCATGCTGATATATTTGGCCAAATTTTTTCACTTACACCCTATAGATCGTAAGTTGGGTGTATTGACTGGGGTTTAGATTGGATCTATTTTGTTAAGTTTTCCTGAATTTATTATTTCAAGAGAAGACAAAAATATGGAATAAGCAGCTTTACTGTTTTGTTTTTTTCCTTTTACTGACTTTTGAAGTATATTATTTTTACTACAATTCCTGATTGTTCAATTGCATATTCAGATTCAAAATGAAAGAGAGATTTTCTTTTTTAAAGTTTACTGAGTAAACTCTCTTTCCTTGTTAGTTTTCCTCTTATTTGATTTTTATCTTATAAATTCCTTTATTTTTCTAATTTTTATTTTATATATATATATCATATCGTATCGTATCTTATCATGATGGAATATGTATATTCAAATAATATATGGTATGCAATGGAACAGTGGGTAATTCCCAAGAGATAATTAATAGAAACAGAAAAATAAATGTAACTATAAGCAAATTATTGACTAATATATTAATGTAATATATATTTTTATTTTTATTTTTATTAATAATTTAAATTTTTTTAGTGACAAACGTATATTTTCTCACCTCTCCAGAAAAAAGAAAAAAAAGATGTTTTTTTTTTTCTGCTAATTAATTTCCATTTATTTTTACTTTGTAAAAACTTTATTTTGGTTTATGCTGTTAAACCTAGAAAAAGCATGCAACTTGTTTGCTACCTTTTTCTCTCCAGGTATGTGTAACTATACAAAAGAAATGAACCTATCTTAACATGGATCTGCATATTAACATGGCCCCTATCAGCAAGGGCAAAAAAATGGCTTCCACACGTCCAATTACAAAATCCAATGTTCTTTTTTCCCATTTTTTTGTTGTTCCCTGTTAATATCATTGTATAATGCCCACTTCCCCTGATTTTGAAATTTTATTCCCATTTTAATGTTATATTGTTCCATTCTGTTGTTTAAGAAAGGTTACTTTTAGTATTACGGTATTCAGTGATGAACCGTGAAACAGCTGATCAATTATGATGTTTTGCTCTAGGTTTTCCATTGGAGGAGCATTAATTTAGCTAACACTTTGTCCCACTGTTCTAAACTCTATTGGCTTGTTTGTGAAACTGAAGAATATCGCCAATGATGAAGTATTTTATATGCATGTATAACAAATAACATGTTATTTTGGCATATAACGTATAGCATGTGTGAATAAAAAATGTCTTTTCTTTTTGGCAGCCATGTCTTACTGGAGAGTTAATTTTCCTTGTCGGATATCATTGATTTGTTTGATCAGTATTCTTAGAAAAAAAGTCGGCATTTAAAATTTCCTAATGATCCATGGCTTCATGCCACTGCAGCTTCTGTCTAAGCTATCCTTTCTGTTGAACAGGACAATTCCATGGAGCTGCATTTTTGGAGGAGTTTCAAGGGCACCATGCTATTTTGAGGGACAGCATCGAACAACTGACAGTCATTGAATCATCAAGGGCAACTCTTGTGTCTCACCTGAGAGAGGCGCTCCAAGAGCAGGTTTGTTGGGCAAGCTATTCTACAGAAAAAAAAAAATGTTGTTTGATATTATGATTATTCTGTAATTTGATGGCAGATTAAAAAGGAAATGTTTTTGAAACAGGAATCCAAACTGGAACAAGTTCGTAATCAACTTCAGGTTTGTCTTCATGTATATGTACTACTTAAGTTGACTACTAATATTTCTTATTTTATGACATGATGATAAATTATAACTGGAATCTCTCCAAAAACTATTTTTATGGTGAATCCTACGCACTGGAATTTTCATGAAAATTGGTTGAAATATATGCTTGACTGTTCCCATCATGTAGTTCCTTTCGTTTTGTAAAATGATCAGTAGCAGAGTCTTTACACTTTTTCTTATTCATTTCTCTAAATTGAATGTTTTAGATGATGGTGATCATACATGCTTCTTACTGCTGCTCATTTGCTTGGGTTAAGTTCCTAAGCTTATAACCTAGCATTTTGAGTGAACCTGTATTAGAGCATAGATTATTAATCCTGCAGCAGCTTCATTTAATTTATGCTTTGTCACCTTTGCATTTGATGGGTTATTCTCATCTCTCCTGTTATTTTATCTGTTCACAAATTCTCATTAGCTTTGCCAGTTAATTTAATGTAACATTTTATACAGTACTTTCCCTTTTTTTTTTTTTTTTTTTTTTTTGCCTCTTCATTTGACATTTTGCTTGAGAGTCAAATAGTCTGGCTTTTTACCTTTCTAGGTGTTTACTAAATTCGCTCAACTATGATTACTTTTTCATTCACCTTTCGTACCTTGTTTAATGCGTGTGAAATGCTTTCCCCTTTTTTTTTTTTTTTTTGCCTCTTCTTGACTTTGGCTTTGAGGTCAATGTCTGGCTGTTTTACCTTCTAGGGTTACTAATGTGCTAACATTGATTACTTTCATTCACCTTTCGTACCTGTTTAATGCGTGTGAAATGCTTTACAAATTTTGTAGTTTTAGCACACCCGGAGTTAGACATAGTTTAGCAAACTGATCGTAAGCATGTTTCTGTTCTCCCTTCAATATGTATTGTTGTGTGTGCAGGCTGCACTCTCCCAGTCAGAACACGCTAACAATTTCTGCCAGCAGTCGCTGCATTCGAATAATGTGCAGTTATCAGTGGAGCAAAGTTCAAAGGAAGCTAATACTTCTGTTGCACCTCAAAGCTTTATACCTGGAGACAGGGAACAATCAGCTCCTGCAATGTACACACGGCAGGCATCTTTTCATGAAAAAACTGGCCACATTGAGGAAGATCCCCGAAAATCTGCAGCTGCTGCTGTGGCGGCAAAATTAACCGCGTCAACATCCTCGGTCCAGATGCTTTCTTATGTTCTCTCTTCTCTCGCATCTGAAGGGGTCATTAATAATCCAGTAAAAGAATCTTCTGGTGAATTCCCCTCTGAAAAGAGGGCTAAGATCGAGAACGACCAGCCTTACATACCAACTCAGAATCCCCTGCAGCAACCACTGCCTCCGTTCCAACATCCCGAATCTTTCCAAGTGGCCACCACAGGTCAGCAATTAACTTCAAATGACCCACCACCTCCTCCATCATCACCTCCACCACCACCGCCACTACCACCTATGGCACCATATTCTATTCCACAGTATATGCAGACTTCAGGATCGGTAAATGCTGTGCCATACAGCTACAGCATGTCCCAGCAACAACCGCCTTCCTTGAGCGGCTATGCAGGAGGTGGGACTCAAATGACAGGTATTGCTCCCTTTACGGTGCCCCCCACAAATTCATACCAAAGTTATCAGGGTTCAGATGGTAACTTGTACAGCCAACCGTCATCCATGCCTATGGCACCAATTACCCGGCAATGAGGTGGACTTTGCTGAGGGAACAATAGATCTCAAAATCTAATGTAGCTTTTTAGTTACCCTTGTACCTTTAATCATACACAAATTAGATTTGCACATAGTAAAATGTTTGTTTGTAACTTGAATGTTTTTGGCAATGGCTTTGAAACAATTCCTTTGGATTGTTCTATGGAGAAATAGATTTAAACTGATTTAGTAAGGCTCATAAATATTAGATTTTACTGGTTGAGGATGTGTTGCTTCTTTTCCTGTTGATTGTGCCACTTGTATGTTCAAAGTTTATTATGTGAGATTTTTGTGGGTTCTTCAGATTCGTTATTTGTTTATAATAAATTTTAATGTTGCGTTTGGATTTTTGAAATTCATCATGTTTATACATTAAACATGTGTTGTATAAATCTAAATTCATAAATATTTTGTTAATTTAAAGAATTGAATATTAATCAAATGCAAGAATTTAGACGCAACATGCGGCATGATAGAATTGGTCTTTACTTGGATTTTGGTTTTATTGCTGAAAAATGAAAATCCATTATCAACTGTGCTGCTATGCCTAAATGCATATGAATGGAAATTATCAGTTGCATAGGTTTTATCTATAAATGAATTTTGTAATTTGATATCTTGTAAATAGCGAGATACATCAAGTTCGAGCGAAGTTATCACAAATTGATGTGTAGCTCACGCGTAAATAAGCTTCTTGCTATTATGTACACGGTGGAGCTGTTCTCAAATTGATGGGAAGAAGACAGAAGGACGGTGGTGATGAAAGAATCACGTGGTGATGACGTGCCAAAGGAAGCTTTAAGCAGCCATGAGCATGTTTCCCCTTTTTCTTAGACATTTCAAATAAAGAAAGATATTTAGAAATTTTTTAGGGTTCAGAGCAGAGACAGCATTCTCTGACCAGTGCTTTTCCTTTTACCTCAAACATGGTCACATTATAAGTTCTTTGACCATTTTAGTCAAAAACACACAAAGCACTCTACTTTGAGTTCCCATGGTTTTAGGATTGTAACTAAGTTTGAGGCCTTCACTTGTTACTCAGCCCTAAACTATAAACTACTTTGAAACCAAAATAATCTTATGTTTCAAAATATACGTGGTTTTGAGTATTTTAAGGAGTAATTAATAATATTTTTCTAATATTACTCTTATTTATATTAGATATATAAATACTTTCACGAATAAGTATTAATTTTGGGATAAAAGATAATTTAGTCAAATTATTATTATAACCTAGGCGAATTGTTTAATTCTTTAATTTTTGTGTAAAAATTTTAAACGACTTATATTTTAAAATAAAATGAGTAATACTCTGGCTAGTCTTGAGTTTTGGGAACCAACTTCAAACTGATTTTTCTTTTCAAATAAAAAACAGCCTCAATTGGTTTGGGTCAATTTTTTCAGTTATTAAAATCAATATCAATTTATAAGTGTTTGAAAGAGTGATTCGACATTCTTTTTTCTCAACTGAGATGAAAGATTCGATTTTTATGGATAGAGAAAATGCTCACGATGAGAACCTTACTCCTTCATAGGCCGACCTAGTGCGAGCAAGACTTAATTCTAAACTTAATTCTAAACCAGCGGGCAGAGGATATCTAAGATAAAAAAAAATAATGGGTATCAGTTTACAAGCCTCTTATTCTAAATTGATTATAAAAATAAATATTCTAGTCAATTTCAATTGAACTGATCCTAATTTAAAATCTAAGGTGTCGGAAAGTCTCAATTAAAAACCCACTTAAATGTAACTCTCTCATGTGAGAATAGAAAGAATGCAGGCACATATCCATCTACTTAATTAATTAATTAATTATTAGCAATTAAGAAACCCGAAACAGGAGTGTTGTATTATATATAATAAAAAGAAAATGGAAACATGATGAGATTAAACAAAACAACAGACAGACATTCTTTCATGACAATGTCGAAACACATGTTCAGACAAACCCACCGCCACATCCCAATACCGATACACTTTTAAGTTTCAACTCCTTTTTTTTTAATTTCTTCTTTTCATTTTCAAGATATACAAATTCAGCCATTTTTGTATTTAATTTAATTCAACTTGGTAATATATATGTTAGTTAAATAGTACTTATCCATCTTATTAAATATATGCAGGACTAGAGTGCGTATAATCTTATCCATCCTAACACAGCATAGGTATTATTATTAATTTTTTTATTACTACAACGAGCATCGTATATGATAGATGGTAAATAAGAAATATTTAAAAAAATATTTAATACATAAATTTGACTTTTACCGATTTTTCTCATAATTTTCTAAATTTTACAGGTTTTAATTATGTGTCTGCATTTTCACATTTTAACAACGAGTATTTTGCTCGTTAGAATGAAATTTGTTCCATACTCAACTCATGAGCATGTATATGGTAAATGGTAAATAAGAAATACTTTAAAAAATGTAAAAAAAATATATATATATATATAAGTTTTTTTTTTAAAAAAAGAAAAAAAGTGGTCAAGGTTGAGCTAACGTAAGCTGCTTTTGATGAGCAAATGTGAAAGACAAAAGGCTGGGAAAAGCCGTCATGTCGTTTGCTTTAACGGCCCCAGAAAAAGAAGTTGTACTGATTAAAAAAGGAAAAAAAAAAAGAGTAAGGCTTGGGTCGCAGCTTTGTAAAGTCGTGCTTGCGTCAGACTTTTGTCCTTCAGATTAAAATTAAATCATATAATAAGTTTGTATATCAATACTTTTTTTAAAAAAAAAAAAAAAAAAAAAGTTGTACTGATAAAAAGGAAAAAAAAAAGAGTAAGGTGTCGCGCTTTGTTAAAAGTCGTGCTTGCTCAGATTTGTCCTTCAGAATTAAAATTAAAATCCTATAATAATTTGCTATAATCAATTACTTTTTTTTATAAAAAAAAAAAAAAAATAAGGACCATTGCCACTGTTGCACTTTTTTTAAAAAAAAAAAAAAAAAAAAGGACATTGCCCTGGTTGCATCAATTTGGTTCCCTTTTATTTAATTCATTGAAATTTAAAATAAATAGTAGAAAGTTAAAAATTTTAAATAAAAGATAAAAAATATTCCTTTTTCACGTGTAATATATTATTAGTCCTTCAAAAACTATAAATGCTAATTTATAGATATTTCATTTAATATGTAAAATAAATTTCGAGTCGGACCATGATATATCAACATTTTTACCTTGAAAAATTAATTTAAGACTAAAAATAAATATATTTTTTTTAATTCATTAGATGCCTTTAAGAAATCTTCTCAACTAAGTAAATGATATTTCACATTTTTACTTTTTATAATTATGTTATTTTAGTTCAAGGTGAAATTCAATTCAGGCAAGAATTGCCACCTTAATTTCTGCTGTCTTCGTACCGCCGCCCATCTCCTAGAGACTGCCGAGGCGTGTTCAGGTCAGAATTTATGTCTTTCAATAAAATTACAGAATTTGCCACTGCCCTTCTGCGACTTGATCGGACAATGTCGTACTTTTGGTCCACACGCACTCCGGTTTGACTTTCCCTCTTGTTTTTTATAAATTATTTTTTCATAATGTTAAAATTTGGAATTTTAAATACTTATATTAATTAATCTAAATTGTCAATTAATTATTTATATATATTATATATATATAATATATATATTTAATTAAAAATAATGAATTAATTATATTAGCACTAATGATTAATAATAATATCTTCCTTGTTGAAGGAGACAAGTCATATAATTGATTAACCAATTGCTAATGAAACACTTTGGTCTGCCATTTATTTAATTAAAAAAATATGAATTAATTTATTAGCATAATGATTAATATAAAGATCTTCTTGGTGAGAGGAGACAAGTTATATAATTGGAATAACCAATGCTAATTGGAACATTTGGTCTGCCATTACAAGGTAGAAATGAGTCTAATGGCTGTGTCATGACTAGAGTGGATTTAGCATCTAGTATTTTTTTAATCCATAATTAATTAATTAATTAATGACATAAAAATAATTAATAAATAGTAGTATAAAAAAATAATTTAAAGATTGGCCGACATGCAATGCATTAGCCTATCATTTTAACGGTTACCGTGAGCACACCCACTCCGGTGTTCAACGGCTTTTCGCGGCGATATTTCTATTTTGCCTTTAACTTCCCTAACACCATAATCGCATGTGCAAGCTTCCACGTATTGTTTTGTACACCATCACGTGCTTAGTAGCTATTAACTAACTTTTAATCTTTGAAGGGTAATTATTAACAAGTGAGAAAATGTAAATGTCACTAATCATAAAAGACTGTTATGAGTGTACTCCTATTGCTAGGCCAATATATACAGACAGGATGAGGAGGACTCTTAAAAAAGAAAAAAACTGCCACGTGTCAGACCCCCCAGCATATAAAAAATGATCTGGATGTATGATATGGTTACCTGAATTAGGAAACTGAAATTGAGGAACAAATAGCCATTTTGAATCTGGGTTTGTTTCACTATAAAAGGAAAAGGCAGATAACATAAAAATCTGAACAAACAAAAACCTGTTTGATCAGATCACGCTCAAACAAGAAGAAGAGGATGAGGAAAGTAAAGCCTGTTCTTTTTTTCGGTCTTTATTTGGTATTGAATTGAACCATTAAAATCCGTTGGATAAAGGAAATTATTGCATACAATCCGTACTACAAGTAATAATTTAAAACCACTCACTTGCATTTTAAGTAAACAATAGTGCAACCCTCTTCTTTTCTTTTTGGTCAACTGCAAGTGTAGACCCTTTTCTGTCTTCTTAAGTTGGCAATTGTCTCCTTCAAATTTTATCTTGAGAAATTTAGTATGAAATATTATAATCAAGCGAAATTTTAGTATTCTATTTTATCAAACTTATGAATTTAATGTATACTTTTAAGTTCGATTCAAATAGTTTTCATTTGGAGTCTGATTGATCTAATTGTTTGTCTGTTTGTATTAACTAATAGTTAAGACCAATTAGTTAAGATATCCAAACATCTTTAGAAGATGTTATTCATTTGATGAGAAATAAAAAGAAATATCAAAAATTCGAATAATCGAATATGAAGCGGCTACTTTTCAAATAATAAAAAGAAAATTAACGATTAGAGTGGAAGAAAGAGTCAGAGTCGAAAAGAGGATTCTTCAACGTACTCATAAAATAATGTGAAGAATTAAGATAGGGTTAAGATTTACTAATTATTGTTGCGAAGACATTGAAATTTTAGAAGTTACAACATTAGGAAGAGGGCTTCTATGTCAATGTGATTAACCTTAAACAAATTAAAGTTAGAGACAAAGGGCACTATCTTAAATGTGTCGCATTTTTATTGGCTTTAACAGTAGGAAATGGGGCCCCCAATTTTATCTATATAAACGTTACAAATAGGTACTTAGACCAAATAAATATTAATTAATTGAAAGAACTATCATCACCGTTTGATTAAATCCGCATGATAATCCAATGGTTGATGATGCTCGAATGTTTTGACCAGATGATCTCTTTAAAAGGGATAGATTAGACCTAAGAGACAGCTACTACGTAGTACGTACCACACTATATACTGTTGCCTATGTAATGCATGTTACTAAATAGTAGATATGTTAGAAATTTCAATCCCTTTAATTGAAAAGGAGCCCTGTCCCTCTGAACCAGAATATGCTATTTACGGATACGTTTGTTATCCTCTGTTTGGCGGTCCAGGTAATTTCCTGTTATTATAGTTCCCTATTCCAAAGGGTGAACAGATACTCATTTGTTTCCATAAAATAATTTGTAGAAAAATAATTTAGTGAAAAATAATTTATATGAAAAATATTTTTTTAAAAAATATTTTTCAAATGATTTATTTTTCGTTATTTAATTGTAATATTAACAATTAGCTAAAAATACTAAAGTGTATCTCATAAGACCATAAAAAATATTAATGATGATAGAAATTTTTAAATTTTTAAAATTTTAATTTTATTGTTAAATATGAGAATATTGAAAAAAAATTTAAACTATGAAAGTCATCGGTGGCCAATGGTGGTGGCTGGTGATAGTGGTGATCGGTGGTAAATAGTGAGCAGTAAGTTATTATCCTACAAGTTATTTTACGAAAGTAAACGGAGTCTTAATATAATACTATATAAAAACAAATATTTTCTATTAATATTAGAATATAATTTAAAATATATTACTAAAAACTTATAACATTAAAAAAATAAGAAAATAAAATTAATCCCACCTAAAAGTTCCCATATAAATGAATTACAAGAAAATGAAAAACATTTAATTAATAAATATTCACATAAAGTAGAGAATACAAATTTAATTTTTAAAAAATGTATTTATCGAAAAAGTAAAAAATTTTTACAATCTATGAGTTGAAATAGAAATGTAAACGCACCGAATCGAGCTCAAACAGCTTGCAAGCCAACTCGACTCATTTACACCTATAAATTAAAATAAATTACACTTATTCATTTAAAAAAGAAAAATCTAAATCTCAATCAATCAACAATATTAATTAAAGTTTAATAATATTAATTATTTAAGGATGCAATTTCTTATGGTATCCTTTAAAAAAAAAAAAAAAAAAGAATCGCTAGATATTTGATTAAAAAATTACTATATATTTGAATACATGTGAGGGAGAGACTGTATTTTATATATTATATAAAAATAATAAGAAGATTAAAAAGAGTTAGAAAAAGAAGCCGACAAGCATAATCGAATAAGATCGTTCTTTTTCATCACCCATCTTTCATACTCAAAAACATACCCTTCCTTCCTTCCTTCTCTTCCTCTCTGCAAAAAGCTGATACCCCTAATCCTAAACACTCAATACCCACTTTCTCCTTTTCCTCTTTTAACCCCACACTACCTTCGTACGGACTTCTCCTTCTTTTTAAGCTCTATATTTTTCTGCCCTTTCTTAAATGTTATTACTAATTCATTTAATTAATTAAAAGTTTACTGCTTCACATTGGACATGCCTCGTACATGTTTAAGCATATATGAGGCATGCGTGCTGTGAGCCATGGGAGCTAACCGTGTGTCTATCTATCCATTATAATTAATTTTATAATTTTTAATAATTAATAATTAAATTTGACTCTCTTTTTTTTTTTAAACTCCAATCTCCAAGCATATATTCATAAATTTTTATACACAGCTAAATTAGAATTTGTGCTTAATTAGTATCTATATCCACTTTGTTTTAGAAGAATTTTGAAAATTTCCATTCCTAATATAAATGTGGAGTAACACCTAACTTCCATTTAAAAAATTAAGTTTGTATTAACTCAGACGTGATTTCCTTATTCATTTAAACGTGAAGAGTGTAAAGTGTCAAGTTATTTATTTATTATTATTGTTATTATTTGAGAAAAAAAATATGGAATTTGAGTTATTTTATGATAGAAAATTTCACTAATTGTATAAAGATTATCTCTTTTATATAATTTTATAATATTATTTCGACTCGTTTAACACGGACCAAAAAGAAATTATACCGTAGTCAAACTTACTTATTCTCTTTAAGCTGTACATGAAAGATTATACCTAGCTAATGGAAATATCTAAAGCGACAGGGATCGAGACCTTATACCCCATCAGGGATATTTTTCTAGTGATTTTGTTCCCTCAGTATATATAATTAACTAATATACATTATCTTGGCGGAAGAAAAGTAAAAAAGAACCTAAGTATTCATATATTCTCATATAATAAAGAAAAATTTCAAATTGACGAAATATTTTATCTAATACAGTTTGTTTAAATAAATAGAGTCATGAAATCGATATATTGAAAATAATTTTTAACGTAATCATTTTTTCGATACGGAGTTTGGAAAGATTGACGATGGATGTAATAGTAAAAAAAAATTATAATTTTTTTTCTAGGCTTTTAAAGAATTCTTCAATATATATATATATATAGAAACCGTCCAAATCAAAACAAAACATATGCCATAATTATAAGTTAGCATCAAAGGCCATGAGATTAAGAATATTATCAATCCATTGTTTTGCAAACCCACATGCTCAAGAGTATCAGTATTATTCGACCTTATCTATTCTTTAACCGAAGGAGCAACGCAAAAGAAAAATTAAGATTTAGTTTAATAATTAATGGTAATTAAATTAATATAGGGATTAAAAAAACTGTTGTCTAAAATACTAATATAGTGAAATCTCATTTTGACCCTTCAATGTGAAGCGAAAACTAGAGGCGAGTAGGGGGAGAACTGGAAAGGGAGGCCCAACGAGACGTGGAGCTGATAGGGTCCCAAGAGAAGGGGCTAAAATGCGCATGAAGGTCGCGTCAGCAAAAAGAAACAAAGGTCTGTGACGGCCACGTTCCTTTGCTCCATATACTATTATTATTATTATTTTTAGATAATTTGATCTATATATTATTAAAATAAAATAATTAAATTAAATTCGTGTAGTGGGGCCGACAAGAACGACTGGAACAGCCGTCTATTAACCAATAACTCCCTTCTCATAAAGCCTGTTCTTCATGTCTCTCCAGGGTTATACTGTTTCTCTACCAAATAAATTACTTTTAATCTTTATGTTTCTTTTTAAAAAAATAAAAAAAGGAAACCTTAAATTTTTTGCTAAAAATTCTGTACTTAAATTTATTTATATTTTTCGACCAATTTAATTCATATCAGTTATTTATAGGTATTAACCCGCACACACGGTGCGGGAAAACCACCAGGATCAATATATATTCTTAAATTTAATGACAATATATAAAGACATAAATTAATTAAAAAAATCTTAATCCCTTCATATATAAGAAGATAATTCCAATAATTCATTAAACCAAAATTAATGACGTCACGCATTATATATATATATTTTTGGTGGAACTGGAACCTGGAAAGTGTCTCTTTGAAGTGCAAGATGACAAAGCTCATAAAGCTTAAAGAAGCCTTTTTACTCAAGAAAATCTCTTTCTTTGGCATGCGTTTGAGTCGCTGACGACTACATGACAAACCAACCTTTTAATTACCAAACTACCCCCTCAAATTTCTTTATTGCAAATATTATTATAAATAAAAAAAAATAAAATAAAATCATGATTCCATTCCTTTACTTCTTCTCCTTCACCCCTATAAATATCACCATCTCTTTGCATATCCTTCCACACCAAAACCTTTCACTTTCATCCTTCACAACTCTAAACAATTACTCTTTCTGTTTCTTGACAAAAAAGAAAAAAAAAAAATGTACCAAACAGAGTCATCATGGGGTTCTTACATGCCGCCGAGAAACATCGGCAGCTCCGGCGGTGACCCATTAGAACGTATAGAAAGTTTAGCTTCTGAGAATGCGGTGGTGATCTTTAGCATAAGCACGTGCTGCATGTGCCATGCTATAAAGAGGCTGTTTTGTGGTATGGGAGTTAACCCTACAGTCCACGAGCTTGATCAAGACCCAAGGGGGAAAGAAATGGAGAAAGCTCTTATGCGGCTTCTTGGAAGTTCTTCAGCTGTTCCTGTTGTTTTTATTGGTGGTAAACTTGTTGGTGCGATGGATAGAGTTATGGCTTCTCATATTAATGGTTCTCTTGTTCCTCTTCTTAAACAGGCTGGTGCTCTTTGGCTTTGATGATATTTTACAAGAAAAAGAAAATGACTTGATATATATAGTAAAGAAAAGCAGAGGAAGAGGAGGACTTGTACTTGGAGTTTAGCAGTCTAGCTAGCTCGTCTATTTTGCATACACTAATCACTCACGTGTTAGCTTTCTTTCTTTTGGGTTTCTTCTTCCTATCGCTGACCTATTTTTCTACATATGGGTCCCTTGGTTTGCTTGTGTTTTTCACTAATCTGAGTCTTTTAAGAGAAATGTAATCGCTCCCTCCTCTGTATAGAAAGAAAAATGAAAAAAAAAAAAAATTATATGTTTACTTGTTATTGCTGTTAATGTTGGCTTCTTTTATTTCTTTAACTGAAAGCATTATGATTGTTAATTTTTTGCCTATAATTTTTCAAAAGAAGGGTGAAAATTTTACCTCCGGATAACACACTACCTTTACGGTGGTGGTGGTGGTGCTCCTTCTCCATTTCATGTATCAACCGGATACTGACAGTACCAGTTACTACATTATGTTCATCGACCGTCGATTATAGGTAGGTGGGAAACAGATTGTCCGAAGTTGATGGGGTGGGTCCATTTGGGTGTTGCCGGTACATGCCGTGATTTAACTTGACCTGAAAGAACCTTTCCACGACGCACGGTCTGAGGGTTTGGAAGCCAAAAGTGTGAAAGAAATGGAGCCTTTTCACCAACTGATGTTTCGTCCGTACAACAGAGGTTCCATGGCTATGAAACATGGTCCACCTCTACTGTGTTCAGGGCTTGCACACGTGTCAGCTTTCAACCTTTATTTTTTTTAATAGTTCTGTCAAAAAATTAATTAATGCGAATCAAAGTCTTAATCTCTTATATTAGAAGAATAAATCTTATCATTAAATCAGGTCGAATATTGTACTTTTTATTGAGTCATTACTTTGGTTATTTATTTTTCAAGAATTTCCCATGTGCCTAAAAGTAATGTCTTCAACATTTGAACTACTATTCTAAGTGCTTGCTAAATATAATACGACACATATTTACAATACGACATGGGCTTAAAAGGCTAATTTAGTCCTTTTGATTCTCAAACTTGCTCAGGTAAAAAAAAAAATCTTTTAGCCAAACTTTCCTGTTAAACCGTTGTATCTAAAGTTCATGGACTCGATTGATCTAAATTTATGCCGGATAGAATTACGAGAATAAAACGTTTTCGTTCGAATGTTTAAATGTAGAGAATTAGAATTCCAGACCTCTAATTCACTCCTTAAAAGTGCTTTTAGCCTAACTTTGTATTTTTTTAATTTTTGATTAGGTTAATAATGTAATAATTTTATCATTAAAATTAAAAAGCTAAAGTATATTTGTATATTTCACTTAAAACAAAAAAATTAATACTTGTCATTTTATCATTTCAAATTGCAACAAAAAATTTTTGAATTCAAATAAAATTATGAGATGAAGATCAATCTGTTTTTCTTTTTTTATTTTCTTTTTACAAGCCAACAAAAATTTATGTATATGTAAAATTTTTATTCAATCTTAAATAATAAAATTTATATTAAACTCTTTCATAATTCATTGCAATCTCCAATAGAAATTAACATCAGAAACCAAGTTTGAAAATTTTAATTAAATTGTAAAAAATCGAAATTAATTTTCAAGTAATAAAATTATTAAAAACATAATATTTTATTTTATTATTTTTGGAAAAAAATGGGTTGAAGTCAAAATAGAAAAATCATGTATTAATTTGGATCAAACGAAATCTTTTGGACCCAATTGGACATGCTCGAAAATTATAAGGGCTTAATTGTCCTTTAAGCCGTACATCTGAACATCCCATACCGTACATATAAGCACGTCATTTTGGGCCCTTGAATGGGCCATCTCTCAATTATGAACACATATACTGTTACTAATGTTAGGTTTCAACAGTTCCTCTCTCTAAGCCCATTGGCTGTCCCCTTGATCTATTTGTGATTGGACAGCTCATGAACCCCAAATATGATAAGAAAGAGAATAATATGTTCGGAATCCAGAGCCCAAAAATGTGGCCCATAAGCCATCCATATAGGTTTTGTTTATTAATTATTTATTTAGTTATCAAAGCAGTTGGCCCACTTAGCCCATATATCATTTCATTTCCCAAAGAAAAAACCACGCGCCGAACGGTTTGCGTGACAACTACTAAAGCACTTATTGCGCTCATAATAGTGCTATAATTAGCGGTCACGCCGACGTGTTCACCGACCGCGTTAAATTTCTCACATGCAACTGTTTTTTTTTTTGAGTCAGTGTGAAAGACTGAACAAAAAGACACGCGCAACCAATCTCCTGTTCACCCCGTAAAACACTTGGTCAAATACAACCAATAAAAATGTACCACGTAGTACATCGGGAAAGAAAGTGGAACCTAATTGGCTAGAATTAGTTCAAAGAAATGGTTGCTGTATTAGAAGGAGAAAACTCCAACTGGCTAAAATGCATCTTTTGTACTGGAACTATATATACAATTACTGAGAGCATTCTGAGCTCGAATTCTGTAAAGAAAAAAAAAAAATTTATAAAAGGAAAAACTCTCTCTTACTCTTTCTCTCTCAAAGGAGTAGGAAATTGAAAAGGCAAAGAGAAAGAAAAATTTTATAGCTTCGAGATCGGGACTAGGCTTAGGGTTTCTCTTTGATATCTGTTATTTTGTTTTTTTTTTCTGTATTTGTGGCTCTCATAAACCCTAGAGAACAGCTACTTACTGGAAAGGTAATTGTTTGGTTTAATTTTATGATTAGTTCAGTAATTGCTGATTATTTTGTTTATATCGCACTAACAGTTTGTTCTGCTTGGTTTTAGAAAAAGGAAATGAAAATTCAATACTGAATTGAAATTAAACAGTGTGTTAATTTGATTGTAATTTGATTTTGTATGTAGGAGTTTGGATTGGGTGGTAATTGTTGGTTTGGATTGAACTGGATAGGTTTTTCAGACAAGTGTTTTGTTGTTGCGGACTTTTTGGTTTTGAAGTGGTGAAGAAAGAAAGCTGAAATGCCGGAGGAGGACCTGGTAGAGCTTAAATTCAGATTGTATGATGGATCGGATATTGGTCCATTTAGGTATTCGCCAGCATCCACTGTGGCTATGCTTAAGGAGAGAGTCGTCACTGAGTGGCCTAAAGGTCAGGATTTTTTTTAAGTCTTTGTTTAATATAATTTTTAACTGTCTCTTTTTCAAAAGAATAAGAGAAATTGTTATTTCATTTTGGTCCTAGGAGTTGATTATATTGAGAATTTGAATTGACTGGATAGGCGATTTTGGTTTATGTTAACTTTTTTTTTGTTTATATAAACATTTTTGAATTGATATCGAATTGGGCCTTCTTTTTTTGTACATCCTTTTTTTAAGTATTAAATGCTTAAATCCACAAACAACGATTAGTCCCTCTGTGGATTGTTGTCCCTTAGCTGTTCGAGTTGAATTATATTGACTGGTTCCATTTTGGCAAGTATACTAGGAAAATTTGTTTGTCTTATGTTTGGATACGGCAGTAAATCAGTACGTGGGGACACGTGTGTCAGGATTCAGTTAAATTATTATATAGGGTCTCTTCCTGGATATGCTTGGTCTTGGTTTTAGTTTAAAATATGCGATATTTGAATGCTGATAATATACTTGCATGGGTGAATTTCCTCCTGTATTCAATATTTTAAACCAGCTTAACTATTCATCTTGTTTGGTAACGTTACTTTCATCTTTCCAATTCCGTCAATTATCATGTTGTCAAACTTAGTTTAAAAGCTCACTTCTCTCATGTATTCATTTGCCTTATGCTTCAATCTTATTTTTGTCTAGACTAATTGCTGGCATATACAAGCTTCTTTTCAATAGCATCCAAATAAAATATTCAAATTATGATATTTTGCTATGTGTTTTTGCATCCAGACTAAATGTTTATGCAGATTATTTCTTTGCAAATGAACTCTACTTTATCTGAAAATAATGATTTTGGTCATAATCATGTGTTTAAGTGGAAGTTGGTTTTGGTTCCCTCTTGAGACTCCTATTCTTTTGTTGCAAGGCCCTTGTGTTAAGAAAGCATGAGAGGCAAATCACTGTTGGCTGCCTGCAATTGTGTGGACTATCATGAGCTCATCTTCCCACCCCCTTTCTTTTTTAGGCAGGGTAGGGAGTATAGTTTTACCAAGTTTCATCCTGCAAATGTCTCTGTAAATCCTCCTATACACCTAAAAACTTGGTGTCTGGAACATGTCCTGTTCATTTAGAATTTGAATTTTGGCCATAGCCAAACATATCTATATCAAATCATCTTTCCAGATTGTACTCTGTTTTTTTCTTTCACATTGTGTTGAATTATATTTGAGTTTTAAAGTGATCAAAGTAATTGTTGCAGAATTCTGTAAGTGTCGGCTTCTCTGAATGTTTATTTTATCTGTGTGTCCCGATATTTAATCTGTCCTTGGGGAAGACAAAACCAAATTGGATCCAGAAGGACATAATTTTGTGGTCTTTGGCATTAAACTTGGCTTGGTTCTATTTGCCTGTTTTACATTATGCTAATGATATGTTTGTGATATTAGGAGACAGGAACATGCAAATTGATTACCTTTATAGGTACTTTCCTTCGTTAGGAAGGGGACATTGTTGAAGAGCCTTCCCTTCAGCAATAATATTGTATTTCCTTGTTAGTTTTAACTTTTAACAATTTATCTTTATGTTTTGCTTGGACCTACCTGGCTTATCTTCTGAAAAGCTTGACTTGGCAGTGGATAATCTCCTTTGACTCAGGCCCAGCCTGATTGAGGCCTGCCTCCAAAGTGGGCAATCTCCCAATTTGTGTTTGTCAAGCTCATCTTATCAACAAGATATATTATTTTACACATTTTTTTATTGTATTCGAATGGGCTTGGTCAAAGGCATATTCCCAAATTGTCAGGCTGGGTTTGGCTAAACAAGTATATTTAAAATTCCTTCCCTCCAAGTCATCAAACACTTTCTTTTCCTCTGAATTCAGAGACGTAGCATGAGGGTGACTGGGTGACATTGGGTTAGGTCAAATGCTTGTGGGCTCAGAAAACCAGAACTCTGGAAAAATGTTTCTTATTACCACTGGATGAAATAAAGGGCTCTTAGTTTTGTTAATGTCAGTTGTTAATAATTATATTTGGAGAGTGAAGTGGTGATTGTAAGGCTTGTTTTCTACCTTCATCTTTTTTTTGTGAGGCTGGGTTGCTCTGGAAGTTAGGTATCGTCTAAGTTAAATACTTCTGCTTTTCTTTCAATTGCATGATCTGATTGTGATTGATATTAGTCATCAAACATTCGTAAGAAAAGAAAAAGAAAGGAAAAATGGAGGATGGGGTATTTTTTTTGGGTTCACATTCATGGCTTGCAATTCTTTCTGTTGGCTTTTAAATGCTTGTTCTATGCATAATTTACTTTTGACTATTAGTTTCATCTTCTTGAGAAAACTGAACTTTCTGATTTGTGTAGATAAGAAAATTGCACCCAAGGCAGCAAATGACATCAAATTGATAAATGCTGGAAAAATTTTGGAAAACAGCAAGACCGTTGGCCAATGTAGGGTTCCTTTCGGGGAGCTTCCAAAAGGGGTTATAACCATGCATGTAGTTGTGCAGCCATCTTTAGTCAAAGCTAAAACAGGTAGGCCTATATGTTTGCTAGGATTTTATTTTTACCCTATGACACTGTTCAGTGTAGAGTTATTTTGATAATTGTTACTCTTATGCGTTATAGCTACCTTTATCTTGATAGTAGTTGCTTTATGTGGTTGTGTTTGGCTGGAATCCACTTAAATGAAATAAAAGTCAAAGAATATTATGCATTTAGTAGTCAGATCATGTTATCGAAAATATATAAGATCGCTTCCCTGATGCTGTAAAAGAAAACATTATCATGAAAACGTGAATATGCAAAAGTTAACAGTCATTCATATGAAAACCTCTATGAGTCTAATTTCTGATGAGATATAGAAGTTGAGATTTGCTTTCTTCTCAGTTATAGAGACTTGTTTACTTTATATGTTTAAACAGAGAAAAAGGTGGATGAGGCCCCAAGGAAAAATTTCTGTTCATGCTCTATATTGTAAGAGAAAAGACAAGATCCATTCAGTTCTAAGCTTGTGAGGTTGCGTTGGAGTTGCTAGGATCTCATGGCCATGGATACTGGTTGCTGGAAAGATAATAATTTGTAAAATGGTGCCATTCACCTAGTGCCTCAATTCGAGGTCATTTCTTTGTAACTATATGCTGGTGATGATGTATTTGTGTTCTATAAAGTCGCGTGTTTCTGTATTTCTACATGTTCTTATAATTTCTTTTATACAAGGCCTTGGGTTCGGACAGTTTCTCAGGCATATTATTTAATGGAACCTGTTATGTCTTCCACTCTTGATTACCAACCTGAAATATGTCTTTTACGACCTATTTTTTCAATTTCTGGAACTGTAATGTTTCTTCTCAAGGTTAATTTTTATCTTCTTTTCCATCTTCCAAACATTGTTCTTTTTGGCTTTTTGACTTCTGTATGTGAAAACCACTGTAAGCCTTACAAAAATAAAAGTCATTGCATGAAGTATTTTTCTAAATTAATTACTCTCTCTAATTATTCAAAAAACCAAAATTTGGTAGATATTTAAATAATTAATTAATATAAACCTAATCATAATTTATTTTTTTTCATTCTAATAATAAAAAACAGACATCTTTTTCCATATCATCCCTTTTCTCATATCTTGGCACTTGCGTTGTTCTTTTTTGGATAATATATGTGCATATATGTTTGTCTTTTACTTATAGCTAAGGAACCAACAAACTGAAAACCTCAAATAACAAACAAAAGAAGCCCCAAGGCAAGAATACACGTGAAAAGATTTAAAAAAAAAAAAAAAAATATCAGTGTCATCAGCATCGCCATGCAGAAGCAGCAACTAGAGCTCTATCTTGCCACCCTAAAAGCAAACAACCCTTATCTTCTGTCAATCTGTACCCATCACAAGAATACAAACCCAACAATATTCTTGACTGAGTTACTGCATTTGCACTGAGTGGCACCCCCTTAAACCCTTTTCCTTCCATTAACTTTCTCCATTTCTCCAATCTTTCATGTCTTTCTGTTCTTTCCGCTCCTTCACATGCTACTATATTCCTTATTTCCGGTGCGAATATGTACTGCTCCAATTTCGCTCTCTGCGCAGAATCCGGTGGGAACGTCGCGTCTAATGAGTCAAATATTGCTGAGTAATAATGCAACGCTTCAAGAAATCTTCCTAAAAAGTATGGTCCGTTATGACTTGCTTCTCGTTCTACTAGGGTTACTATATTCGGCGCTTGGTCACGTATCATGGCTAATAAATTACCAAGACAGTTAGCCGGAACGCGGTGGAGCCGGTTAACGGAGTTAACGGCGAGAGCTTCACCGACTCTTCTGTTAAACATATGGGGTTTTAGATTATCTAATTCTTCTGCTACAGGATGATACTCGAATGGAACGTGCAGTGAGTGAGCTAACTCTGTTAAGCACCGACCCGTTTCTCTTACGCTTTCTATGCTGGACCCAACCCCTGTTATTCGAAGAAATGGAGCTCCGCCGGGTCTTGCTGCTAATGCTTGCATGAAAGCTGGCCATTGATAGCCTTGAAGGATATCTAAGTCAATGACATGAACGCGTTCTTCCGCTTCGAATGCTTCGAAAATGGCTTGATTAGCGGTGAAATGAGCAAATTTCACATAGGGGCAAGCTTGGTAGAGGATTTGGTAGATCTTGAGGATTTCCAAGGAGTTTGGAGGGTAAGGAGAGAAGGGTTTTGTAGAAGAAGTGGAATTTGTATTAGTATTGGGCTTAGCTGTCAGAGTTGCAGCAAGTCTAGCACTTAAGGCTTCAGTGAAAAAAGAAGCAACTCTTTGCATGGAATCTCCAAGAGGTGAAACCACTCGATTTAGATGGTGCAGATATTTTCTTGCTAACATGTAGTCTTCTTTGGCTACTGCCTCTGCACATGCAAGGAGAAGGTGTACTAGTTCAAGCCCACTGTCTTGTTCCTGAGTTAAAAAAATTATATATCAACTTAATGAACAAATACATAATATGGATAAATAATTAATATTGAATTTAATATCATAATTAACAATAAATACATAATAGGGATTCACCTGCTCCGAACCAATAGGGAAAGGAGACATCAAGCTATGGTTAAAATTCTGCTGTTGCTGCTCTGGAAGTGCTGTTGCTACTGGTGGCAGCGGAGCCGGCGGCGTTGTTGACGGTGGTGGTGGTTGTTTCTCCAGTTGTTCTTGTTGCAGTTGTTGAGAAAGAGAAGTCATTTGATAAATATCTCTGTCCTGAGATCTTACTGAAGAGTTTTCACTAACCGAAGCACCAAACCTGGAAGAAGGATTATGCATGTCCAAACAATCCAAAACTGCAGGAATTGAGGTTTCAATATCAAAAGAATTTGCACTATTCCCAGTTGAAAACCTACTAGGTTGATACCCTCCACTAATAATTCCATCTCTCTGATTATTATTATTAGCATAATCATCCAAGAAATCTTCAAAAGCAGGCAAAGAAGAAAGACTCTCAATTTGCATAAATTGATTGTTGTTATTATTATTATTATTATTATTATTTGGAGAGTTAAATACTCTATGCAAAGGACTTTGCCCTCTTCCTTTAAGACTATTATTAGTAGCAGTAAGCTGAGATAAATATTGTCGCGGAGGCGAACAACCCGAAATGCTTTGCCCTTGCGTTGAATGAACATAACTATAATTACAACTCCAAGCTTGTGGAGATGGTAAGTTCCTCACTGGAGATAATATCATGAAATCGGAATCCAAATGATCGGAGAAAAATGTTTCCCACATGGAACTATCCGGTGACTGAACTTCAACATCTCCATCCAACTCATATTTCACTGCAGGGAAAGTAAGGTTTGGTGGAGCTAAGTGATTATTGTGTTCTAACTCAGAAGAAGATAGTAATGTTTTATTTTTCAACTCGGAAGAAACTGATGAGCTTTCACTTTTGATTGAACCCATTCTTCCACAAACAGAATTGATCATTCCTCAATTGAGTTTTCTCTGATTAATATTTGGTATAAACATTGGTGGGTATGGTTTAATTTAGATAGAAGAAGCTAATTAGAGAGTGTTTTTTCTCTTTTTATTTCAAAAAAATTGTCTTTTTGTACAGTTTGGAGTTGAAAAAGAAAGAAGAATGTGACAAAAATTATGTTAATTTCACTTAATTGGAGCTTTGTGAGTAAACACCTCCAATATTATCACCTTTACAAGGTTTATAAGCTGTTTCCTAGAGGTTTAATTTTGTCATCTTGGGTTATCTGTCTATAACTCTACTTTGGGAAAGCCTGTGATTGCACTACTTGACAATTTCTTTATAGGGCCCCACTTTCCTTGGGCCGGCCCAATTGAGAAACAAGGAACTAGGGAATTTATGGAGGTTTAATTTTAATTAAAAAAAATCATAAAAGGGCATATTCAATATAATTAAAAATCAAATAAAGAGAAGGAATGAAATGTATTGGCCCTGCTCAGTGTATCAATTAATAAGACAAGGAAGGACTTCATAATAAATTAATAATTGCATGACATATTCTGAAAAGGACTTATTTAGAAGAATGTATAAAGACAAATTGGATCAATACTTGTAGGCATGGCCACGGTTCCGGAACCGGCGGTTCCGGTTCCGGAACCGGCGGTTCCCACGGTTCCGGAACGGCAGGTTTCCGGTTCCGGAACGGCGGTCCGGTTCGCCAGGAAAGAGAAAAGCTGGAACCGAACCGGAACGAAAATTGGCCGGTTCCGGTTCCGCGTTTGGAACCGTTCCGGGTTCCGGTTCCGGTTCGGGTTCCGATCCGATTACTAAAACGACGGTTCCGGATTGTTTCGGCGAATCGCATTAATTTGAAATTTTAAAATTTTGAATACCGGTTTTAAAAAAAAAATTATAATTAACATAAAAAATAAAAAATACTGTTAAAAAAATTTTAAAATATCAAGACCAACTAAAAAAAATTTTATTTGAACATTAAAAAATTTAAAATACACCTAAAAAATTTCAAATTTTTAAGGACCGGTTTTAAAAAAAAATTTGGAACTGATTTTTTTTTTTAAGTCTTGAACATTAATGATTTTTTTTAAAAAAATTTGAAATTGATTTTTTTGTTTTTTTAAGTTTGAACATAATTGGATTTGTTTTAAGACATTTAACACAAATTTAAAAAAAAAAAAAAAAAAAAAAAACAAAAATCTTTGACAGTTACAACGGCTAGAACCGCGGTTCGACCGGTCGAAACCGGCGGTTCTAACGGCCGGAGGAACCGGCGGTTCCATCCGGTTTCCTGACCGGTTCTATTGGACCGCCGGTTCTTGGTTCCACATTTGCTGGAACCGGAACCGAACCGGATTTTCCGGTTCCGGTTCCTCGGTTCGTCCCGGTTCCGGTTCTCCCGTTCCGGGTTTCCGGTTCCGGGGCCGGTTCGAACCGACGGTCGCGTTCCCGGAACCGCAATATGGGCATGCCTAAATTACCTTTGTATGATTATTTGCCGTCACAAGGGGCCCGCACTTGTTTGAGTTCCGGTTCTCACCGGTTCCGGTTCCGGTTCCGGGCCGGTTCGAACCGACGGTTCCGGTTCCCGGAACCGCAATATGGCCATGCCTAAATACTTGTATGATTTTGCCTCAACAAGGAGGCCCGCACTTTTGAAGCTTTTGGCTTTCAAAGATCTATTATGGGAATTTTTGAGCAGTAAATGGTGATTTGAAATTAATTTTTCAAAAAATTATAGTATGATCCGCGTGGTTTGTAAAATACAATTAATTCGTCTTTATTTTTTTTTAAATATACTAATTTGTCTCTCTATTTTGTTTCTGTTACATTATTAGGTCATTCTGCTCAATTTTGGTATCTTTTTGTTAAGTTAATAAGAAAACACAGAAGTCAGCTGAGAGATACTAAAATATTATGCTAGAAAAATTACAATACAGTCCCTATGGTTTGAAAATACAACTAGTATGTCTCTATAGTTTTTAAAAAATAAAAGGGGTATTTTCATCATTTAATAAGGCACTTAACATAAAAGATGCAAAAATTGGACGAAAAGACCTTGATAAGAGTAAATTGAAAAAGTGCTCAAGAGATATGTTTGCTACTGCTAATCTAGAAATCAGATAATCATTTCCTTGTTCTCATACACTTATTTATAGTACAATTTAGACTGTAACTGACCGTATAACTTTTATGGTAAGAATCTTAACTATGAATGCCGAGCAAGAATCTCAACAATTTAATAACTCTTAATGATCTGTTTGACTGAATATTACATTTATTTAAATGAGATTAAATATTGTTTGGACTCGACTAGTTGCTCGGCCTCTTTTGTTGCTCGGACTTTGGTTTGCTCAATTCAGATCCTATTCCTATCAGACTTTATAGTCTTACAGAATTAAACTATAAGGACATTTTAGTTTATTTCCTAAAAGATAAGGATGGAGTTTCGTAAACTATAAGGATTATATGGTAATGTTTTCTTAATTTTAAAGATAAGGGTTTGAGTAATCTAATATGATAGATCAGGGTTAGTAGCATATTTATCTCATCTACAAAAATAGTAGTTTAATTTTTAATTTTAATAAGAATTAATGGAAATAATAAGTTCTTTTTTTGATAATGGTAATATTTAGGAAATAGTACAGTAACTAAATAAGTGAGGGGAGAGAGAACGAAAGAGAAGTAATTAATGAGGTGGAAGAAGAGCAAGTGAAGAAGAAGACAAAAATATTGGAATGACATAGGCAAGGTCGTCGTCGGTTGTGGCGTCGGTGGCGCCGCCTGCACCTTGGATTTGCCAAAGGAACGAAGTGCTTGTCTCAGTCTCTCTCCAACCCTAGGCGGCATCTCTTACTATTACCGTTTCATACCCATGTCTCCATTTCATGCTACTGCATGCCAACTTTGTCCAAACACGATCGTCTAGGCAAATAGTAATACCAATATTTTTAGTGGGTTTATTTACATTTCCATAATTAACATTTTTTAATTATTAATTTCACGTCACGGTATTTATATAAATACATGTAATTCAGATGGTTACAAAGGATTGGAAGATTAAATAGTAACAATAAGAATTACAGTTTATATTTTAAAATATTGTTTAATCATTATATTTTCTAAGTATTGCAAATAATTTAAGCTTAATCAAGCGATCAAATCATTTGATATTTAGAACTCTTCTTTCTTAATTTTTGAATTTCTTAACAAATTCATTATTTGCATGACTATGTAAATGTTGTTATTAAACGGAAAAATGAAAATTTAATCAAGAAATATAATAAGCTTTAGTTATAAAATTATTTGAAGGAAGACATCAAAGTTGTCTTATGATTTGTTTCCATAGGATAGAACAAACGTTATTAACGTTATTAGCCATGGCAATGGCATAGTGGGAGTTAAGGTACCTTCTAAACAACAATCGAGTCGAGTTCAGGGACCTCTTTGAAACAGTAAAAAGCAACAGTCCAAAGGGTCTTCCATTGCTTCAGTATAGTCTTGGACTGTTGAAGGCCAAGCCAACCCACTACAATTCTCTTAAAGTCCGTACATTCTCTCAAATATTTTCGAGTATTTTTATATTTTATATTTTATAATTAAAGAAATATTTTATTTCTAACAAGTTTCAATTTGAATTTGAGCTCAATTTATTAACTTTATTGAATCAATTTGAATTAATCTTTTTCAAATGCAGGGGAGTGACAGGTGGTTAAAATCACTTGGATGTTAGAGTACTTGTTCCGGCCCTTTATAGGTGCCCCTACGCCTATGAAAGGTGCCATTAATTGCCTTATTTAATCTTGGTTGCCTTGATATAATATTTGATATATAAATAAGAATTAACATTTTACTCCTATGTGTAATGTCGTGCTATGTGTTGTTATGTGTTCCTCGATGGTGCTTGAATTGTTCTTGTATTCGAATTTATATGATTACATATCGATTAAGTGAGTCTCAAACAACATACCAAAGGTTTAAGTTTATTTGCAGCTTTGAATGTATTTTTCTAAAAAGTTTATGTTTATAAATAGATAAATAAAATAAAATTCACTCTTTGTAATTACTTCTTTCATATTTTGAAAGCCTGCTTTCTTCATTTCAAATAATATCAAGTAATAAAAATAAATTTATTTTAATTATAAAATATTTATAGAAATTTGAGATATAAAATTACAAAAAATAGACAAAAAATTTTCACATTATCATTATCATTTTGTGTAACTACAAGATATCCATGCTGTGTCTGCTTAACGGTACATATAACTAGACTATTTCTCGTAGACTTCGAGAGATACGAGAGTTGATTCATAGAAATTTTGTGCTGATAAAAGCTCTCATTCACGAAATAAAACCACATTACAAGCTCATTTTTTTTTTTTTTCATCTCATATTAAATGGTTGTCCTGATTGGTCTTCTGATCTAAATGAAGAGTAAAAGATTTCTGAGTTGGAGAAAAAATAGAAAATGCGGACAATGGAATGAATAGCTAATGGACTGTCCAAGAATCAGATTTGTTAGTGGGCTTTTTATGTTCAACATAAAGTGGGTTACTTATAGCCCATTGGGACTATGGATCATTGAGAAAATGGGTTATAAGCCTGGGCTCCTTTTAATTAGTAAATTCATAGTTCCCTTGACATGAAATAGAAGTTGCATTTTGACTACAAAATATGTCGTCATAATAATATAATTCAAATAAATTTCCCATTATATAAACTTTTAATAATGAAATTCTAAATTATTTTTTTAATTGTGTATTAAACTAATTCTAACTCATAACCTCACAATTCATAAAAAATCACTATTAGTCAAAAACTCATTTTTTTTTTTTTTTTTTTACAAAATTCATAAAAAAATCCACTAATTACGTCAAAAACTTTCATTTTTTTTTTTTTTTTTGTTAACAAAATTTCTCAAAATGCTTTTGAGGGGAAAAAATTTATGTCCACCAAAATGTAACATCTTTTTAAGCTTAAGGTTTTTTTTTTTTTTTTTTGTTACAAAATTTCTCAAAATGCTTTTTAGGGGACAAAATTATAGTCCACAAATGTACATTTTTTAAGTAAGGTTTTAGGGAAAGAATAGATTGAGGAAAAAAAAAAAAACCTAGTAAATTTCCACTCGCGTGTATAAGTAATTTTGCCTTAATTAAAAATATTAACTTCCTCTTTAATACGTATAAAACTGAGAGAAGAACATTCCTGACTGTAAGTATTTAAAATTAAATATAAATGTATACCTAAAGTCCCATGGAGAAAAAATAAAAATGTTCGGTTCCTAATTGAAAGAAACAAATGGCTAACCTTCAACCTCTCAGAAAACCATAAATAAGGGGTTATTTGAACTGGGAATTCTATTTCATTATGGCTTGGCTAGCAACATTACTATAAGCTCTACCAACTTGGCCATGGTACCAACTTTCTTAGTCCCATGGAAGGAACACCTTTCTCTAAAAGAATAAAGAAAAGCAAGGTGAGTTTGATGGAAGAAAACATCAACTTCTCCTTCATTATGTGTTTGATTTTGCAGTTGAACAAGAAATTCTCTTCTTTCTTGGCAACTCTTGTGATGCCTTTAAAGCTCACATGAACAACATGAACACTTCCTATCTAGCATGTAGATAGGTTTATCTTCTCTGAAGCCTTATCTTCAACTATTTACTCCATACATGAACATGCTTTTGTGTGCATGTGCAATAAATTCAAAGAGAATTTCTTTGTTCAAATTCCACAACAATGGGTTCAATTTGCAATCTATGTTGATTAAGAAGAGTTTTGAGTCAATAAGTTGTCGTTAAACAGAGGTTTAATCTGTCTTTATTATTTCTTTTCAACTTTCATTGAACATCAACTTCCATTCCAGTAATCCTATAAATACCTTTAACTTCCTTTTTGAGCTACCCAGAAAAAGAAACCTTGAAATCAAGCCCCACATCAGAGATTTCTCATAAACAAAGAGAAGATACCCTCTTTCTCTTTCTCTTTCTCTTTCCTACGCATGAAACCCCATATATGCCAAATTACATTCACATGTCTTTGTTTCTAGCGAAAAAGATAAATCTCCTCAACTTTTGCTTACAGTTGGATCTCCACCAACTCCCTTTTGCTTATCCGCAATAACAGAACTCATCTTCTACTATATCGTAAGGCTTTGATTAGTATTTACTAAAATCCATCGGATCATAGAGTTGCCTATCCGTTTTTTTGTTCCTCCTCAAGATTTTGCTGCCATGAATCCAGTGATTCTCTTCGTTCTCTCATTTTTGTTTATCAAGTCACTATCTTCAAAGGTTGTGCCAAGCAGAACAAATGCCCATATCACTGTAATGGGTTTTGTTTACTGTGACATCTGTTCCAACAACAGCTTCTCCAGACACAGCTACTTCTTACCAGGTAACTAATCTCTAACAGCCCATAGCTGCTTTCAAGTTTTATTACAAATTTTTATGGAGTTTTAGACATAAATGGAGCTAATATATTATTATCATTTACATATGTATAACCAGGTGCAGGAGTTAAAATAGACTGCAAGTTCAAAGCAATTGCACCAAAAATCAGAGAACAAGTAACATTCTCAGTAAACAGAACCACAAATAGGCATGGAATTTACAAGTTGGAAATACCAGCTGTTGATGGGATGGCATGCGCAGAAGCAGCCATTGAATCTGCCTGTGAAGCAAGCTTAATTTGGAGTTCATCTAAGTCATGCAATGTTCCTGGATACAAATCCACATCAGATCAGATAACAATCAAAGCCAAACAACCCAATCTCTGTGTCTACAGCCTTACTGCATTGAATTATAGACCATCAAAGATTGATCTTAGCTTATGCAGAAATTAAGATGAAGATTTCTCCATTTCTTTCACCTTACATCACATATATATGGGCTTTCTTTCATCTAAATGTGCGCCTTTTCTCGTTAGATGCTATTTCTTCAATATCATCCTTCACTCAAAATAACTGCAATTTCCATTACTAGATTCTTCCAAGTCCATCAAAGCATTCTGCATTTCCTGGCCCGCTCACTATTAAACAGCTGCAGTCTTGGTACCTAATTATTAATTTTTTAATATAATATTATTTGTTGGCTTGGGTTAGCTTATACTAATATGTTCAAATATTTTTGTGCACTCTAAGACTCCATTTGGTAAGTCGAATGAAATGTAATGCAATCATATGTATTTGTAGTGTAATGTTACAGTAGAAATACATCCATTTATATTATATTCCATTCCATTATAGCTCATCAAACAGAACCTAAACTTCACTGCTATGCCCCCCTTCCCTTCTCTTCTGTTTTCATTTTTAATTTAGACTGAACATTTTCTAGCAATTAAAGTTATCACCACTAAAAATGATGATTATTTTGTGAAAATGAAAACAAATCTAAATTACTAGAAACCCCTGAGATTTAGTAAACTACCATTTGAGTCTCTATTGATTAGAAAAAATAAGGATGTTAGTCCTAATAGAGAATTTGCCACAAAATTTGAGACTTTTGGGGTACTTTTGTTTAATAAAATTGAATGGGAAATTAATCATATATTCAACTTCAAACAGCTGCAATTGCAATCAACTTTAATTACAGAATGGGTTCTCCAATGCCGACAGAGCTGCCAATATACAAAGGCTTATATAGACAAAACAATGCAATCAGAGGAGGATAGCAGAATAGATGGAAACATGCTTAGCAAACAGCCTGAATCCAATTGAACGCATTTCAGCACTAGGTTGTATTCTGGTCACAGCAGCATCAACCAGTGAAGATGTCGCCATTTGTTGTTTCGAGTGTCAATTCACAACAGGCGCAATTTGCATCAAGCTTATATCTAATTTTCATTTTTGCATCATGGATATACTTCCAAATATGTATATGAATGTATTATGTAACTATGTATGCACGTCAAGGTGAGGGAAGCCAGAATATAAAACGTAAGGTTCAATCTCTTTTCATAGTAATCCATTCAATACCCTAGAACATTAGAAGAAGATAAACAATGATTCAAGAAACAAATATTTCATCCCAGACTACATTTACACACGAATTCAAGAAAATGCAAGCAAATATTTCTTTGCCACATAAGAAGAAGTCAGATGAAGATGCATGTAACACCTAAAAGATGGTCATATGCAAGTCATGTGACTTGTCCTGCAATGCCAAACAAATATGTTTTTTATGTTGGACAAAGTGGATGGCTGTATTTTCATGCATTGCCAAAAATCATAATAGTTTGGCAGTCATAAAACTGAATATAGAATTTATAGGTAAATTATCAAAATGTAAAATAACTTTTGCAGCAACAAGAACAGAGAAAGAATAAGGAAGATATTTATTTGCTCTCTCATTTACTCCATTTGATTCTTTTTTTTTTTTTTTTTTTTTTTTTTTTTTTTTTTTTTTTTTTTTTTTTTTTTTTTGTTTTGGCATGTCGAATTCAAATGAACTTACAGTTAACTCTTCCTTTCCCCACAATCCCTCCCCCAGCCCCAAGGATATCAAACGTGAGACCTCTTTTTTTTTTTTTTTTTTTTTTTTTTTTTTGGCATGTCGAATTCAAATGAACTACAGTTAACTCTTCCTTTTCCCACAATCCCTCCCAGCCCACCAAGGATTCAAACCTGAGACCTCCTAACAGAATCTCAAGTTTTAACTGCTGGGGCATCTCCTTTGGCGCACTCTTTAATTTTGAAGTCTGCATTTTATGTCACAAAGTAACTTTTATTTGTGTACATCAGAGAAACCAAAAACTATTCAGTTAAGCTTGTTAAATCGAACTTACATCTCTAGAACAATCATAATAAACAGTATCTTACTAACACTTTTTTCATATCACTTACAAAGCAGCCCTACATGCATTTGTGACTGGTATATATATGAATTAAAAGATGTTGCTGAAAAATTATTTTTTTAAAGAAAAAAAAAAAAGCTAGTAAAGACAATTTCAGATTTGAAAAAATTACCAATGCAGAGAAGTTGAGCATGATGCAGAAATGAGCCAAGAAATGTTGTGTTCTGATTTTATCATCGCTCCTGTGTTAGTCATACCTCTCATAAAATTGCAGCACTGCATGCCAAAATGCTAAATTAACACTACATAAAAAGAATTATACATCCTAAGACTAAACTACGAGGCAAAATCCAATCTCCATATGTGTAATTTGGCAACATATCATATCTATCGACACTACATTACAGAAAATCCTATTGACATGCACATAATTACACATAAGATATATGATCTGCAGGTCATGTATTTTTTTCCTAAAATAACCTAGTCATTGGATTTGTTCGCATGGTGGCTTAATGTACCCCAAGCTACATATCTCATATTTCTATAATCCAAGATTGGTTGCAATGCATGGCAAGGATGGGGTTTCACATGGATTGAGACAAAGGGAAAAGTATGAGAACTATTCTTTCTTTTGTTTCATAGGTTACATTAGATAAGAACATCAATAATTACTCTAAAACCTCTTTCACACTTGAAAAATGGAAAGAATAACGAGATTCTGCTTGGTTTTGCATAAGCTGACATTTTATTACCCAGGATTTTGTGCACCTAAGGCCACCAGACTACCAAAATGCCTCTAACCCTTTTGTTGGATAAGTTAAAATAAGATTGACTGATGTTTCCCTTGTTTGGATTTGTGGAGGAAAATATTCTGGTAATTTCCCTGCATATCTACTCTCTCCAATTTGTTGAGAAAATAAGAAGGAAATTGAGGACAATCAAACTAACAAGGAAAACAAACTAATTTTCCCTCCACTCTCTCCTATCCAAACAAAAAGGAAGGAAAATAATTTACTTTTATCCCTCCTTATTTTGCATGTCTATTTCCTTTCCTCTGTCCCATATTATTCAAACATGCCATGAATGCTATTGCAAACAACTTTCGGAGCTTTATTTCTCAAACATGCCAAATATATCATATTCCAAGATAGTGCTTTTCTGAGTTTCTCAACTTCCACAGCAACAACAGTGCAAAACAAACCCTAATTCTAATTAGACAAAGTCACCTGTTCGCATTTTGTAGAATCAAAATTGCAGCTTGCACCATAAAAATAAGGCAATGCTGCAATGCTAGTAAAGAACTAACTTCAAAGCACAAAACTTGGACCTCGACTTACTCGAAAGTTTCAAAATTGAGGCTTTGGGAAAGGATTTATATCATTTTAGCTAAAATAAAAAATCTAAGCAAATGAATTTAAGTTAAAACTTATAAAACGGACCCAATTCGTGAAAGATCACAAACTGCGAATCTACGGTGTAATAATGCCTGTATGTTATATGTCTACGTCCAAACCTGAGCTGAGCAGAACAACTTTTGCTTATTTCCATTGCCTTTGCTTCCATCGCCGCCGCTGGCTACCTGACTACCTCCCTCGTGTTGAGAACATGGTCACTGGGAGGCAAGGCAACATCTGGTATTGGTAGAGGCATTGGATGAAGAGTAACGACGTCGTTTTGGAGCTTCTTCACGTTATGTAATTTAAACGATGTCGTTTAAATCAAAGGCCCTATTTCTTGAATATGGCATGGATTAGTGGAATTTGAATAATGGAATTTAAGAAAATACTAATCTAAGCTAATCATTAATTTTCATTTAAAAAAATTCTCATAATTTGTTATTAATTTGTTTTTTTTAATGAAAATATGCTAAAACTTCTATTTACACTAATAACTTTATTAGATTGTTTCGGTATCTGTGTAGTAATTCATTGAGACCTATAATGATAAAAAATCATCGGTATTTGGACCATATTATCAGAAATTGTCTAATCCGACTCGAGACTTAGTCACAGTTAATACTTCTCGTCCTTCCTTATAAGTACGTTTTGTGAGGATCGAATTCGAAAGTTCTTCCCACAAACATAGACTGCAATAATCTGTGGGTTCATAAGCTATTAACTTAGTTATGAATCTGCTGCATAAATTAAATAAACAAAATATCATCTACTATAAATTCAAAATTTTCAACAAAAAGCTACATCTTACAATAGTGATTCTAAGAAAAGAAAAGGTCAAAATGCAAATTTAAAATTTTGAATATTTATTTGCAAACACAAAGCACTCCGACTTTTATTTTGATTAAAATTAAACCCTAATTTAACTATGAGTAAAAAGAAATTGAAGTCATTAACATTAATAAATAGATGCAATAATATATATCAAGAGAAAAGTACAGAAATTCAGCAAATCTTGATAAATTGAAAGACTTAATAATGTGATTTGCCCAAAAAAAAAAAAAAAAAGGAAGACATAATAATTCAAGTCACCATAGACAACACCGTGACTAAAATCAGTAGCAATATGAAGAAAAGATTCATATCTTCTTTTCTTTTCTGTTTTTTTCTCCCTCATATCTGCATAAGTTCTTGGAAGACTTTCATGGCAGAAGCAGGCAAACCCAAGAGCACATTTATGCTTTTTCTCTCATTACCATGGGATAAGAATAAAATCACTTCTTTTTCAGGCAAAGCAACTGGTCCTGATAAAATTGGCTCTCCCCAACCAAAATCTGTGGTGTGAAAAGACAATCTAGACCAAGTAGTTATCAAAAGAGTAGAAGCCAAAGAAGGCCTTGCTCTTGTCACTTCAAAATAATCAATTGCTGATCTCATGTAAGAATCTGTTACCATTTTAATTGAATTTTGAACTAACCCAACTGCATATGACAATGGGCTGTCTAATAATTCACTTACTTTGCATATAGAATTTGTTAAAACAATTCCATTCCCAAAATACCCTTCTGGCAATTTAGGGTTAAATTTAGGCCTGCCATCAACAGCAAATAGCAGCTTTGTTTCTTGATCAGGTACCAAATTGAGTGCTTTTGTTCTAGCTCTCCATACAAAAGCTGAAAGGGTTTCAAAGGTTGTGCATTTTTCAAGAATCCCATCTTCCATAGCTTTTGTTTTGATTTTGTTGAGCATTTCAGGGTTGAAACAGAATGAATTGTAGAGAATTTCTTCTTCTTTGTAAAGGGTATTTGTTTTAGACTTGTCTTCTATCTCTGCAAATTCTTGGTGGTTGTATTCTGTTTTTGGTGGGTTTCTAGCTTTAAGAATTGTTCTGTCTATAAATGGTGGGATTGAAAGTGGCAAGCCTCTTGCTGTTTCTCCCCATGAGTTTACAAATTCCATTGCTCCAATTCCATCAAACATGCAATGGTTCATGCACAATCCAAGCACAAATCCTCCACATTTGAATTTGGTTACCTAGAACAATAACAAGGAGTTGGCACTTTAATCATCCCAAAATAACAAAACAGAAACCACATTCAATTATAACAAAACAGAGAAATTAAGTAGTTTCAATTTGTATCTTACAAGTCAAAATTTTAAAAAAGCAACTATATCAAGCACTTTTGGATTGGAAAGTTGTAAAACCTGAGCAACAAGAGGAGGCATTTCAAGGATGTTCTTTGCACCAGGAATGTCATAAACAAGTTTTCCAAGAGTATCAGGATCAGGCTTGGTAATGTCTCCAATTTCTTCCATTGCACAATTTGCCTCAGCTTCAACAAAAACAGCACCCTCTCCATTGCAATTTACAATAAGCTTTCCTTCTGAGCTTATCGTAAGCCGGCCGGCAAGAGGGTAGTAATGAACAAGAACCTTCTTCAATGCATTTCTTATTACTTCTGCAGAATTTGCATTACCTTCCTCGTTTGACTTGAAGCAATACACTGTACGGACAATAACAGCAATGTTTTGGTCAAGATTTGAGAGAAAGTAGAGACCTTTCTCTGTCTCCTCCTCTGGAGTAACCAAAACAGGCTCCCCTTGTTTCACAATTAGTTCAAACATATTCTTCCCATTAGAGTTCTCCATTGTAGCAACCTTTTCAACCTGAGCTCAAAACAACAAGAAATAAATAGCTTTTATATGCAATTGGGAAATTATTGAATTAACCAGTCTTGTAAGCATGTGGATCCACCTACTATAATTTCGCACACATCCTATCATATTATGAATGTAAAAGTTGCATTAGTTTTAATATTAAATTTTAATTTTTTTTTCCAAAATTATGAAGTCACGATATCGAATTTCATTGAAATCAAATTTGTGACAAAATATACTATTTGGAGTTGTGAATAATTTCTATGCAACTGAGTGTTGTAAATGCAAAATTTATTGAAAGAAAAAGACCACAAACCATGTGAACAAGCTGTAGGAAATTTCTGAAGGAAGAAACTGAAGAAATTTAATGCAATGAGAGAATTCCAATAACTGGAAAAAAAAAATGATGATTGTATTTAGAACCTCACAGTTTTTGAATTGGCAATGGCATTCAATAATGGTGTGTTATATATGGAAAAAGGATGGAGTCATTGATTTATTTCTTTAAGTAATTGAGAACATAGAGAAAGAGCAGGTGTCAATGATTGATTGGATGGTGTTGAGTTTTGTTTCTCTTTATCATTTTTTTTTTCTCTGTAATGTGGGTGAGAGTAGGCCACTGATCTGGGAAACAAGATTAACCATCACTACACAGGTCTATGTTTGTGGGTTTTGTTTGGTGGGGTTGGCATCCCAATTTTGCCTCTTGGATTCTCTTCATAGCTATTATGTTTGTTTGCATCTTATAATGGAAAATTTAAATTAAGCATTATAAAAACAACTCTAAGCATTTGTCTTGATAGCTTTTAACTGATTTAACTGTTAGCTAATTGATAAACTTTTCATAAAACGCTAAAAGTTAAATGGTATATGAGTTAACTTTTAACAAAAGGCTATTGCCTTAATCTCTACAAGTTAGTTCAAACCTCATATTACCGAACATTATAAAAAGTAGCGTTCAAAACCCAAAAAGCTACTTAAAAAATGGTCAAAATGCTAAAAGTTACTGAAACAACCGTTGCCGAACACAAACTAGGGCCATTAGAGAGTAAATTAATATAGCCTTGTGTTTTAGTTCATGAAAACAACATTATTGGCATTGAACGCTATACCGTTCTTTGAAAAGAAAAGAAAAAACAAAAGAAAAAAAAACCCATCAAGCATCTAGATTTTACTGCAAGAAATGGTTATATTTGAAGGAGTCATGGGTAGATAATCTTACGTTGTCTCAACTTTTTAACAAGATTAACCTCAAAGTAGAAGTCTTTCGTTAGAGCAAAATGGTGGAAAGTGAGACTTTTGCAGTATCAAAGACAATATTATTCTTAAAGCTAAAGATGATCTATGTAAATACAATACAACAAGCTTAGTTCAGTCATATTTTTTATTTTATTTATTCAAAGTAAACTCTACCTTACGTTTTTGTTTACCAAATTTGTTGGGAGGTTGAAAATGAAATCAAATAATCAATCCAATCTAGTTGGTCTTTCTTTGTTCTTTTTATTGAAATTTTCAAATTATTAGATCAACAAATAACCCTAACGTTTCTTTTCTTTCCTTTCTAGGCTGGGAATATATCAGGCCGTTGAGCAACTTGTTGCTGCTGATGAATTTGACTAACTCATTAGAAATTTCTGTATTATTTGCTTAAGGACATATTTTCTCTTGCAAGGCTTGCCCTTTACACCATTCGTTAGCGCTAAATAATAAATAAATAAATAAATAAATAAATAAGAGATTAATCAGATACCTTCAAGATTAAAGAATGAGCCTGTCATTGGTTTCTTTCAATGCCTTTCAAGCCAGAATTGCACAAATTTTGAGTTTAAATCCCTAATCCGCCATTAGAGTAGAAGATTTCACTAATTTTGTGAAAGGTATAAAATTGCAAGAACCACCCTTTACTGTGTAACCCCGCGAGACCCACATGGCTTCTTTACAGAAAAACAAATACAAATTAAGTTTAATATAAGATAATTGAAAAAAACAATCCAAAAATGTTGGGGAGAAAAGCTATTTGCTCCTTCTGGTCAGAAGGATAGTACAGATTTAATCTATTTCTTGCTGGTAGTTATCAATGAATCACTTCGTGAGCTATCAAATTCTTCATCTAAGATGAATATGGATCTTCAGAAGTTCAGACGCTTTCTACATTCGTTTGCATTTCTTTTTGAAGAATATCACCGATTTACAGACAGGAAAAGAGGTTGCAAAACCTTCAATTTTAATGCCTAACCACACCTGTTCAGACAAGCAATTCCTTCTTCCAAATAATCTTCTCTGCTAATCCAAAATTCTGGTGAATCCTGAAATTATCAACAGGTGCTATTAATATTCCATTAATAATGGTTGCAATAGATGTATTAGCAGTTTAAACGATCATCTCCAGAATGTGTCCTGAAACCTGACGTCTTTCTTTATATTTCAAGATAAAAAGAAAGGATAGCCAGGTATTTACCTTCATAATTCCAGCAAGAACTGCACCTCCTAGGTAGACCATATGCTTTCTTCGTGGTGGATCCTCAATCCGCAACCGCAGTTTCTGTTCACCAGAGATAAATCACAAGAAAAAAATTTAAATATTGGTCAAATTCAAAATTGCACAACTATAGCAAAGTTATGTATAACTGCAATCCTTTTTAACATGATTTTTGTTTTCTGAATAAAAATACAGGCCATGTTAGCAATTTGAAGGTTTAGCATATGCCCTTCTATGTTTGACAATAATTGAAACTTGAAGCTAATATGAAAGGTTGTGTATAAAATGATAGAATGAAAGAATTAGCTATACTTGGAAGTTAGGCTTAAGGTTTGGACTCTTTTATAACTAACACTAAAATTTTTATCAACTTTTGTTTCTCGGTAAAATCATAACCTACCAACATCTAGTGCATACAATTGCTAATTCATTAAAAAGTTTGTGCAACTCCAAGTGACCTAGCTTTTGCGTCCTCTAAGAACTGCAGTTGCAGTTCCAAACCTGATATGCAGCATGATTTTATTGCAGAAATGTTTACCAGGTTACTCTAACATCAAACTATAAGCAAACAGATGCAGGAAATATACCTTTTCATAAATAATTGAATAGAGGATTTTTTTTATTTTTTTATTTTTTATTTATCTTTCTAAGATCAAGTACGAGAAACTTGAACCTTACCTTTAACCCATCTTTATTCCCCTTTAAAACAACATCAAGATAGCGATCCAGTATTTCTTTCTCCAGGCTGAATCAATACACAAATTTTTCAGTGGTCTCTAGTAGCAACAAATTGCATGTAATGCACAGCCATACAACAACCCAGAAAAAAATGATAGAAGGCACTCAGTTTAAATTTCAATGGTTCTAGAGTTAATGTATCATTTTCAAAAAAGTTAATCAGCTATAATTTTTTCCTGCATTCTCCATTAGGTCATCTGTAGTTTTGCTAATAATGTTTGAGGGAGACGTGAAGAATCCAGCAAAGTGCCATCACAAACACATTAAAATATGATCGTCAATATGCATTGAAGTGAAAACATTCTAAATCACCAAATTCAATGTAAAACCAAATAGCCCATGGAAAACATAAATAGACTATAACTAAAGAAGAAAGCAAACCCATAAGACAAAAAAGAGTTAGAAATATTACCGACTAGGTAATCCAGGATACATTGTGCTCCCTCCGCTTAAAACTATATGCTGATACAACTGCAAAATGTAAAGCATATTGGCACCAGAAATTGCATAGTGTGTATGCATGCACGACAAAAATTAGAAAAGACGTCACAAGCCTAAGCTGACAGTCATCTGTGACTCCCTCAATGCTACAACTTATTCTCATGTCAATATGAATTCTAACACTCATGTTCATGATGTCCAGCAAAGAAAGAGCTCTGATCACAGTCCTAACCAGTTCATTTGTGGATTTTATTAAATTAAACCAAACAGCAGCTGAAACACAGTTTCCAGATAATGAAGCATAAATAATAGATGGCATGTTAAATGGAGATGGAATGTGTGTTCAGGAAAACATAATTACAGTTGTTACTTATCTCAAGTGAGTTGTAAGCAAGAATACCCTGAGATATGGATTATCCAATAGGCCCAATCTTTAAGGAAAAGCACAAACAAGCTTTTGTTGCACCATCCACAATTTGACATCATATGAGAAAAGGTGAACAAGGTTTAAGAAGAAATTGAAATAACAAAAGAAGGGCATGTTTCTAACACAAAAAATGATGGCATATTGAATTATATCAAAATCAGACTAATAAAATAACATTTTCAACAACAGAAAAGAATTTCTACTCCTCACCAAAAAAAAAAAGGTGTGAATATGCATATTCTAGTACACTATAAACAAACAATTCTAGTACCATCATCCGGTTGTCAATATCCATTTCCTGGATACAACGAAAAACCATATCAGCCATTCCATCACCTTCAACATCTATAAGTTCCTGCAAAAAAGGAAGAACCTCATAATTTTCAAAATCTCTAACCTGCAAATAACATTGTTCTAATTGCATGGACTCTGAACTCTGGTAGGCATCTGTCCAAGTTGTTTCCTTGGATTTTATACATATTTATAATGTAATATAATAATTTCATGTTATCTAGTAGTTGAACAATAAAAATTACAACTTATATCTTCAAGTCACTTGAGTTAATCTCTGGGGTTACGGTAATGAGAAATAGGCTACGACCAGGTGGGCTAAAGAGAAGCTTAAACCACTTAACAGATATAGACTTGCTGTAAGCTACATTTATATGCTACGTGTCTTCAGCTTATTAGTTCATAATTTTAGCAGACCCTGCTTAGGCTCTTTTTTAGGAGCAACTCAATAGTGAAGCCCAAGCCTTAACAAAACATTTCTTTTACACAAATGCATATCTGGTCAAAATAGTTCGTCATCAACTTTAACTTAGCATTAAAGAGCATATATGGTGACCAGACTCTCATAAATTGTTTGCATAGTTAATTGCATGGAACTGTTGTTATGGACTTTGTAACAGTATAAAAAATTCAAGGAAAAAGTTTGAACTTGCACTGTATGAGAGTCTAAAAAAAGCAGGTGCTATACTATTCTGGCAAGATGATTTATTTGCACTTTGAAGACATATAAACAGCCAAATACATCAAAGCAGAAGCCATTGAATGGATGGAACTGATTGAACTCAAAATAAATTTGTTAGTTCATGCCCAAAATGGTTGCCCCTTTGAAAAATAAAAATAGATCCAGTAATTGCTTTACTCACCCTATCTACAGGGCCTATCATAAGCTTTCTAAGTAACAAGAAGCTATTGAAAATAAATAGCCAATTAATGTACAAATGGAAACAAATAGACAAGACAACCAATATTGTAAATATCCACATTGCACCACTAGCATACAAAATTTACATAAAGACTAAAAAATGACGACAAATCAGATCTATTGACTTACTGGTGTAAAAAGGGCCTCTGGTGCCTGGAACCGCTCAGTGCCTACTTTTATTACCCTTCCATCCGGCAGCTGATAAACATAACATTTTTCTTAAGCAGATTATTATTTAATCAAGTGTGTAGCTTTTTCAAAAACAAGGATGTCAAACACCATAATAAAGGCAAGCTTGTGTCACATTCAACACAATAAATGAACTTGAGCCTGAACTTGAGCCAGAACATAAGGGAGTAGTTGCCTGGGGCTACAGGGTAATATCCAGTATCCCAGTTTCAACTTACTCAAGCAATGGATGTATGTAATGTAAATTACTGACAGATTCAATTAAATACCAAAAATGAATGCCAAAACAAGATATGGTTACAATTACTCCATTAGGTACAACATTGAGGCAAAAGGATAATGAATATGCCTCTTTAAGGTTTAAACCCTACTTGTCATTCTTCCATCTTTCACTAAAGTCATGCCCAAAAATATCCACCCCAACATTTGAACAGAAACAAAAAGAAGGCTACAAAATACTACATGGATAAACTTACAGTGTAATTCTTAACGAGGATTGTTGTCTCAAGACCCAATTGATACTCCCTTTTGTAATCATAACTGGAATAGAAAGGTTTTAGAAATCCAATAACACATCAAATAAATACAACATCCAGAATTCTTGCTTCACCTTATGTAGCAGAGCTTCTCTTTTATTTCCCTAACAGTCTCAAAATCAGCTGTCCTATTCATTGCATACCTACATAAACAGCATTATTTCAGTTAAAATAGGTGTATCATCTAATAAATGAGATAATTAAGCAAATTAATCATTCCAAAAAATGGGTCTCACCCTCTCCGTGACAGTAAATCAACAAGATAGGAAGTAATGTGCCGACCAGCTACATTCATTCGCTTAGTCAGATGAGGGAATGAGTAGCCATCAACAACAGGAACCTGGGGAGAAAAAAGTTAATTTATTCTTTAATATGATCTTATTTTACCAGCCAATTTATAGATGCACAATATGGCACAAGTTTTATATGCAGATTCACCATAGAAACGTCAGTTGAACACCAAGGAGTAATCAGGCATCCTAAATAGTGAAATAATTGCAGTCCTTTATGGTGAGAAAAAAAAATGCATAAAATTATCATTTACAACGGAAACAACATTAACCGTAAAGAAACCGGCTCTATAATTCGAAATAAATTTAAAGCATTTTATAAAGAAAAAATGACCTTGCTCCACATACTATATAAATATGGATGAAATTTCAGTTTTCACATATCATTAAAGGAGTCAAATTTGCACCAGAGACAAAACAGAAACATGTGGGAGAGTCAGGAACAGTTGAAATGGATAGCATTACTCTTGAAACATAGCGTAAACATGGTTCTTCAGTAGTTTACCACATGAGTAACACCGTCACCAGAGTCAATGACTAATCCTGTCAGTAGACCTGCAAGAATTCAATGTAACACTGAAGCAAAAGCACAGAGAGAAGGACAGATAAAGAAGAGAAGTGGTAGTTGAGACAATTGAACTGTCAAAAAGATGTTAGCATCAGTAATTTCTGAGATACAAAAAGGCAGTTCAACAAAGCTTCAACATACTATGAAATACGATATGCCAATCAATAAAATTTAAATCTTCAATAATCCCCACAAGCACCTTGGGCATACAATGTTAAGACAGCCTGGATCTGAATAAAGACGCCAGCAAAGTTGTATTTCTCGAACATAGTCTCAACCTATATTGTCATGTCAAAGTCAAGCACACAATGAGGTTATGACATAAAAAGAATAAAACTAATATTAAAGAAAGCATTAGAAGTGATCGCAACCATTTTTTCGCGATTTTTTGAGGGATTAAGAGGCGGGTCTGTGAGTAAAATCTTACAGTCTGCTGGGTTTATCTGTTTAAAGACAATGAGAGACAAAGTTATTTTATGATCTGATTCAATTACATTGAAAAGGTGGGGAACCACTAAATATAGGCTCCAGGGAAATAAAAGCACCAGACTTTTACTTTAAGTTCATTAAAAAAAGCATGGTCCCACACATGACCCATGTCATCCCAGTTCTGAATTATTCCGTTGTTAACAGGATATGATATATCCAGTTGATGCCTCAAGTCAGCACAAGCTTCTCCAATAACGATATCCTGATTGAATGAACCAAAAAGAACTGCATATCAGAGCTAGTTTCAACAATAAAATGTCAATTTGTAAGCTTTGAGATTGAGGATGGTGGAACACACACACACACACACAAAAAAAAAAAAAAGGAGTAAAAAAGATGCACAGTCTTATTTTATGCATCTGCATTCAATTTACATGTGAAAAAGGTGGTGGCAACCACTAAATATCAGGCTCCAGGGAAATATAAAGCCACCAGACTTTTTACTTTTAAGTTCATTGAAAAAAAGCATGTCCCACACATTGGCCGACCCATGTCCATCCCAGTTCCTGCAATTATTCCGTTGTTAACAGATCATGATATATCCACGTTGATGCCTCCAATGTCAGCACAAGCTTCTTCCAATTAACGATATCCTGATTGAATGAACCAAACAAGCAACTGCGCGATCATCAGACGCTCAGTTTCAACCATAAAATGTTCAATTCGGTAAGCTTTTTGAGATTGAGGGATCGGGCTGGAACCACACACCCACACACCACACACAAAGAAAACAACAAAAAAGGAAGTAAAAAAAGATGCTAATCCGCAAGACAACTGCTGAATTCCAGCTCATATGTTCTTCACCTTCAAACTGTTCTTCCATTGAGCAGACTCTTCATACCCGTTAACATGGGCCTTCCTACCACACAAGGGAATCACAGACGGTGGCGAAAAATTCTCTCCAGCAAATCCACACTTGCACATACTGCATTGGATAAATCACATTTATCCAAAAGTGAAAAAAAAATCACAGTAGTACCATGCAGGGAAGCAGGCAATATTTGCATGAATATGCGGAAAAAAAAAAAAAAAAAAGGAGTAAAAAAGATGCTAATGCAAGACAACGTGAAATTCCAGCTATATGTTTCACCTTCAACTGTTCTTCCATGAGAGACTCTTCATACCGTAACATGGGCCTTCCTACCACACAAGGGAATACAGAGGTGGGAAAATTCTCTCCAGCAAATCCACACTTGACATACTGCATTGGATAAATCAAATTATCAAAAGTGAAAAAAATCAGTACATGCAGGAAGCAATTGATGAATATGCGATGTTCCCTTGCAGCAAGAATTAAAAAAAAATTCCCATTTGATTTACACCGACCCTTTTGCCCAAATCGATGATTGAGCATAAAGCCACTTCAAATGCATCATCATCACAATCTTAAACAAATAAATTAAAGAAAAAAATGAATGTAATAGGTGATAGTGAAGCATGATTGTTTCTGCCTCTTTTATCTCCCAAATTGCTATCCCAATTGGCAAGACCTTGCAATCCAAGAGCATTTGCATGCACTAAAATCTCAACATGCAGAGATATAAATATGCTCAAACTTCACATCAAACTTTGATCTTCTTTCAGTTTGATTCATTCCAAAACATGAAAGATGGTAGCAATATTGTTACAAATCATAAAATAAATTGGGCAAGAAGCTCTAAGAAGAATATCAAAGCCCTATTAATTAAAGAACACATATTTGTACTGTAAGACTCTTAAAATACAAAGAAACAATACTAATAATGACAGGGACAAGAGCAAATGAACCAATCAGATGCTACCCTAAGCTAAAGCTAGAACTACCAGAAACAATTAAGAAAGTAATTGATCAAAATAGCATGACTGATTGGCTTAGCAGACTATTAATTTTCATAAATAAAGAATGTTAACGTGTTGGATCACATCTAACAAAAAGGAAACACAAATTCATATTGATTTTTCAGCTAACAGTGAATAAAGATAGAAAGAAATATAGTAAATAAAAAATGAGAGAGGATGGGTACCCCAGTGCCATTGTCACAGACAACTACACTTTTGCTGTCCATATGTAGGCAGGCGCTACTATGTAGAGAAGGTTATGATTGATTGTTTACCACTGCGCTTTTCTTCAACCTTGGTGGTGATGCTGGTTCTGGTTCGCTGGTGTTGTTTCAGTGCGTACCCGTGACCAATCACTTTAGAAATTGCTTTAATGGAAAAGGAGACTACCACGATAATGTTCTTTTCATCCGATGTTTGAACAATCTATTTTTCTTTCTATTATTTACATGAAAATTAAATTAAAATAACTGTAAAACTTCAATATGAAAGAGAATTACTATAAACCAGTAGAAATGTGACAAAATACACTTAGCAGTGGTTTGGATTCATGCGTGTGCAAACTTACCATGTAACCATTTTGGATTATATTTCATAAAATCATAAGTTTCATTTCAAGTTCATGATCAACATATATTCTTTTCATCACAAGCTTGGTACCCCAACTACCTTTTTCAACCCACATGTATGATTGTCATAACTAGTTGATCAACTAAATTCACATATTTCATTGCATTTCACCATTATGCATAAGCTAAATATCACTCACTAAAACAACTAATCTCCTAAAATAAACATACTCTGATTCTTATATCGTTGTTAAACACTATATGTTCCTTCAGCTAAAACAACCATCTAAAAATTTTCTTTGCCTTTGAACTTCCTTTCTGGAAATTCTTCTGGATAGCATCATTTCTCTTGGGAACCATCCTTCATCCCATTATTACAGTAACAGTACGTCAAGAGGCCCACTATGTGTAAGCACTGGATAATCAAGTGTCCAAAGGCTATGTATCTCAATAATATTAATATTTCTTTTCTATAGACTATCCCAAGCAACAAGATATATATAGCAAGGGGATTCCATAACATAATGGGATTAGCAATTTTTTACAATATCTAACAATGCGGGTTCAATATAGGTGTTTTTGACATTTAGCCAATTTCGGGTGACGGATTTAAAGTTTGTGTTAACTTTGGGGTTATCTCAAAAATTCCTGGTCAATAAAGGAATCAAATAAATGAGCCTTTTCAATTGTATTGATAATCCTAGACAAACTAAATTCAAAAAGGAGGAATCTTCAATTGGAATGTCCATATTTCCTAAGAAATTAGTATCCAATTAAAGATTTAGAATTATGAGGACGTCTGATTTAGCTTATTCTTGCAGCTGATAGCTGATTTGCACCAAACAGTTAGGGTAGAGGTGTTTGGCAAGGATTTAAATCAATATCTAGTTGACAGCAGTTGATAATTGATAGAAATCATATTCAGCTACATGCTAGCTTATTCGTATTCATATTATATTTGGACTCTATTAATCTTAATAAATATAATGAATAATAAATTTTTCTTTTTTTCTTTTTTTTTTTTTTTGGTATTTTAAAAAAAATTAATCAGTATTTTTTTATGATCATTTTATATATAATTAATTAAAGATAATAAATAACTAAAAAATACAATAAAAAATTTTAATTGATATTTTTTATTTATATAACACATTAAAATAGGAAATAATATATTTATATACTATTAATAGTCATTTTATATTTTAACAACGACCGCTATAAAAATTGTAACAAACACCAATATTCATCAACCAACCACTCTCAACTAGCACAAACAGCTAAGCCAAACATGCCCTATGTTTCAAGCTTACTAAAATCATGTTAGAAGAGCATTACTATCCGATCTTTCACAAAACTGTCAAAATTAAACTTGATAAACCTACCTTTGTACGGTTAATAGCTCTATTCTGTTTGTTTAGTTTTTCATTTCAATGAAGGTTTGACAGCGGAATGATATCCCAGTCTTTATAATTCAACAATCGAGGTCAAAAAATTAGTTCATCTCCCAACGTATTTTTTTTGAACAGAAGAGTCAAATTCGCTAGAAAAATCCTTTAACAAACAAGCCCTGAAAATTATAAATGTCCAAGACACTAAATCTCTCTATGGCATTTCATCAAGCAAATATCCAGCATAACCCAATTTTATTTACAGCAGAATAAATCCTTTCTCCTAACAACACTATTCGTAAGAAACAAAACAGCTGTATTTACGTAGAAAAAACACGAAGGCATCATATTTAGTACCTGATCTTCTCATCTTCTTTGTAATAATGGATTGCTGGGAGGTCAGTATAAGAATAGATCCTCTCCGTTCGATGGAGTCGGTCCAAGGAAATGAATTTGATTTGACTGGTTTTTTTATGTTGCTTCTCTCTCAAAAAGTGTAACCCCTCACCCGAGAAAAACCCATTTCCAAATCAACTCAAAGCTGAAATTTCTCGAGTACCATATCAAATCGGATTCAAGTTTTCTCTGTGCGCCATGGTTCGAAGTACACAATATGATATTATATAAGAAATTTAATTAAGAAAAGAGATATTTGTCATCATTATTACAATTGCTTAAAGCAATCTCACTTATTTTTAGAGTTGTAATTTCACTCTAATATAACCCTTGTTACCTAAACACCCAAATTTCACCGTTCAATAATTGCATGTTGTCGTATCATTTACTGTTCCCTCGTTGGAGAGAAAGTCAAAATTTCTCTACTATTAAAGAAGTAGATTTTTTACAATTTACCTTTTAAAAGATAATTAACTGATCCAAAATTTTAATAAAGTTATGATAAATTATGAGAAAGGGGATGAGTCGGAGATTTATTTATTTAAAATTTCAGGAAAACAAAAAAAAGGTGCATTTTAAGTGTGGGCTAACTATTTTATGTTTTAAATTGTTTTATAAAATAAAGTTATTATGGGAACCACTATTATCACGTGCAAATATTTTGTTATAGAAATTTACAAATGTACTTGTTAATATATGAGCAATATTTTATATTTTCTAGTTATCTTGCAAGAGAAGCAGTTTTGCATGACGTTTTAACCTCTGACTGCGAACGGAAGTGGAAATTGAGGGTGTGCAACACAACTAGGATTTAGGTTATCTCCTCCTCATGGTCCATGGTAAGCCTGTAAACCGAACACAAGACCTAATTTATTGTAATCAACCTCGCAAAAGCTCTTTGCCATTGAGCTATCTTTTTGAGTTTAAATACTTTTATTTTTATTAATTATTAAAAGTCTAATACTATGACATCAAACTAAAAAAAAAAAAAAACAACTAAAGTCCCTCTCATTTCTCTCTTTTTTCTCTCGTCTTCTAACTATAGTTTTAGTTTGGCTACAGTCTGTGATGCACGGACACACAAGAGGGTTGACATTTTCACATTTCAAAAACGTTTTGGAAACGAAAACACCCAGAAACGGCTCGAAAATGTGTCATGTCCATTTTCATAAATACCGACAATCGGACACCCACTTTCCTTGCCTAAACGTTTCTTGCATTAAAAAAAAATTAGATTTTAAATCCAAATCAAATTATGATAATTTGTAAAACCTATTTGGAAAAAGACAAGTAATCTTACTTTTAATTTCAATATTCAAACTTCAAATTTAACAGAATTTCATTATCTTTTTCCATTTTGACATTTGAATATTTTGTTTTCTTTTTTCTATATTGAGTATGAAACTTATAAACATTTTTATCTCTCTTTTAGATATGATTTATTTTTAATTATGGTTAAAAAAATTTATCTGTCGTTGATTGTCCTTCTAAAATTATAAATGTACTTTTTCTTAATTATTTTTATATTTATTCCTGTATTTTTAAATTTTATAAATAAATCATTATATTTTTTATATTTACACATTTCCCCCACGTTTCCGTTTTCCTATATTTTTTTAAATGTTGTTTCTCCGTGTCCGTTTCCGCATTTATCTATTTTCCCGTTTTCGTGTTCGTGCATCATAGGCTGCGTTGTTTATCACTTGTAGCCTCTACTTTCTAATATTTCTTTCGCTTCACCTTCTTTTGTTTTTAATCTTTTATTTACTTTAATAAACTCATATATGTCCCTATATCAGATATGTCTTTTTTGTCTTCGTTATTGTTATTTTATCTCTATATTTGGAGTTTTTTGTCCATTCTTTATAAGGGTGATCCTTTCTTTGTGAGGGTTTATTACTAAAATGAAAATATGATATTAACTTTATTTAGTTTGAGACTTTAGATCTTAATTTGTAAATGTGAATTTTTTATCAATAGACTCTGATAGTGTTGTTGGATTTCAATATCAATAATACGCATCGGAATAATATAATTATAACAAAACAATTATACCAACAGGAATCCATTTAAACGATTAAAACAATAAAACTTTTTAGAAGAATAGCTCTTTTTGCAGATTCTTTGAAATTTCATTCTACATGGCTAGGTTATCGCAAACCACAAGTTGTCCAAGTGTCCGATCTCTAGCATTATTCATGCGAATGGACAATCTAAAAACTCTAAAACTATTTTAGAGGGTTGAGAGGTTAGAGTGTATGATGATACTTGTTATCGTAGGTTCTATATTTAGTTTTGTGGCTATCAACAACCACTAACTGTTGGTTTGTATCTTAAACTTTATATATGAAAATCCTAAGTCATATATAAATTAATTATAATTATTTATTTAAATATTTTAAATAAATAAATTACAATTAAAATATATATGTGCCTATTGATTTATTCAATTAATTTAAATAAATAAATCATAATACATATAGTAATTAGATTTCAATTTAATCAATTACATTTATTTATTTAACTACTTAAATAAATAATCATAATTAAATAATAGGTTTATTTAATCCAAAATATATCTTAATACATTTTAGACATAAATCAATTAAGTCAATACTTAATAATTTAGGTAAAATTGTAATTGAATACAAATTACAATTTTACCCTTAATGCGCCAAAGCTAATTTGTAATCAAGTCATACTTGATTCGATTTCTCATTTTCACTTTCTCATATCCATTCTTATGTGTGTGACCTTCTAGGTTCCAAATATATTGACAAACTACTATCCGTTCGCGGTTTGTCGCATCTTAAAACTGTTATCACTACTGAAAATCCTAGCAGGTCCATATATCAAATATATATTATAATTATTTATTTTAAATATTTTAAAAATATAATAAATTACAATTAAAAATATATATGTGCCTATCTGATTTATTCAAACTTAACTTCTTCTACAAATACTAAACATAAACTCACTAATACATAGTAAGCTAATTAGATTTCAATTTACTTCAATCTACCATTTACTTTATTTAAACACCCTACCTTAAATACGAATAATCACTAATTAATCAAATAGGGTTTATTTACATCCAAAACTATATCTTAACGTACCATTTCAGACCATACAATTCCACATTAACGTTCATAATACTTAATATATTATCAGGTAAATTGTCAATTGAATAACACTAATTTTTACCCAACTTTTCACCCTTCGTAATCAGGCTCGCCAACCTATAGCTAATTTGTTACAACACTCACTAGCGTCATCACCAACTTTGATCTTCGCAGACATTCTTCTCTCAATACCTTTCACTCGCTCAACCTTCACTATCCCCAATTCCATTATGATGTGTGACCCTTCTAGGGTTTCCGAACATAACCATCACGTCCCTTTCTCTATATTTGACCGAAACACTGATTACATAGATTCATATGCCATCATCCACTCATCTGACAATCCTCATAAATTACAATTAAATTAATATCTATGAAGGTTCAAGGTATACTGTTTCCTAGCACAACATCCATCAAGGACTCATCCTTTCCCAATTATTTTTAAAGAAGCCTAATTAATTAATATTTGAAGGTCAAGTATACTGTCTAGCAACATATCAAGACTATCCAAATATTTAAAAAGCCAAAGTGGTTTGACTTAACCTTTGATTTGTTTGTGGATGAAGGGAGGGAGAAATTATTAAAGTAAGATATAGTAAAATATGGGAGCTTAATACATTGTTTCACCCTCAACTTTAAGTTTTATTGCGATTTCACTTTGATTTGACCTTTATACCAATTTCACCCTGAACTTTAACTTTTTATTGCAATTTCACTATGATTTGATCTTTATACTAATTTCATCTTGAACTTTGACATTTTGTTGCAATAGCACCGTAAATTATAATTGTGACTTAAATTGTAAATAAAAAATAAGTTCACTATTGACTTTGGGCTTGGATTAAATTCATACATTTATGTGAATGATGGAGTTTGGGTTAATGGTAAGGACAATCCCTATTATTATTTTTAATATTTTTAAATTCTTTATTTTATTAATAATAAGTAATATTTAAAATTTAATTATTTGATACATGATTTTTTTTTCTATATATAATTAAAAGTGTTATTGTAATAAAATGTCAAAGTTTAATGTGAAATTGATATAAAGGTCAAATTTGAGTGAAATTGCAATAAAAGATTAAATTTCAGGGTGAAAATTGACAAAAAAAAGTCAAATCGGAATGAAATTGCAATAAAACCTAAGTTAAGGGTGAAACCACGTATTAAGCCTAAAATATGATAATAGATTGTTTTGATGAAGGCTATTTGACAAGTCTAGAGGGTAAAGTAAAGTAAAATAAGGTTATTTAGTCGTTTGAGAAGAGAATTTGAGGAAGATCATGGTTTTTTTTTTTTTAAAGTTATTTGAATGGTTGAAAATCCATCTAAATACTCCAATTTTCAACCAACTGAATTGGGGTGTAAGCATGATTAAAAATTTTCATTTTCAAAATTATCCATAACTATATTTATAAATCTTTCACGAGAATGGATGTTTTCCCATCTTTATTTAACATTACATTTTTGTACTATTAAATAAAATAAAATAATGTTATTAAACTTTTATTTACTATACCACATTTACCATATTCTATACTATACCTTACTTTAACGATCGCTCTCTCCCTTCATCCAAACAAAATGCAAAGAAAAATATGATAAATTTTTTTTTTTTTTTTTTTGTGGATAAGTTATAGTAATTAAAGTTTTAATAATACTGTTTTGTTTGATTTGATGCTACAAAAAGGTAATATTAAATATTATAAAAATATCCTTATCATAGAAGATTACAAATATAACTATGAACAATTTTAGAAATCAAAAAATTTGTAACAATGCTTACACTCTAATGTTTGGCGGGTTAAAGATTGAGATATTTAGATTGTAACATCCCTTCCCGATCCACCCGTAAACCCGAATGAACCGAGTCGAGACGCTACAATCTGGTTGACTCTATGTCTTGTCATGCTGATATCCCGAAATTGAACCAGAGTCGAGACGCGTACACATCTGGTTGACTCTATGTCTGTGTCCGATGCTTGATATATCATAATGTATACTTGACTATACTGCTCGATGCTGTTGCCTGTTCAGCATTAGTACTCGGTGACTTAATCTTTAACACCGACATTGATACCAGTGTCCAAAATGAAATGGGCCCAACGAATATCCCTGGTAACAGTATGCGCCATGATCATAATAGACAGAATTAAAGAATCAAAAATGAGTTAGCTAACCCTGAAAACCTGGATCTTCCAAAGATGAACTGCATGGCAGTTAAGATGACTTCTCTACCGGGTGCCAGACCCAATAACCTATCGAGTAACAGTAACTCGCTGAGCATAATAAAGCTCAGAGTGGATATCTCATACTTAAAATAAACATGCAAGCACACATATCATTAACTTCATGATATCAATGATATTATAATAAACATAATATAAGCACAAGTGCAATTACTTTTTCAGTAGATACTTACTGTTCATTATGCATGTACTGACTTATGAAAAATTTTACATCATACGTAGAGTGAGGCAAATAATATAAACTCTGCCGAACCTGTATGGTCTTTCCGATAAGGTTACAGGGTTGGGAAACTAAGAGATAAGGAAAGAATGTATGGGAATAGTGACTGTACTAAACTGCGGATTGATGAATATGCTTGATGGCTGGGCTGGATATGGGCCGCATATATAGTATGCATATCGCCAATCGTCAACTGGCGCTGAAGCCGGAGTACCAAAAGCTGTATGGGGCGCAGATCCTCTATCCTAATTGCTCGCGACAATAGTTTTTATCTTACATGCGTCTGCCGCTAAGTGCCTCAAGGAGCGCATATTATCGGTATTGGTCAAAGAATAGACAAAACGAAGAAGTCGATATTCAATAACGCATCATCAAATCATAACGCCATGTTGTTTTAAGCCTTTTATATTGTTGTGTGTCTTTCATTCTTTTATCTGCTTGTAAAGAGGATATCACAAGATGAAAATCAGACCAGTAAAAAGCACACAATGTGATAATATTTGGCCAGGAAGAATCACTCATTGAATGCACCAGACCCGTGAGGCCACAACTTGTACCTTTAAATCAGAGTATAACTTAATGTTTTTACTCCGGTCAGTATTAAGGATTTTCATTGGCTTAATTAAGCAGTAATCCTCAACTCAGAAGGTTAAAATCAGTATAAATGACTTAGATTGCCGTGAAAAGTACATTTAATGCAATGCCCAACAACATTTATCTAATGAGTAGGCCTTGGAAAATATGACAAGGGGGGCAGACCTCAACAATGTTTCCAGCAAATTCTAGCATAAGCGTGACTATGATTCCCAGTAATGTTCCAGATGCAGTAAATCTAAATTCTATGTTAGTCTAACACATTAGAGGTATCAACTTGTCCTTCTATCGACATTCTCTGGAATGTACGTTTGGTAAGTAGCGAATATATGAGCTCAAGTAGCAACTGCCAATTAATCGACGTACTGGGCCCAGTCTATTGTTTTCCAAGCCTGCAATAGTTTTGTACTCATTGTGGTCATAGTCTCTTTTTCAATTTAATAGATGTCCAATTTAGGTATTCTATAGTCTGATGGTTTAGATAACGAACATTGGCTACAGAATGTTTCTTCTACCCTACGTCTCTAAATTATACGTTGGTAAGCTGTAGCTCAAGACTATTTGATTCAAGTAGCACTGCCTGAGTCTAGCCCAGCTATTGGTTTTGCCAGCCTGCACAGGAGTTAAGTCAGCTATTGTTTGGATCACAGCTTCTCTAATTATAAACTCCAATTTAGGTGATTCTACATTGCTAAGTGGTTTAAATGATAAACACATTAGGGGACCAGCTCACAAATTTTCTTCTACCCACACATCTCTTAATTACGTATTTGTAAAGTAGGTCAAATATGTAACTGGAAAGTGAGCAAGCTTCCAGTCCGTCCAGACTGTTTGACTTCCCACGCTCTGCAATAGTCTGTACATTTTGGGTCATGTGACTCCGTCATATTTATTAACTCCAAATTAGGTATCGTCAAAACCCAAATGGACATGCTGAAAACATAGAGGAGAAACAAAATAACGCTTGCTATAACACTATCCTAATTCCATCGTTAGACAGAAGGTCAAAATCAGGGTGAAGTTACTCGGAGCAGTAAGTCGCAGAGCAAAACTTGGTTCACTCATGGAAATTCAATACTAGTTTCATTCATATCGCATTCATTGACCCATGCATTCACCATTTACAGACCCTAATTCAAGCATTCAGTAATAATATGTTTTTCATTATCAACCCAACTACACAATATCATGCAAGTTTAAAATGTAAAATAAAAGAGGATATCAAAACCTTCACCAAATGACTTTAAAGCTCTTCTTAACTTCCTTTTCGCTCCTACGTATTGAGCTCTCCCTCTCCTATGAGCATGAAAATAACGGCTTATAAACGTCATCTGGGCAGAGAAGTATCACAAAAGTAATGAAGCTTTAAGAAAAGCGACATTATGGTGCGGATAGGAGTCTACGGGTGAATTTAGTGGTTAAATCACATGAAAATTGATGGAGAAAGGGAGGAGATGTAAGACCCACAAGATGAAGGAGATAAAAGAGGAGAAGATGAAGATGAAGAAGACTTTGAAAGATGAAGATGGAAGAAAGCAAACCTGAAATGGAAAGTCCTCGTACTGTACTGTCCAACTACTCTCATTTAATTGTATGGTGTAGAATTTAACCCAAATAATAACGTGCCACATTTCTACATGTTACAGTTTTAATACCCAGTCAACATTAAATATTTTAGTGCAAGTAAGTCTAACTCCTTATCTTTTATCTTTTTTTTATGCAATAGCTAAGTCCAGCTTCTCTTCACTAGTTAAGTTAACATCCCTTCAAGCCCACCTTCTGGAGTTAAATGAGCTCTGAACCACGGGTTCGCGAGTTCGGCGCCACTCTGGAGTTAAATGGCTCGAACCGGGTTCTAGTTCGGCCCGACTCGACTCGACTCTATGCAACGACTCGATTCAGTAGGATGTCACATAGATGATTTTCCAACCTCTCAAATAATTTTCAAAAAGTCATTATCTCCTCAAACTCTTTTCTCAAACGATTAAATAATCTCAATTTATCTTATTTTACTCTCTAAATCCACCAAATAAACTTATTTTACTCTCCAAACCATTATTCTGAAAATCAAACTGGATCAGTCGGTTTGATCGAGAACCAGATTGCAGTGCGATCTGGGTCGCACTAGAAAATCAAGCGTCTAAAAGCCGGTAAGAATCGGTAAAAACCGAATGAAAATTGAATTTCTGGAATTTTTTGCATACAATGTGGGTTTTTTTTTTTTAAATTTGGGGCCTCTTGAAAATTGGGCCCAGTGATTTTTAAACTTTTGGCAGCTCTATTTATAAATTCAAAGTTCTATCATGTTAATTAAAATAATTAAATTGGGCCTTTTTAACCACGTTTGGAAAATAATAATATATTTTATGGTGATTACTTAATTGTTTTAGTATTAAATTTATTCATATGTTGTTATTTTTATTTAAAATTATTTATTAATTATTTATTCTTTTTGTAAACGCTAAATTTCAAATTGTTTTTTTTTTTTTATTTGAGATCAATTTGTTAAACCTATATTTTAAATTTCATTTAATAAACATATTTAAAAATATCATATATAAAAATTCGATAAATCGTATTGAAGCCATCAAACCTTTCGGTTCAGTGAACTCCTACATTCATTGGTTTACTGACCGGTCCAATTCTTAGAACATTGCTCAAAACTCATCAAATAACATCCATCCAAACAGTAAGTATTTATGTTTGCCATAATTAATAATATTTTAAGATACTTTGAATTTCGTTAAGTATATTGTAGGTATTTTTCTCATATGAAATTTTTGAGATGATAAAATAATTATTCCTTACCACATATGAAAATAAACCCTATTGAATTTGGTTAGAATCAATTTGAAATGTTTGAAAATTTTAAAAAAGTCACTTTAAATAAAGAAATTAATTGAAACTTTGAAAATTTTCTCCTTTAAAATTAATTGCATTTACGTTATATTACATTAAATTTGTAAATAATTCCTTAGCAAAATGTTATTTTCATGTTTTTTTTTTTTTTTAAATTTCATAATATGATAGTTTTAGATTAAAATATGTAAACGACAGTAAAGTTTGCACAAAACGATTGAAGGAGAAAAGGAAAAATAAGGGTGAGAAAAAAAGAGAAAAAAGGAAAAAACTCACCCTGTTTGTTTGTTCTGATCAATACACCAAGCCCTTACCCCCTCCAACCCCTCTCTCTCTCTCTCTCTCTCTCTCTGTCTCCCTCTCTCTGAATCCTAATCTCTCGGCGTCTTCTTTCTCTCTGTCCGCGATTCGCAAACCCTAGCAATCGCCTCTACACCACCCTTTCTCTTAAGCTCTTTCTTATCCAATCTCTCTCTCGCCATCCACAATCCAATCCGCTTTGTTTCTGTTGTTGACCTGTTGCTCTAATGGTTCACGTGAAGCTTAGCCTGTCCGACGATCTCCTTTCCTCCAAGTTCTCCGTTGAACAAACGTCCAACCACACCAAAGGTAATATAAAGTGTGTGTATATATATCTGTTTGTTTGACCTGGTTCTCTAAAATGGTTCACGTGAAGCTAGGCCTGTCCGACGATCGTCCCTTTCCCCAATTATCCGTTGAACAAACGCCAACCACAACCAAAGGTAATATTGAAAGTGTCCGTGTATTGAAGTATATATAGTATAGTATAAGTATATTATAATAATATACTAGTATGTAGTTATAGATATAGGTGTGTGTGTGGTGTGGTGTGTGTGTGTGTGTGGTGTGTCCATGTGTGTGTGTGTGTGTGTGTGTGTGTCCATTAGTGTTGATTCTATTCTCTTTTAATTCTATTTCTATTTATTGCATTTTTTTCTCAAATTCATTTTTACACCTGATTGATCTATTACTTCTCGTTTTGCGCATATAGCATCTGTATTGTCTTGTTTGTTTAGTTTTTCTTTGGTATGAGTTGTTGATAGTTAATCTCATCTACTTGGTTTTTTTTTTTTTTGTTTCAAAAGTCGTTTTTTTATTGTTTTATTCTGTTTTATTTTTTATTTTTATCTAAAACTATTTTTTGAAATGATGGAACTAATTATCATATGAATTGTCCATTTGTTTTATTATTTGGCAAATGCTAGATGAAATCTGGGGTGGAGGAACTGGTGAAGACAAGGCGCTGGTGGGTTTGCCTGATGAGTCAAAAGGTAGTATCATTTTTGCTTGAAAGTATGGTTTTTGAAGTTCAATTTATTTTAAGGCTTCGTACCCGTTCTTTCAACAATGTTGACATTTCATATTACTTTCTCCTTTTGGGTAGTTTTGTCTATCGAGCATATTGCGTTGTAAATTCCTACAATTGAGTATAGTTTTTGTAAATTGTTATTGTTGCATTTGCAGATCATGTGCCTTCAGATAGCAGCATACCTCTTTCTCCACAATGGCTTTATGCTAAACCAGTTGATGCTAAGATCCCAACTGCTGGAGCATCAGGGGTACAAATTTGAACTCAAATTTAGTTGGATAACATTTTTGACTATTTTTTTTTTTTACTTGTTTGTAGGCCAGTTAATGTTGTCTCTTTTGGAATTATTATGTTTTTTAACTGGTGTTATATGTTTAGCGCACATTAGTTTATTTTATTTATTATTCTTGATTGTGTTATTTTGAGGGATTATGCGAGGTCATCATAATTTTGATTTTCTAGTTGTAGTCTTCAAAGGTAAAATATGATTTAGTCTGTCTTTCACTTTGTCTTTAAATGAGTGGTAAGTTAACAGTATTCAGGACAGTGTAGAGGCATTTCCTACAATTTTGTAAAGTCCAGGTTTGTTTGGGGAGCTGGGGTTTCTTGTGAGCAATGATATTTATACTAAATCCAAATATAAATTGCTATACTGAATTACCTTTATAAAATCCTTATTTGGAAAGCATCAACCCTGTTGTCCTGTTTGTCTATTCTTGCAGCATTGGCATTTGCTTGGCCTCTTTTTCAGTGCCCTTTTCCTTCCCTCCTCATCTGCTCAATGAAAAAGAAAAGGAAATGACAAGGACCCTTTCGTTGTTGGCATTCAGATTTATGTATCTTAGTTAGAACCACTGACAAATTTTGTATCATGCTGGATAAAATTCAACATTTAGAGATGTAATATCAATGGAGTTAAATGATTTAGTACAAGAAGTTCCAGTGAAGGAGACTATTAAAATGAATTTATAGTTTTGAGCAACCACAACTTTTTTGTTGTTGAAAAATGATAAATTCTGTGAAGAAGTTCATGTATTTTATTCTTTTTAAATGGCCATGGGTCTTTTATTTGTAAGAATTATGTCTCTCTGATTTATATTTGTTCTATTATAGTTTAGTGACAGGATATTTTTGTTTGGACAATGTTATTGATACTTATTCACTTGTTACAGAATAACTTATTGTTTTTCTCAAGGTTTCCTTATAAATACTCAAGATTCCCAAGATTTAGTTATCGGTATTTATTTCTTGCCTTTATGATTTCCTTGAAATTGAAAAAATGACAGGAACTGCGTGCACCAAGTTCTTTATCGCATGGAAACATCTCTGACAACAATTTGAAAGATAGTTGGCGATTAGATGGATCCCAAGACAAAAAAGACTGGAGGAAAATTTCACCTGATCTAGAAAGCAGCCGCCGATGGCGTGAAGAGGAGAGAGATACAAGTTTACTTGGTAGAAGAGACCGCAGGAAAGATGATCGCCGTGCTGATGCCATGCCGTCAAGAGACATATCTGAGGGTAGACCTTTGCCTTCTTCAGATCGTTGGCATGATAATAATAGCCGTAATTCTGGGCATGAATCTCGGAGAGATGGCAAGTGGTCGTCAAGGTGGGGCCCTGAAGATAAAGAGAAGGATTCTCGGGCTGAGAAGAAAACAGACGTTGAAAAGGAAGATACTTACGTTGACAAGCCTTCTTTAATTAACAGCAGCCGCACAACTTCTGAACGTGAGATTGACTCTCGGGAAAAGTGGAGGCCTCGCCATCGTATGGAAGTTCAAGCTGGTGGAACAGCTGCGTATCGTAGCGCACCAGGATTTGGGTCAGAAAGAGGACGCATGGAGGGATCAAATGTTCGATTTTCTGCAGGACGAGGAAGGTCAAATAATTACGGAAGCATACAAATTGGCAAGCACCCTTCTGCTTCTGCTATTGGGTCAATTCCTTCAGATACGAATAAATCATACTGCTACCCCAGGGGAAAACTTCTTGACATTTACCGAAGGCAAAAAACTCTTCCAAATTTTGGTATCATGCCTGATGAAATGGAGAATGTAACTGCAATAACACAAGAAGTTGCTACTCAGCCATTGTCTTTTGTTCCACCTAATGTAGAGGAGGAGGTATATAAAAAATGTTATGGTAGAGGATGTATGTTCAGCTTGTTTATGATCACTTGTTCTTAAACTTATGTAATACTTGCAGGCTGTTCTTGGAGATATATGGCTAGGAAAAATCAAAAGCAGTAGAGACTCACATGACTCACTTGGTGACAGGAATGGGGCATCTAATGATGATATTGGAGGTAATAAGGTTGTACCTTGGTTGAATTCCATGTAGTATGTTAAATTCTTTCTAAGTCAGGGATTTATTGTTTATTCAGGCCTTGGTGCAGCAACAAGTGAGCAGAATCAGAGTTCCTCAGTTAAGACTGATGAAATTGTTGAAGCTTTTCAAAAGGTTGCTTTTACTGATTCTTGTCATGATAGTGGGGCTGAGTTGCTAGATACATCTATGGCTGATGGTAAGGACTTACCACTTTTTAGTTTTTGACAGTTGCAGAATGCAGGGTCATAGAGTTGAAAATTGATAACAATAAGGCCATTTTTTTTTTGTAATTCAGAAATGGATGCTTCAACAGATGGTGAATTGAAGTTTAGGACAGAACTTCATGGAGCTTTGAGCTTAATGCCCGCAGTTCTAAAGAGAGAGGATTCCCAGGAGAATGCTGTGGAGTTGAAAGCTTTTGAAATGCAGCAAGTGGTGGATTTGGCTCATATGAAGCACCTAAAGTTGGAAGATGCTGAGTCAGCTACTTCTTTTAAAATTGCCAGTCACCTCCCTGATGATCCAAAATCTCTATTTGATTTTCCGTCTGGCCAGCAAAGGCTGAGCAATGACCACTTTGCTGTAGAAAGCAATGATGAAGCACATCCACTGGGAAGTGTTATCCCTCCTGAGGAGTTGTCTTTGTGCTATCTTGATCCTCAAGGGGCAATTCAGGGGCCATATCTGGGGATTGATATCATCACATGGTTTGAGCAAGGGTATTTTGGAACTGATCTACCTGTTCGTTTGTCAGATGCTCCTGATGGATCACCTTTTCATGAACTTGGTGAAGTTATGCCGCATCTAAAAGTAAAACATGGATCTGTTTCTGGTGCTTCTAAGTTATCTGATCCTGCTGGAGGCAGCTTGGAAGAGAGTGTAGCTCCTCTTGTTTCCACTTTTGACTCTGAGGGTGATTCTGCTGTTAGGAAAGATCAGCCATGGGCTTCATCTGGATTTGAGGCAATCTTAGGTGCTAATTGTCAGTCAAAACTATATAATAACGGCATTCACTCTGGGTTGCAGTTCTCCAATGATCAAAGGTTCCGGCAGTTTGCTGCTCAAGATGAAGGCAAGTTACTTTTGGTTGCTTCCACTCATAATGTTGTTTTTTTGGTGTATGGTGCTAGATTAATTTTATTTATTTTTTTATTTTTTGATATAGAAATTCGTTTTCCTGGAAGGCCAGGAAGTAGCAGCGGTGACCCTTTGATAAGGAATTCTACAGACATTCAGAGTATGGTTTCCTGTCCTCCTAGTCACCCTTCCCTTGCAAATGAATTCTCAGGAACAAGCATCCATGCTCCTCAGGATGAGAATGTGCATCCATTTGGCCTATTGATGTCTGAGCTCAGAGGAAACTCTCAGTTGAGGCATGTTCAATCATCCAATATGTCTTCAAGCATAGGTGATCTAGGTCAAACCATGGATCTCTTATCAGAGAGGGATATTGGTTTCTACAACCAGAGCTCTTTTCGTGCTCTGGCTGATCAACCTACTTTTATGGGGACATGGCCTGAGGATTATAACAAAAATACACTCTCTAACCCCAGTATTAATATTGGTTCACAAGATGTTCATCCCTTATCTCGTAGGGATAGGGAGCTTAGCGATTTTGATGTACAGCACCTAATTTTACAGAATTTAGAAAAGGAACAACTTCAGCAACAAAATAGTTTATCTCCTCATCCCCTTTCAAATACTACCAGATTGGGTGTTGAGGAGCTTCCTCCTCATCTTCAGAAACTGCAATTTCAACAGCAGCGACAATTAGAGCTTCAAGAACAGCAAAGGAGGTTGGAGCTTCAACAACAGTGGCATTTGAAACTTCATCAGCAACAGCGACAGTTAGAGCAGCAGCGACAGTTGGAGCAGCAACGACAGATGGAGAAGCAACGGCTGTTGGAGCAGCAACGGTTGTTGGAGCTTCAGCAGCAGCAACAGCTGTTGGAGCTTCACCAGCAGCAGCGGCAGATGGAACTTCAAAAGCAGCATCAGTTAATGCAGCATCAACTTCGTCACAATCAAGTGAAGTTGCTGCAACAGCAGCAACTACAGCAGCAGCAGCAGCAGCAGCAAGTAGTTCTTGAACGGTTAATGCAGCATCGGATGTCCGATTTTGGTTATAGCCAATCAAAGATGGATCCACTGATGGACAACTTGCTTGATCCAGTTCAGTTCAGGATGCAGCAGCCAGAATTGCAACATAGTTCTCATCCTTCAAGGCACCATGATCCATCACTGGAGCAAATAATCCGAGCTAAGATTGGAGGCAATGCTTTTCGAGAACCAGAGGCTGATATCTTAGACTTACTGCAAGCAAAACATGGAAATGTTGTTCCTCCTGACCAGTTTCATTTTCAGCAAGAACAGTTGCAGGCCCAGCAATTATCTTTGGCGCTGAAACAACATTTAGGAATGGATGGAGAAAGACATTTCAATCTACCATGGTCTGTTGATGAAGCTGGTCATGTTTCTCGGAATTCTGATGTCATTTACCATCCTCAGTCTTTAGGATTTGATTCTTCAGATTTCTACCGGCAGCAGCAAAGGCTTTCGTCACAGGAAGAGCATTTAAGCCAACTTAAACAGAGACAGGCTTTGCAGGAGCGACTTCAACATGGATTTTATGAACCCAGCTCTATAGAATTTGAGAGGTCAATGGTTCTTCCTGCTGTCACTCCTGGGATGAAATTGGATAATGTAAATGATCGTCCTCAAGGTCTAGATTCAACAGAAAGACATTTATATACACAGTCTGATGACCAACTAGGTTCTTTCTCTTCTGATATTCCTCTGCGTCGACGAATTTCAAATGATTTTTATGGTGCTCAACCAGAAAGGGATTACATCCCTGTAAAAAATGGGCCGTTGGAAAAAGGTTGGGTTGAAGGAGGGATGCAACAACTGCATCTTGAAACTTGGCAGCAGGGTAATGTTTCTGAAGTTACTGCAAACTCTAGCATTTGGGCACATGAGGAGAACTCAAAGAGACATTTGACGGATCTTCAAAAAGAATTGGGTCTTCAATCTATCCAGTCATTAGAAAATGATTATCAACATCATATTTCATCTTCTGAATCTCAGGGAAGCTTTTGGCCAATCAAGGAGTCACACTCTTCAAATCTTGCCTTCAATCATGTCCCAGATCAAGAAGTAGCTACAAACAGCTCATTTATGAAAGAGCCACAAAATTTGAATTCAGCTTCTCTATTGCAAGATAATGTCGCTAACGTGGCTATCCATGGTCAAAATGGTGAAGAATTGCTTGCTAGGTCTAAATCTGGAGCACTAATTGAAGAACAGACATTCTTGTCAGGCACAAGAAATCCTTCTCATACTAGTTTTATGGATGCCAGATTCATTGGTAGCTCATCTTTGGACGAAGATTTACCAGAACTGGAAATGAAGGAAAATATTTATGGGTCCAAAGCCACTGTTTCAATGGGCAGGTCAGTTACACAAATTGAGGACAACTTGGTTGAGCAAGCAGAAGCTGCCATGGATTTTGGAACGATACCTGTTAATGCCAGTAGCAGTAGTAGTTCACGAAGCAGTGCTGGTAATATCTCTGACCTTTCATCTTGTTGGTTTTATATGGATTTACATGGATGCTAAGGCACTTTGAACATTGTACAGCTGGAAATCAAGGATTATTCGTCTATGAGATAGGACAGAATATGTCATCAGCAAGAGGGGAGGTTTCCAATGATAGGTATGGTTTCCTGCTGTATTTGCACTGCCGAAATATTTTTATTGAGGCCGAGTTGAATGCTCTCTCTTACTTTAGACGAGTTAATCCTTGTTTTCAATATTTGTTTCTCATGAAATTTAGTTCCTTATATTGATAAATATATAGCACTATCACGTTATTTTTAAGTGGCTTGGGGGAAGCTGAAAGTGTTTGGATCCAACGCTTCTGCTTTGGCTGCTAACTTGCCTAGCGTGCTTCAGATCCAACACTTCTGATGAAAACAATTTCTGAGAGGAGTTATTCCTGCTATTTGGATGATAATACTAAAAACTAGTTTGTAATCATTTTTGTAGGAATACATTGGAAAACCTTAATTTTCTTAGTGAAAATGCCTATATTTTCAGAAACTTAATATTTTTCACTTTGTAGTTCGAAATTTGTATATGATAGAAAATTGCACTAAAAGGTAAAAATTGTGGTTATCTGAGGTGGCCAGCGATTATTGACAAGGTCTAGAGATTATGAACAGAGATGATTGACAATAATTGGTGGAATAGATATATGCTTATGTGATTTCCTTGTAGGTTCTTTCTCTTTTATGAGTTCATAGAACTTTAGAAGTGACCTCTTTTGAAACAAGAACTTCTTTTGTTTTTTTGATTAAGGAACTGTTTCTGTTGGTCAATTTTCTAAGTGCCCCAAAGGTCCAGCACTGGCTATTAAAAAATGTTATTTGTGGAAAATATAGTATAAGAAGTGGAGTCCTTAAAGTGGAACTTGGTCAGTGAAATATGCATTTGGGGTCAACAAGTCACATCTTCAATATCTTTCCTTTATTTAGACAAATTTGGCACAGCCTTACAGATTGCAGTCTCCCACTATTTGGAGTCTGTATTCACTACTTTTGTATGGGTTGATTATTAGCAACACTAGAATGGGTTTGGTTTTGATTTGTGCCTTCACATTTTACTGCTGATAACAATTATGTTGGAGAACTTTTACTTCTGGTGCTTGTATTTTCCATGTTTAAAGGTATAATTCTCTTATTTCGGACATTAACGAAGTTCCCTTTTGTTTTTGACAGTGTATCTTCTATCCTAACCAAAGGGCTTGATAACGCTTCGCATAAACGCCCCCCTGTATCACGGGTTTTATCTTCCCAGGATGGTTTGTCAGACTTGGCCTCTGCTTCAAATGAGAAGCAGAAAAGTTCAACGAGGCTTCCAACTTCTAATGGTACGTAATAATTCTATGTTGATGTGTTAGTTTTTGGTATGCTAGTTTCAGATAATTGTGTGATTTATACATGGGAATCATGCAACTTTCAGAAAAAAAGCTTGATTCTGTGGGGTATACAGCAGCAACTTCGACAGCTGAAACTCAGGCATCTGGAAAGAAGAAAGAAATGCGTTTTAGGAGGACCTCATCTTACAGTGATGCTACCACGGTGTCAGAGACATCATTTATAGATGTGCTTAAAAAGCCAGTTCTATCCGAGGCTGATTCAGCTAACATGGAATTGTCTGATGGAGGCTCACAAGCAGCACGAAGTGGCAAAAAGAAAGGGAAGAAAGGAAGGCAGATAGATCCTGCTCTCCTTGGCTTCAAGGTTTCCAGCAACCGGATTATGATGGGTGAGATCCAAGGCCTTGACGATTAACTAGTTCATTTTGTATATATCTTTGTATATTTGTCTGCATCTATTTGTAGAGATCATTGGGGAGGTTTCAGTTTTGAAATTCTTTGATTCTTTTTTCTCGACAAGGCGGAGAAAAATCGCCTGATTTTGATTCCCGCTGTCGCCCTTCATGTTGTAGAGGAGTATAGGCTTTCACTATAAAAGTTTTGAAAGGAACAAAGCACAGAAGGAAAAAAAAATAGTGTAAATGATTTTTCAATGATGTTATTCTGCAACAGCTTCATTAGCTTCTGTAGTCCTCCATATGAAACTTATCAATCTGCTGCTAAAAAACAGTTAAACCAAAGATGAAGCTTATGGTGGCAAGTTCAATTATAAGCATGATCGGAGCAATTGAATAATGAATAATTTTGCGAACTCTAATCTTGATGATAAAATGGTGTCTGAACCATTTGATCTAACGCAGTAGATTTAGTATATTGATACATATTGATCATATTAATTTATTGTATTTTATCTTCATCAATAATTTGTTGTCTTCATATGCAGACCTACAGGCAAAAGTTGAAAAATCTGTGGCATTTTAAATATAATAAATTAGGATTTGAAATTAAATCTAGATTGAAACTATCTTCAAAAAAAAGAAAAAAAAAAAATCCATTTCACACCCTAAGATGAAGTTTGTACCTCCTGTTTCTCTAAATTAAATAAAAATAATAAGGAATCCATTTGAATAGATGATAATTGAAATGAATAAATATTGATTTAAGTTCTTTCAAGTGTAAAATAATAGAAAATAGGCATTGAGTCAAATTATAAATACTTCAATTTTACTTCCTGGAGGAAAAGTTGCATTCCGCCTTATTTGCCATCCAAAATTTTTTTTTTTTCAATAAAATCACTCCATCTAAACAAGTGAGTAAGCTTGACTCTCATACCACTTATTTGTAATAATACAAGGCATAACTAACAACTTTCATCTCGCATTAGTTCTACTGTAACATATTTGAGAAACCGCTGGAACAAAACGATAAGCTTAACAGATTTCTGCATAAATCTGTTGACAAATGAGTCGATAATCTTCGGGTCAACTGGACTACCGGTAATGTCTGTCACATAAAATGTATCTTTGACTTTATCGCCTTTCGTTCAGATTTCTGCTCTCTTGATACATAAACTGTTTTCTCTGAATATCCAGGTAAATGTATGGTGGGAGTCCAATACGATGATCTTCAGTGCATAATTCTAGCTCAAATCCATATAATGACCAAGTATCATATGTCAATACAGAGTGCCAACTGTGACTGAATCTTCTAAATCAAGTGTCTGAGATCGAAATTGCTTTTCTGAAAGCATCATCCTAAATAACAACCACATGCAGATATTGATTAGTTGTCAGGGAACTTTTATGATTAGCAGATAAGAAATTCACCTTTAGGACAAACTTAAGTAACTACAGCTGCAGCCCTGGCATTTAACACAGTGCAGTGAAGGTCTGTCAAAACTGCACATACTTCAAGTAATAATACCGGCCTGGCAGTACAGGTAATTTCTATTGTGGTACGTTCTTCAGATGGCGTCACCCCAACGGACCCCCTCAATGAGGGAGCAAAGCATGCATTGCTTTCAAGTCTCTGCAGGATCCAAAATTAACAGGAAAAAAATGGATCAAACGATAAACCTTTCTGACATTGTAAATGCATGAGAAAATAGACCATTGCAATAGATGACTCGAGGAGGATTCTAGGTGTGCTGTAAATGAAATTTGCATTTTTTTTAGATGATGATTACTTGAAATTTGAAAAGAAAAGGGAAACATTATAAAAACAGTAAAGAATGACTTTTTAGGCTTATCCAAGCGTTCAAAAATATAAAGGAAACTTTCTAATACAAGGGAAATTAATGAAGGCTGTCAGTTCTAGACCAAAACATGGAAATTTAACTTGCCTTAAAAATCTAAGCCATCCAAGGATTTAGCTTACTATTATTGGCGTTGTTAAATGACATATCCTTGGTATCTTTTGCTGTGAAAGTGTGGCGAAGAGAAAAGAAAAGAAGCCTAAATCTGTGTTCTATTACTTTTACTCTCATCTCAGAAATCAAACCATCAATTGAAAAACATGACAAGCAACAACAGTAGGAAAATCCTTACTCTTTGCATATAACTGATGACTTCCTCGTCTCTGATTTTGTTACCATCTTGGTTAGGAACATTAAACATTGAGAAATACTGAGAGGAAAAAAATGAGAAACAAGCAAAGACTCCTCCAAAATCATGTCCTATTCATAATGTGAAAGATTAAATCAACATCCATGAACCATCCCCCCATCTACGATATGTATGCTTTTGTTATTACAAGATTCATGACAGTAAGCACTTGTACAACTTCAAGAAGTATACCATGCTTGTTGACGCTATCAACCTAAAAAGAAATCAAATCTCAACAATAAGTCAAAAAAAAAAAAAAAAAAAAAAAAAAAGACGCTATAACCTAAAAAGAAATCAAATCTCAACAATAATCAAAAAAAAAAAAAAAAAAAAAAAAAAAAAAAATTTCTAGACAGACCTTGATTTTTTGCAAATTAAAGTAGCGCTAAATTAGAGGAACTATGTTATGGCGGCTGGCTTGGCTTAGGGTAGTTTACTGCTATTTACGGTGTTTTTTTATTTAGTTATTCGTTTTTTAATCAAATGTTATTTTTCAGTTTCCTTTGTTAGGGGCTATTAGTGGGGTGGTTAAGCAAGTAACTTATTGTAAAATGGTAGTTATTAGTGGGTAGTGGGTAGTTTTTAGCTTTACATTAGTTGTTTAAAAGGCTGTTTATAATCAGGAAAAATGTAAGCAAACTCCTTCTAAGATACCCATCTCAAACCCGATTCCCCTAATTCAAAGACCCATAACTAGATCCAAATTTGGGACCATAACAAATTGGCAGATTCTCTCTAAGTCTGTCACCATTGATAGAAGGAAGAAAACTCCTTCTAAGATACCCATCTCAAACCCGATTCCCCTAATTCAAAGACCCATAACTAGATCCAAATTTGGGACCATAACAAACTATTTACCATTGCAACATGCATACATGATAGTTCAACCTAATTATGGTGAACCGAGACCACAATTATCAAAAAGAGTCAAAGACATGAGATTTGTACCCGAATAACGACATCCTCAGAAGCAGCATTGTCAATTACAATTCTGCAACAAAAAAGAAGTTGAATTGAAGTTTCTGTGGCATAAGTACAACAAAGAAAAAGGGAAAAATCAAACAGGCCATCCTATCACTCTTATTTTATTAAAACCCTAAATTTGTTAGATTCGGTTAATTTGATGAAGGGGTTAGCAAACCAGGAGATTGAGTTATCGAGAAAATTAGGAAAAGCGAAATGTCACAGTAAGGAAACTTATTTCAAAATTTTCATATTTGGTGCTGCTTGATGACTGAAGCAGTTAAAAAACTTAAATTTAGTGCCATCACTTTTCTTCTATTTTCCTCTTGATTTTATAAGCAATCAAACAACCTAAAGAAAAAGAATATAACTTGCAAAGAGAGCAAACTTTTCTCTAAATCCATGTTCTTCAAGTGAAACATAGAACTTATTTCATACAAACTAACGCCCAAAAAAAGCAAAAAAATACATATACCATCAAAAAAAAAAAAAAAAAAAAAAAAAAAACAAACTAGAAACGAAGAACACAAATCCCCAAAGAACAAACTACAAAATAAAAAAAAAAAAAAAAAAAAAACAAACTAGAAACGAAGAACACAATCCCCAAAGAACAAACTACAAAATTTACCCCAAATGCAAACATGCTTTAAAAAATCACCATTGGGATTCATACCTAGTTCACACAGTGATTGAAGCAAGCATGAGATAGTTTCTGGTTTGGAAGAAGAAGAAAGCAAGGCCAAAAGCTCAGTATATATAACTTGCAACATTGAAGGTGACAAACCACGAACTTGTTTCACATGTTCAATAGCAAGTGGAACCTCATCAGCATCTGCCAAACATTTCAGCAAAACAACGTGGGAGTCTGAATTTCCTACGCCATCAGGGAGGCTGCACAGCAACTGAGAAGCCAAAAGAAATTGACCTACATACCGGTGCATACATGAGTGAACAAAGAACATACATATAAAAGGCTTTTAACAATGTAAGAAGAGTAATTGAAAAGCAAAACGAACATTTGATGTACATAAGTACCCCAAACCAATTGAGAGAAATGATAATATATTCTGTAGTATAAATAAAAGTGAAACCTTTTTTGCACAGATTTAAAATGAATGTGCTTAAGGTACTCTGTGCCAACTTTAAATCCTGTTTAATTGATTTATTGAATATTTCAATAGCAGCATCAAACATAGTTTCTTGGCAAAGCCCTTTGATGAGGGATGTGTAAGTCGTAGAATCAGGTGCCATCCCTTTCTCCAACAGGTGTTTAAAGAGCCTCAAAGCCTCTTCAACTTCAGCTATTTCACAGAATTTTGCAATAAGAATATTGTATGTCTTTATATTCACTCCACATCCAATTACAAACATCTCATCCCAGAGCTTCTTAGCTGGACGCAACAAGTCTTCTCTACAACATGCTTCAATTAAAGAATTATACATTGAAATGTCTGGGTAGAACCCTTTCTTCTTCATCTCCTGAAGAATCCCATAAGCCTCTCTTACTCTCCCAGCCTTGCAAGAGATTGAGAATATAACATTATAGCACTCTGTATTGGAGAAATAATCATTTGAACACAAGACACGGTACACCTCTAGTATTTCATCAATCTTTCCTTGCCTAAATAAATTTCTGCTCAAGTTGCTCAAAGTTAAAAGAGTAGGTAAAATCCCTTTTCCAATAGTGAAATGGAAAAACGACATAGCAGAACAAGGATCAATACTTGAAACTGACCCTATCAATGCATTCAACACATCAACTTCAATAGGGAAATTACCATGCACAATGATTTCACCTAATTCTTTAGCTTCATATGTCAATCTCTCCATAATCAAACTCAAAATGAATTCTTTATAATCATTACTCCTTGGTGCCACCCCTAGCTTTCTCTTCATCTTCAAAATCTTATTCACATCAGCCGTACTCCCTTGTAATCTAAAAGCTTCAGCCACGACTCTATATGCCATAAAATCTGGTTTACAGTCTCTAATCCTCAATTCATTCAATACCCACAAAGCCTCACTTACCCTGGAAGCCTGACAAAGCCCATGAACAATCAAAACTGCAATAATAGACCCATTAATGATCGAACTGCCCCTTTTAACTTGATCTAACATACTCATAACTTTACCCAAATCAGCCTCCCTACAAAACCTCCATATAAACACGCCTAACCCAACAGTGCTAAAAGCAACACCACGCATAGACATTTCATCAAACACCTTTAACGCATTATCAAAACACCCATTAGAAGCCAGATTAGCTAAAAGCAAGTTACACGTCTGAGACCCAATATCTAAAATTTGAGATTTAACCTCCCCAAAAACTAAAAAAGCATTCTGGATCTTCTTCCCTTTGATTAAAGAATTAATAACAAAGCGATGAGTTGAAGAATCGAGAGACAATTTCTGGGCTTTAGCTTGTTTTAAGACAGACTCGATGGAATTGAATTGACGAGAAAGGGAGAGAGATTTGAGGATTGATTGGTAGGTGATCGATGTGTGAGCAAATCCAGGTTGCTGTGAGGCCCAATTGAAGAAACCGAGAGCGAGAGAATGGTGAGTCAAAAGGCACGGGTCGATTACTTGGGCCACCAGTGATGGACTCAATGAGCCTCGGCAACCGAATTTGTGTAGAATTGGTTCGAGTGATGGCGTCCATGACCGAGTTGGGATTGTGTTATTTGACGCGGAGATCAGAGCTTGGCTTATCCGAGTTGCTAACTCGGCTGCAACAGGTCTCATTGAGGAAGAAATAGAAGAAGCGCATGACTAGCAAACGGTTTGTAAAGTTGAAAAGAACACGCCCCTTGCAAAACGCACTGTTTAAATCTCTCAAATTCTTAATCTTCTTCACCAAATGGTAGTGTAATGAATAAGTAAAACTGTCAATTTTGAAATAGTAGACATCAGATAATCAAATATACATTAAGGCAAGCTTTTAGGAATTTTTTTTTCATATTTATTTACAATTAAATTTAATAAAAAGCTAATCTATTAATCAAAATCTCTCCATTCTAATGACTTACATTAATGAAAATATAAAATTTATGATTTTTTTTTTTTTTTGAGAATAATGAAATTTTCTCTCCTCTTTTGCCCTCTGCAACTTTTTTTTATTATTTTTTAGAATCATCTTAAATACTAAATCTTACTTTATAAAATTTATTTTCAGTCAGATATTTTATACAAATACCAAATTTCCTTTCTGATATATATTTATTTGACTGAAAGCAAATTTTAAAAAGTAGGAAAAATTTTATTTTAAAAAGTAGGAAAAAATTTATTTTCAGTGAAAAATTTACTGTGATGTTGAATATATATATATAGACTTACAAAGTGTTAATTATAATGTAAATCAAATTTTACTTTCAATCATACAGCTTGAAGATTGTTATATGCAAGAATCTAACTCGGTGATCTAACTCAGTGATCAACTGTAATTTTTCTTTTTAAATAATTGCATCAATTGAAATATCATAAGATACAAAATTTTAAGAGAAGGGGAAACAATAACTATGAATGTCGAAATGAAGTTAGCTTTATATCCAAAAAAAGTATGGAAATGTTGTAGCTAATAAAAAAAAATACAAAATTTGTACACGTAATTTTCACACTAAACTTTATCATTGAGCTTAAATTATCTATACAAGCTAATAGCCTTTTGTACAACTGATGTGCAAACACACTGTACATATACGAAGAACCATTTTAGTGCTTAGTAATATCCAGTAGATCATGGACTGAATCTATACAAGTATCATGATGCCTATGCTTTCCTCTGGATTTTATACATCTAACATTTCTGTACAAATATACATTGATGAGGAGAATTTACATGCAGAATTTACGAGTACGATCTGATCAACTTGAAATTCGAGAATGTTCGAGCTTTAAAGAGGTTACTGAATAGATATCCCATCGTTGTTTCTTGTGGACGTTTCGGTGAAAGAGTTGAGTTATGCTTCACCTGAAGTTTGGTTTCTCCAATCTGTTGGCAAATTGAGTTGATACTCTTGGGGTCAACTGGACTACCCGTAACGTCTGTTACATAGAATGTGTCTTTTACTTTACCACCTTTGGTTGAGATTTCTGCTCTCTTGATGCATAAACTGTTTTCTCTGAATATCCTGGTAATGTCTGATAGGAGTCCGACACGGTCTTCACTGCATAATTCTAGCTCTAGTCCCTACATGACCAAGAATCATATCTCAACACACAGTGCCAACTGTGACTGAATCTTCTAAATCAAGGGTTTGAGATAGAAACTGCTTTTCTGAAAAAGCATCAATTTAGATAACATTGGGAAAAAAAAAATCTGCAGACATCGTTTAGCTGTTCTGGAACTTCTTTGATTAGTACACAAGAAACTCACCTTTAAAACAAACTTCAATAACATCTAATCAACATTTTCAATATAAAGTAATTTCTTAAAAGCATCTCAAACAAAATGCCAAAGAAATCCTAAATAGAAATTCAATGCATATTGCATACCTCTGATCCTCGCCTTTCAATGGCAGCCTCAAGACACTGTATGACACGTTCTCGTTCAGCATCTGAGCTTATAGGGAGTCCATCAACATGTCTTATATAGAATTCCTACAACCAAATGCAATATATTTGTTTAATGAAAGAGAAAGAACAGTTAACACAAAAAGTTAATCCGAAGTGAAAACTTTAGCATATTATGCTGTGCTTAATTGAGATTGAATATTCCATCCCAAGATGGAGCACAGGGTCGGTCTATGAGTGAAAAACTAGGGATTTATATCCCTCCAGAAGAAGTCAATAGCAGTTTTTTGGTTCACATGCTAGTTTATTAATAAAGGTCTGCAAGTATTTAAGCTGTTCCAAAGACGCAATAGGGCTTTTCAACTTTGATTTATTAACAATAGATGTTTTTTAACTGAAATTATCTTACCTGATAAGCTTCCATTCTTCCTGTGCTGACCATTCCATGAAAGACTACATATTCCATGTCTGTTAAAGTGCAAACGATGTCAAACAACAGTTTAGGACGATCTTTGGACCTCATTGTAATCACAGAGTAATCTTTTTCGATGTTCAATACAGTGACATGGGGTCTTGAGCTCTTATCCTCATGCCTCCCTAGTCCACCCCTTTCAACCCTTTCATAGTCCCTATCAGCAAACATGATCTGATGCAATCTTCTCTCCCTACTAGTTATCCCAGGAGGAGAGAGTGTCATTTTTCCTGCCTTCAAATCATTATTTCCTTTGAGAACATTGCAAAGCAATTCCCTAATTATTGATAGTCGCTTTGGATCTTTAATTGCACATCGTGTGGAATCATCCGTGACATTAACTACAGCTGCAGCCCTGGCATTATGCGTCCATATCTCAGCATTTACCACATTGCAGTGGAGGTCTGTCAAAACTGCACATACTTCAGACAATAATCCTGGCCTGTCAGGACCAGTAAGTTCGATTGAGGTATGCTCTTCAGATGGCATCACCCCAACAGAACCGCTCATCGAGGGAACATAGCTTGCATTGCTTTCAATTCTCTGCAGGATCCAAAATTAACAGGAAAAAAATGAATCAAATAAGTTCATGAGAAAATAGACCATTGCAATATATTACAAGAGAAGGCTTGTCAGTTATGCAGTAAATGATTTTTTTTATTTTTTCTTATGATGATTACTTGAAATTTGAAAAAAAAAAAAAAAAAAAAAAAAAAAAAAAAAAAAAAAAAAAAAAAAAATAGACATTGCAATATAATTACAAGAGAAGGCCTTTTGTTCAGTTATGCAGTAAATTGATTTTTTTTATTTTTTCTTATGAATGATTAACTTTGAAATTTGAAAAAAAAAAAAAAAAAAAAAAAAAAAAAAAAAAAAAAAAAAAAAAAACTTATTAAAATAGTAAACAAATGACCTTTTAGGCTTACCCTCCGTTCAAAAATATAAAGGAAAATTCTTAACATAAGAAGAAATTAATAAAGGCTGTCAGTTCTGGACCAAAATATAGAAATTTAACTTGCCTTTAAAATCTAAGCCATCCAAGGATTTAGCTTGAATTCTAAATTATTGGCATTGTTAAATGACATATCGTTAGTATTTTGCTTTGAAAGTGTGGTAAAAGAGAGAAAGAAAAGACTAAACCTGTTTTCTATTACTTTTACTCTTATCTCAGAATCAAACCATTAATCGAAAAACATGAAAAGCAACCAACGAGAGTAGTTAAGTCCTTTCCATTCTCAAAAAAAAAAAAAAAAAAAAAAAAGAAAAAAAAAAAAAAAAAAAAAAAAAGAAGAAAAAAGTAGTTATGTCCTTACTCTTTGAATATAACTGATGACTTCCTCGTCTATGATTTTGTTACCATCTTGGTCAGTAACATTAAACACTGAGAAAAATCGAGAGGAAAATATGAGAAACAAGCGAAGGCTCATTTGAAGTCACGTTATAATCTGAAAGATTAAAGAAAATCTCACCATCCATGAACCATCCCCCATCAGACGATATATATGCTTTTGTTATTACAAGATTCATGTCCGTGAGCACTTGGACAACTTCAAGAAGTATTCCATGCTTGTTGACACTATCAACCTAAAAAGAAATCAATTCCAACATAAGTGAAAAAAAAAATTCTAGATAGACTTACTTTGCCAATTAACTATCCTAAATTAGAGGAACTATTTACCCATTGCAACATGCATACATGCTAGTTCAACCTAATTATGGTAAACCAAGTTCACAGTTCTGAAAGAGAGTCAAAGACACGAGAATTTTACCTGAATAACAGTGATATCCTCAGAAGCATCGTTGTCAATTACAACTCTGCAACAACAGAGGAATTATGTTAAAGTTTCTGTGGATAAATACAACAGAGAAAAAAAGAAAAATCAAATTGGCCATCCTATCACTCTTAATTTATTAAAGCCCAAAATTTGCTTAAATTAGCAGAATCGGTTAATTTGATGAAGGGGTTAGGAACCTTGACAAAATTAAGAAAAAAGAACGGTAAAAAAAAATAAAGAAAAGTATGTAAAAGTTTCATATTTTCTGCCTATTGATGACTGAAGCAATTGAAAAACTTAAATTCAGTGCAATTACTTACTAAGGCTAGTTCAGGCAATTAATTAAAAATTAATGAACATTTGTTTTTATTTAACTTTTCTTCTATTTTCTCTCGATTTTCCAAACAATAAACAGACTGAACAAAAAATATAACTTGCACAGACTGCAGCTTTTCTCTAAATCATCATCTTCTTCAAGCAAAACATAGAATTTATTTCATACAAACTATACACCCGGGAAAATAAAAAAGCAAAAAACATGTAAACCATCTGAATAACCACAAAAATAAAAAATAAAAAACTACTAAAACAAGCACTGCATCAAAAACCAGAAACCAAAAATAGAATCCCCAAAGGACAAACTACAAAGTTTAACCCAAAACAATAATAAGAGTAATAAGTACCTTGGTGGGTTCATCCTCCTGATAAGCTTAGCATACTCATCATCCATGTCTTCAAATTCCTAAAAACAAAAAAACCAACCCAATACACACCCAAAAAAAGGAAAAATTTTCACAGAAACCCACAAACCAAAAATACCAAAAACTGTACAGTTGTGCCTCTCCTCCTCCAATATCCGAGGGAAGAAGAAAACACCAAAACAAAGAAAAGGAGCGCACAAAGGTGCTGTAAAAAGTGAAGTATGACCTTAGCCGTTTAGGCAACACATGATTGAGCAACGACTCTGCGATTTAATTTAACCAAAGCTGTTGACGTACGTGTCAGTTTCATATTGGATGGAATAACGGTTAAATTTGCTGTTGCCCGTAGGTGCGACGGGCTTGGCTGTGAGTGGGGAAGTGAAAAGTGTCCGTACATCTCTTAGAGTAGGTTACGTGGAAATTCGACACGTGTGGCGAGTTGTAGATGTGTTGCCTGTAGTTTTGGCGGCAATTTTAGCGCTTAGCGAGACTGATTTTGCTGCCCACGTCACTGGAATGAATAGTCAGTTAACTTCTCCTTTATTAACGTTCTGTAAGCTGGCGATTTTTGACGATTTTTATTTTCTCTATAAACCGTAAAACGTTACATAAATCAATAAATCAAATTAATCGAGTCATTCTTGGTGATAGAATTGAAAATTATATTTTTTTCAATGACAACGTAGCCTTTTCTTTCATACATTTATTTATAAAAAATTACCTCAATTTATCTTATCAGTCTCTTTATTATTTTTTTGAAAAGAACATCGATTATATATACTTAAAACAAAATAAGATACATTTTTTATTAAAATTATGGCAATTTCATCATCATTATTATTTAAGGGACAACATAACTATTTTCAACGTGAACTTATAATATAATATGTTAAAAATTAAATAGAAATATTAAGTTTAGATAAACCTAATAATATATATTGTTACCAAGAACTAAAATTGGGGAACATGACAAGAGAAATGCATGCATCTAAACATATCACTGTCAATTAAAATCCAACATGAAACATAGATATTCATAGATAATTTCACGAGTGATATAGAAGCTATAAACGTGGAGGTCTCCACGCTCCTAAAATACATAGCTATAGCTATCAATAATTTGAAAAGTGCACCATAATCTGCCAACATGGCAACATCTCTCCATATTTCTACCAATTTTTAATTTGCTTTTTAGATAGGCAACAAAATTCTACCTTTCAATCATGTATAATTTCAAAAGCCTACAATTGTATTCTAGGATTTTATCCCAGTAGAGTCTATATATTTGGACACACTCATGGTTATTAACAATAACGACAAGGAGCATATCTAGTCCATTCCTCCAATTTCTTTTAATAAATTTTTAGCATATAAGACTCTGTTTGAGATAATTTTTACGAAATGAGTTAGGTTCGGTCTATTTTATTAATATGGGATTAGAGCCTATCATGCTTTAATATTAAACCATCCACAAATGTGTTTGACATTGCTTTGAGATAAAGTAATCGGTCCATATAAGACGACTTGATCAATCCTCCTTCTTGAGTTATATTTTAGAGAGTAAATTAGACTTAATTCATTTTATTAATATTATTCATTAGGAGACCCAATAAATCGAAATAATACGACAAGTTACATAACGTGAATAACCCTTCCTTGATTCACCCATTGACGAAGGGAGAAGAGGCCAGGAACAAATTTTTTTTTTTTTCAAATTCACCTTTAAACTTTTAAAACTTTTAAATTTTCTCCCTTAAATAGTGTAATTTTTTAATTTAGCCCCTCCTAACTTTTGAAAAAAAAAAATTCACCTCATTTATCTTCAATCCTGACTCCGTCGTTAGATTCACCAAATTGATTAAAACTCTTGTAATCCATTTTATTAATATTTTTAGTCCTACCTTAATATTTCATAGATATATCCTACATTTTTCACAGTTTTTATCGTTTATGTGAAATTTAATTAAATATAATTTATCAACCACTGATTTCCATCCAACAATGTTTTACAAGTTTTAGTTATAGAAAGATGTAAATGTCAATTAATGTAAAAATGTATGAAACAAAAAAAAAAAAAAAAAAACAAAAAAAAAAAAAAAAAAAAATACTCTTCCATTATTGATTAAATAATCCAAATAAATGGGGAGAAAATAAATAAAAAGCACTTGTTTTAATTGTGATAGGCTTATGAAATAATCAAATATCTAAAGAAGAGAGAATAAAAGGGATTGGGTTGGGGGAATAAAGGATGGCGAAGGATATATAAAATGGAAAGGAGAGCCGCCCAAGTGGGTCCCCAAAAGGGATAGGTATGGGTTAGATACTTAAGTTGGTATAGAACCAAAAATATGTATTTGGGCCCCAATTCGAAAAATCTATAGTCCATTGAGGATCAAAATTGACAATATCACTTCCAAGAATCAACCAATGGCTATGTAATGCACTTCTTTTATATTTTTTTAAAAATATTATTTCAGATTTATCTCATGTATTTTAAAATATTATATATTTTTTAAAAATACTATCGAAATTAATCAATGAGAAGAAAAATAAATTTCATAAAAATTTTGCACAAATTTTTTAAAAGAATTCTCACGAACTAAATAAATCCTATGATTTTTACATAAAAATTTTTATGAAAAGGAACAATAAAAATTATTCCTTTTTTTAATACATACATTTTTTATGAGAATTAGATATTATAGAGAAAAAAAAAATATAGAAGACCAAATATTTAACTATAATATTTATTAGAAATATATATTTTAATCCATTAAACTAGAATTAAAATATGCTAGGGCAGGTTTGATGACTAAAGAATTTCGCGACAAGTATTTTACTCGCTCATGATAATCAAAGCCTCCACTTCACTTACAAGAGAATGATGCCGATTGTCAAACCATTCATTCCAACACTCATTGATTTTTTTTTTTTTTTCAATTTTAATATGGAGAAATAGACAATCTAACTTGCATTCTTTTTCGAGATTATGAATATTTTTATCATCACACTAAATTATCAATATCTCCATTTATCCCCTCAATTATATGTTGTGTTTTTGGAAAAAAAAATATTGATGATGCCTAGGAGCCATACTTTTCAATTTGGAAAAATAATTTATCATATTATGACTCAAATAATAAATTAATTATTGAATTGCCTATGTAATGGAATTATTGAACTACTTTATTAATTTAAATGGCAAAGTTGGGCGGTGCACGTAATTTTATAGTCCATTAGTGTGTCAATTTGCATAAGGAGATATATCCGAATAAAGGGAATGCAAATATATATAAATGCTCCATTATTAAAATTATTTGATTCAATGCAACTTGCTCTTAAAGAGATCTTATTTGATTAAAATCCAAGAATTTAGATGCAAAGAGGAGAATTCTTTTACATAATCATTAGCCTATGTGCCATAAATTTTCTATTTTAGAGGGCTTATGCCTTAGGGTTGGCACTTGTATTAAAAAAAAAAAAAAGATATTAAAAAAAAAAAAAAGAAGAAGAAGAAGAAGAAGAATAACTTTTATAGGAAATTTTTTCTTTGCAAGGTGTAACCCTAATATTATAAATGAATCCAGACTTTTATGAATTATTGAGACCTAATTTATTTAATAAACAAATTAATCAGAGTTCGAGTTCGGCCGGTACGTAAACTATAAACTATAAATATGTCAAGTTTAATTATGCATTATTTGTTTATAATTCTAATTTGAAGGATCAATGCAAGATCATTATTTCAAGTCCAAATCTCTTTTTTTATCTTAATTTAAAAAAATCAAATGAAATGCTTTTTCAATATCAATTAAAAGATAGCAATAACATTGATTAGAGGATTATTATTATTATCTAATAGCTACTTTTTTTTTCCTCCCTTCAAACATTTCTCACACATCAAATAAAGAAGAGAGGAAATGATTTATCAATTGCTTGATTCTTAAAACAATGATTCCATTTAAATAAAAGTAAGTTTGGCTTGCTTTTCAAACAAAATTGAATTGATTATTGTCTTTTAAATTAAGCAATGAACAAATTAATATTCAATTCATTATTTTATTTTTTCTTATAAAATCAGAAGTTTTTCAGAAAAAAAAAATTATCAAATTTGAAATCTCTAATCTTAATTTCACACTATATATAAAAAAAAAAAAAGCACTTAACATCTTACATGAAAAATATTTTGCTTGAACATTCTTTTGTTGATAATTTTTTTAGCACTTTTGGTTAATAAAATTATGGTTAATTTTTATAATCGTATATTTTTTTATTTACATTATTTTATAAGTTCTTAAATTTATATTTTCAATCTAATAAATTACGGACCACCCAAAATAGATTAGGTCAAAATGGAAACTTAGTTAACCACGTTTTTATTGAGCTCTATCATACTTGAACTCAGCTTATTAATGATATATTCAAATTTGAGTAATTCAAACTTAATTCACAATAAAAAATATAAAAAATATTGTAGTTTGTTTATAAATTAATTAAATTAGTTTAATATTAATCGGTCAATTGAAGATCTCATTTTAAAACTCGAAATTGGCTTATTCATTAGGTCAATTTTTTAGATTTGAACTCAATTTGTTAAATTTATCCGACCAACAAAAACTATATTTTACAAGTGAAAATTACATGGTAGATGAAAACGGTAAAGTAAGCAAAGATAAATCATAATGACAACATTAAACAAAAAAATATCATAATGACAACATTAAACAAAAAAAAAAAAAAAACAATAGCACCGACATTCATCAATGTCATGCCTTATTAATGTGCCAATTGCCGACAAGAGGGCGACCTACAGATTGATTAGCCTTGAAATATATAATATAATATAGATATATATAGTATATATATAATGTGTTGTGGATATATATATATATATATAATGTGTTTGTGAATAACTTTTTAAGTTGATACATTTTTTATTTTTTTATAATTTTTGTTAATATAGTATTTGAATTAGTTTTTTGAAAAATTAATATAGCATTTTATAAAAAGTTAATTCATGTAACATTTAATTTTTAGCATTTTAGGAAAAGTTACTCAAACAGCTAACAACTAAATACTATTAAAACAATTAACAGCTATCATAACAGTTAATTTTGCTGAACAAACCAATAATACTGAGAAATCGAATTTTGTCTCTTATTGTAAAATAAAGTCAAAAAGTTATCTTTGGAACAAAATTATCATTTTATTATAATAACTCATGTCTTAATTAAAACTAAACTAAATTAAATTACTTTAAACATTATTAATTTTCATGGATAAATTGCTATCTAATCCCTTAGTTTTGATTATCATTGAGTCCCTATATTTTGACTAAATAATTGAATTGTCCTTCAGTTTTAATTTGTGAAATTATTTAATATTTTCATCCAAAGATTGTCGTTCTCCTTTAAACGAAAAACTAAATAGTAACATTTTATTAAATGTGAGAGACTAAATAGCAATATTATATTAAATGTGAAAGATTAAATAGTCAAATATTATAAGATAATTAATTAAAAAAAGAGATTTTTTTAGAATAGACAACCTTACCTAATAAAGGTAGAGTATATATTTAGGTCTTCTCAATAACAATAAATATCATTGGTATGAAGATATTGAATGAAGTAATAACCAATTGGAGAAAGAGAAATGAGAAAAAAAAAAAAAAAAAGGGAATTTATGCTTTGTATCTTTGATATGTTGGTGATGATTGTTTTGATTGCATCTTCATCTTCAAGAAATTGTAACAAAGAAAACTTGTTTGCTTGTGATTGACACCAAACCCAACTAATGGGTAGATATGTGTTTATTCCAAGGTACTAGGAGACACTAGTTAGGTACACTTTATATTATTAGGTAGACTAATCTTGTTTAGCACTCAAAATGGGCTTTAATGAAATTTAATCAAACTAATGCACGTGTAGGAATTTAATTGATTCTAAAATCATTTTCAAGTACTAAAATTATTATTATTCAGTTTATTAATTATTATTAAAAATACACTAGATTTTTCTGATCGTTAAACTTTTAATTATACATTCAACAGAGATATATTGAAATTACGTATATAAGAAGAATACGAACAATACATTTTTGATAAGGAAGGGACAAGAAGACCTAATTAATACGTAGAAGAACATAAGCATATATGGATCTTTATATATCCACTCATGTAGTGTTTTACGTTTTAGTTTGATTCCATCGCAAGGTATTATAAATATTTGTGATTTAATTATTAGAACTTTCCTTTTTTTTTTTTTTCTTATTCGCACATGTGCTTTCGATTGAAATCGGAATGATATTCGGGCAAACCTTTTTAACAGCGGAAACTCTAGAATTTAAAATCTTCTATATTATAAATAAAATTCATTTGAAATTTGGTGGAACCTCAAGCTGATGTTAAAGCTTCTTTAATTTAGATGTTGATCACATGTTATGCTCGAGTTGGTTTTATTTTAATACAAGTTAGTAGTAGATGCTCCAATATATGAAATAAAAAAATGATTTATTGATTTTTAGTTAAATAATTGATTTATTGGTGGACTTTAAATAATTGCATCTTTTTCAAAGTTTTCATTTTAAGTAAATTTCTCTATATAAAAAGAATATCCAAAATTGAAATTTTCTCTAAATAAAGAGAACAGAGAGAGTAATTAATAATTTTAATACCTATGTATAACTTCTTTTTACCACGCATTTATTTAACTTATTTAAATGTTATTTTATGCATCTAATAAAAGTTTCAATTAAACCATTTAAAATAGTTCAAAATATCAATTCTTATTTTGAAACTAATTTTACTTTCAATTTGTAAAAGATTTGCATAATTATAAAACTCCAACTGTCAATTTTCTAAATCTCTCTTTATATATACATATTTCTATTTCGATATTTTTGTTTAACTAGTATTAAAAACGTGCTTTGCACGTTAAAACTCGTTATACTTACCCGTTTTTTTTTATTTTTTCTAAATATAATTTATTGATTTTTCTATAATATAATAAAAATGATACTAAATTATTGAATAAAAAAATAAGTATATTAATTAGGTGTTTTTTAGTCAATATTTTACTTTCAATATTATAATATGTATGTAGACAAATTGAATGGAAAAATAAAACTTTATGATCCAAACGATATGAAAAGTAAAAATAATCATAACCCAAGTAAAATAATATCTTTAAAATTAAGAAGTAAAATGATAAGAAGAAAAGTTTTTGACATATTATAAAAAATCCTATAGCCAAAGAAAAATAAAATGGTTATGGTATTTTTTCTATAAGTATTGAACATTTTTATTGGTAGTCTACAATAAATTGGTATTTTAATAAGATTTCTAATTGAGTTATATTATAATTTATAAATTATTTATACTTAAGATATAACTCATACGTCCTATATTCAATTATTAGAAGTAAAATAATAAATTTAAATAATAATTACCGATTTTTTAATTCTTTTAATTGAATTATTTTTATTATTTTTTTAGAATTGTATATTATAAGAATTAGCTAACATAGTTAAGTTAATCATAGATATCAATTTATCATTTATTATTAGTAGTTTAAGTAAAATCAATAGATATCAATTATCATTTATTATTAATATTTTATTAATAAGTTTTATTTGGAACTATTTAAATTTTTTTGAGATTTTTTTAGTAATTTAAATTAATATAAAACAAATTTATATAATTTTCTATCAATACTTCGTGTTTTTTAACTGAATCTTCAACTTTATTTGATAATTGACTTTTATTTTAGTGTCAGGTTATAAAAAAATATTTGGTTTTCTATTTTTATATTTTCTACTTTTATATGTTTAATTGAATAGTATTAGCCAATCTAATTAAAAATTATTATATAATTTTAATCAACCAATAAAATTAAAATTTTTTTTAATTATGATGAGACTAAATTATCATTAATGATATTGTTAATCAACTAATAAAATACAAATAAAATTTAAAATTCCTATACATATATAAAAAAATTATGATTTACTATTGTATTATAATTTGAATATTGAAATTTACATCCTTATCTTACTCCTATCGAAATATTTGAAACTTAAAAATAAAAAATAAAAAATATTATCTTGACAAATATTAATCTTACTGTCCTAATAAAAAATAAAATAAAAGGAGGAAGAAAAAAAAGAAAAAGAGGCAAATTCGTATTTTTTCTTGCAGTATTTTTTTTTAATTCTTTTTTGGTCTTCCAAGCTTTGACAGCTTGCGGTCCAATTTGCGAAAGTACAATTCGTATGGTTAAGGCAAATTCCAGTTCCTTTTTCTGTTAATGCAAGTTCCCCAAGTCATCAATCGATGAAAAATTTGTGCCGGAGGAACAGCGCTATTTTTATCCGCCGTTGATTCTCCGTCAACTCTCACCCGCATTCTTCTTATCAATTTTCTTTTTTGGACCCCTTGGCTGTTGCTGCCTTTCTTCTTCTTCTTCTTCTTTTCCTTTTCTAATTCCTTTTCTAATTTTCGCTGTCTTGTTTGGTTTACAGTTTAATTACATAGGTAGGTTAACTGTGTGGTTTTTAAGGGTTATTTAGTAGTATCTTGAAGAAGTGTTGGCCTTCTTTGTAATTATGTGCTTTGTTTGTTTGAAATTTTATTTCTTGAGAGTGAATTTTTTATGTAACTTCAATGCTTAATAAAACAGGGAGAGGTAAAGAATTTTAGCTCTTAGGGCTTTGTGCATTTTAATAATTTTTGAAGTGATTTCAAATTTGTAGCATTACTATTAAGTATATTTCAAACTTTATATATCAATGTGAAGACTAAATCGTGTCCAATGTGAAAGATGCAAGTTTTTTCTTTATATGCATAGTTAAAGTTTGAAGCTTTTTTTCTTCATCACTCTGCTAAATGCAGCACTTTTGGTCCTTGTTTAATTTGATGAGTTTAGTTTCCCATATGACATTTAAAGTTTGTGACACGCCATGTCGTTCCCTTCGTGTTTCTTATCATCTAAACATTGCTACCGTAAGAAATTTTAAATGCATATACGTGTTTCCTTTAATAATCTAAAACTAACCCTCTGTAAATTTTTGGGTTCTTTTGTGTTCTTGACATGTTAACGTTTCATCTTTTCTAAGGTGAAATAGACATGATTTTTCTCAGTTCCCTTTTTGGGAACCGGAATCATCGTAAAGTAATTAATTTATACCTAGAAAAGCTTCCTTTAATAATCTAAAACTAACCCTCTGTAAATTTTTGGGTTCTTTTGTGTTCTTGACATGTTAACGTTTCATCTTTTCTAAGGTGAAATAGACATGATTTTTCTCAGTTCCCTTTTTGGGAACCGGAATCATCGTAAAGTAATTAATTTATACCTAGAAAAGCTGCATTTCTAAAATATATGAACGTTCTAAATTTCTGACTTCATAGATTCAGGCTTTCAGTTTGCTATTTCTCTCGAGATGATTCATTATATTTCAAATTGGATATCTACAGTCTATTTATAAGCACTTTAACCTGTGAATTTTCTTTTAAATAAGCTCTATATCCACATCGGAATTTATAAAAGAATTAGGCATCGTCAAATTCTGAGATTTCATTCGCCTGGGTTGAGGGAAATGACCTCTAGTGTGCTAAATAGAAATATGCTTTTTTGAAGAAGTTATTTATAGAATTTAGCTCTGTGGAATGATATGTTCCTTGGAATAAACTTTATTCATTCTAGTTTTAGGTGATTTGATGGTATATTTTAATCTGGATCTATTTTCATGTATTGCATTTTGATTTATTCTGCTGACCGTCCAATCAAGATTAATTTTGTTATATGTTGTTTTCGTTTCTTTTCTTTATTTTCTTTTACTTAGGTTTCTGCGGTTTTAAAGATCTGCTTTCTGCATCATTTATTGGGAGAATCAATGGCAAGTTCATTTAATCCTCAGATTTTAGTGGAAAAGCTTGCCAAGCTCAATCATTCGCAAGCAAGCATAGAGAGTATCCTTTTGATAAGGACAGTGGATGATATTTTTCTTCTTTGTACTGTTAATTAGTGTCTAAGATAATTTTATTTGCAGTTTTCATCATTATAGATGGTCAGATGTCTATTCTCACAGTTTGATTCGTAACAAGCTGATTGATATCTTTAAAGAAAAAAATGAGGACTAGGGTGCATTGATAACTGAAAAAGGAAATGGTGCGTTGCTACTGGGCTTGAGTGAGGAACATTATGAAATTCTCTATATAAAGTTTTCTAAGATTAGAGCTGTTTTATTATGGTTTTGGAATCCTCCATGACTTTAACGCTTCCCTGTAGTTTGCAGTTTTGTTTGAAGAATTTGTTTCATGGATACTATCTCATTTTTTCTTGCTTTTATTTTTTACCGTTAATAGATGACAGTATATTTGGTATATGCTCACGTATGAGCCCTTGTCGTCTATAATGCGCAACCTTCCTTAAAGTGTGATTCTTTAAAATGGGTACTTATTTCTTAATTCTTAACTGAATCTAGAGGAACTGACTCTTCCAATATTAACTGTTTTCCACTTTTTTCCCTTTTTTTTAACAGGTTAGTTTTGCTCCTGCAATATGGGTTTCAATGAAATGACAAAATCCAGTAGTAGAGTGGCTGAGCTATTTGGAAATTTAGGCGGTCTTTTAAGAATATGCTTATTTCAAATTGTATCCATGGGACCCATCCCCAGCCATTTTGCTTTCATAATGGATGGAAATCGTAGGTATGCTAAGAAGGGGAACTTGAAACTAGGTGCTGGTCATCAGGCTGGATTTGAGTCTCTTATATCCATACTTATGTACTGCTATGAATTGGGAGTAAAGTATGTAACTATCTATGCCTTTAGCATTGATAATTTTAAGAGGCGGCCAGATGAGGTTAAGGACCTGATGGATCTGATGCTAGAAAAGATTGACGAGATGCTCAAGGAAGAAAGCATGGCGAAGCAATATGGAATCAGAGTATATTTTAAAGGTAATTTGAAACTTTTGAGTGAAAATGTCCAGATTGCTGCAGAAAAGGTTATGATGGCTACAGCTAATACACCAAGTGTACCCTTTTAATCTGTGTAGCTTATACCTCACGTGATGAGATTTTACACGCAGTTCAAGATTCTTGTAAAAATAAATGGGAGGAAATTCAACCATTGAGCTTTTGGAAGGCTACTAATGGTGGCATTCAAGAAATAGACGATTGTAAGAAGATGAATGGTGTCACACCACATGGTTTTCAAGAATTCCGGAAAGATGAAGTTGATGGATCTCAAGCAACAACAACAAGTGCAACCTGCAGTGGTTTGATTAGAGGAGTTGGAGGGGTTGACACTGAACATAGCATGGTCATGCATGCAGTGCACACATCCTATGAAGATCAGGCATTGATGGCAAATAGAATTGGCCATGGGGTGTCTCCAATTGAAGAGAGTGAGAAGATGCAAGGAGAGTGTTCTATGATAAAACTGGTAGACATCGAGAAGTACATGTATATGGCAGTAGCTCCTGAGCCTGACATTCTTATTCAAAGTTCTGGAGAGACCCGTCTTAGCAACTTCCTACTTTGGCAGTCTACTAACTGCCTGTTGTATTCTCCTGATGCATTATGGCCAGAAATTGGTTCATAAATAGAAAATCTCCTAGGCTAGGTAGATAATTTCCCAATTACAAACATTAAATAATCACTACATGATGGGAAAAATGGGTTATGGCACTTGGTTCGGGCAATATTGGACTTCCAACGCAACCACAATTATTTGGAGAAGAAAAAGAAGCAGTTGTAACAAATTTAATGTTGAAGGACAGTATCTTATCTCATATTGAATTCAATAGCTGTGCGTTTGCCACTAAATTCCTCTGGAAGTCAGGAAGCTTTAGAAGCCTTAGATTTTCAAGAATGGGCGTTTTTTCAGTTGCAGGGATGCCATGGCGTAAAGTAAGCATAACCAGTGAAGTACGAAACCACAAAAATGCTTACTCCCACCCATTTTAAATATTTTAAGTTTTTTAGTGTAATCTTGAAAGCATCCCTGTCTAGCCTACCGCCCTCCATTAAATTTGAGCTCTCAAATACCATTTTTCTGTTGAGTTTTCTGGTTTGTGACACGCACTTTTCTAGATGAATATATATGCTATGAACCACAGTCAGACATTTTGTGGTAGTAAATGGCCTGTTGATTGTACATCCTGAGATTGTATATGAGCATTTGCATTCTTTTGACAACATAGTTTTTAAGGCATCTTAAAGGATCGGATCTTCGTGTCGTTTCTATTTAGTAATTGCATGGAACATGCTTCAATATGCTTCTCTACGGTACAATTGATATTACTTCCGTTCTCACTGGCTATAATGCGATATTTGCGTTGAACATTTCCGATTCCTTTTAAAGTATTCCGTTTGTTAGATTATTGCAGCTTGAAACCCATTGTTCCCTGCTTAGTTTTTCTTCTGTTTGATTCGTTTTTGAATTGGAAATGACATAATATTATTTTACCATTTGTTGAAGGCAACAGCCATTCAAAGTGACTTTCATACATAAATTCAAATATCAAGCTAAAAAAAACATCTAAAATCTAAAAAATCACAAACCACGAGCATGTCAATGATGTCAAATAAAATTTAATTACACATAATTATATTCCTTCCGTTCTAAAAGGATAGTCCACTCTCTATTTTCACACAGATTAAAAAATATACTTAAAGGACAATTTTATTCATATAAATTTTCTATTATATCTATCTTAAAAATGTACAAATATTGGAATAATAAGTAAGAATTAATGAGAATTATTGAAAATAAGATAAAATTTAATAAGAATATATTAGATAATTCAAAGATTAAATATAGTAAAAAAAAAGAAAGTGGACTATATTTTAAACAAACCAAAAATAAAAGATTGACTATCTTTTTGCATCAAAGGGAGTATAATTTTTGTGAGGCTTTCAGGCAAGAAAATTACCTATAGAAAGAAGTCTTCCATTAACATTCAGATGAAGGGTTTTCAAGTGGAGTGGGGTTTTGGTTAATGGGAGGAAGGTGGAAGAGTAGCTGCAAAAGTCTCTTTTAGCGGAAGCTGAGGTTGGAGTCAACATTAATTTGATAGTTGGATATTTCATAATTAGTGGTGCTTCTATGTCCCTCCATGTTCACTTCAATCTTATGGATATGACCAATATTATCACCAAAAGTAATAATATATATATATTTTTTTTATATTGAAAAACTGATACTTGGATCTCAATCTATTATCAAATCGCATGTGCTATCGAAAGGATTGATTAGCTTCCCACTCTATAGTTTTTAGATATTTTGTGTTGTTACTAATATATAAATAAAAAATATCAAACCCATAAATTCTTCTAATCTCTCATTAAAATCCCTCAAAGCAAACATAGCCAACAATTTATTGCAGCAGTCACTAATTTCCTCACGGTCACATTAATAAAGGATCCCTCCCTCTCTTATTATGCAAGTCCTACAAGAAATTTCATGTACTAAAAAGGACCAAAGACAATGTCAAATGTCAATTTATTTTTTGTAAATCAAAATAGGAATTAACCCAACTTTTGTAAAAGAGAAATGATGAGGTTTTTGCATACATATCTGACAATTTCCTTTCATGTCAAAGATAAATTTCTGCTAGGCACTAGGCAGACATAAATTTTGAAAATGCCAATATGCTTCAGTGCAAGGACCCTTCAACTACTTGATTAGATCGTGTCCTTGTGCACTTGATGCAAAAATTAAATCTCTGCCATACATTATTGACGGTCAACAAATATGTCAACTTGTACCAAATGTTTAACATAACATCTATGGTCAAAAACAACTTCTACATCAAACAGGCCACAGAAGCAAAGATTATCATTAACCAATAATTCTAACATTGCTTAAGGTAGTTGTCTGGGTGGAACCAACCTGTTGCATATAATTATCTTAATCGATAGAAAGAGAAGTAAAAATAATTGATAAGAATTACGATTTGAATGTACAAAGGAAAAGTCGACTTGATGTATGATTCACAATCAAAACCAATAAAAATCATTTCTCCATAATAGACTAGTTAAACTTAAGCTAGATAATTCTACTGTCACAGAATATTTCTCAAATTCTCATTTCTATGCAGCATGAACCTGTTCTAGAAACAGCAATATCAGTCTCACCCGTTGCTGGTTTTAAACTGAAAATTAAGATTAATCAACAAGCAAAAAATGACATATGCAAAGAATACATCAATGCCTCAAGTAAGTTGCTTGAGATGAAACATTTAATCATAATACGATGACTCCACTTTTACTGAGTTAAAGCTCCTTGACACACTTGAAATGATGTTCTAATGCAAACAGGAACAGAAATAGACAACATTGAAAAGAATGGATGTGGACATAGATTTCATTGCCAACCACAGGAATAATTGAGAGGATAAAGTCGACAACGAACATTATCTCAAACTATGAACATCAATTTAAGATCCAAATTTCAAAACATGCAAAATACAAAAGGTGTAAGCTTCATAGTAATATTAATCTGATAGATATATATACTAAATATCTAGCCTTTGTGACACATTTTAACAAATGTAGCCATTGTACAGCTTCCATATATGTTCTTTTCCAGTTCTCAATGTTCTCACTCTTTAGTCCCTTTCAGAAAAACTTAATTGGTTTTGTCAGTTAGGCATAATTTTTCTCAGGAAGGTGAATCATTTTCACTAATAAAGAAATCATTACTGTATTATACTTCACCTGTAAGCTCCCACACTAGAAAACTAAAGTAAGATCAACTAGACAATAGGTCCGAAATGGTACAACAGAAAACAAATATGAACACAGAGCCACTAGATTGTCCATCCTACATTGACAAACGATCATAAATCTATATAATGCCAGATACATTAAACTTGGGGAAGCACATGCAAACCTTCCTGATTTCTATAGTGGAAAGAAAACATTCTGGTACCAGAAGAAACATGGTGGAAAAGTATGATAGGTAAGTCGTAAAACTGCCAACAGAAAACTCATCATACAGAAATAACCACTTGAAAATTGAGGATATTCAAAACAGAGTAGAACCTGTGACCAATCCATTTTCAAATGTTGACATTAGAATCACTCTATCAGTCCATCTAACATGGGAAAGATACTCCATATAACAATATCGTACAGTCTCATGTTTGCTTCCTCTTGATACTCCAGGTCAAGATGTTACACTTCCAATAAATCACAACTGATATTGCACATATAGATCTAGACTTCCATAATTCAGGGAACTCGTGCCTATACGCACTTCATCTCAATCTCCAGACCATGTGCAATGGTAACATCTTGAGATTTGCAAACATTGATATACACTCAGATTGCAATATATAATAAAGTGATTTTGCAAGATCAAAGCTTTAAAGATCATGGCCCATAAGCTTTAGCAGAATGAGATACTTGATTTCTTTGAGTAAAAATCAGTCAGTCTACATTAAACATCTTCCTAGGAAAGTCTAATTCATATTTGCTAGCTCACCATAGGCTAGTATTGTTGCAAGTTCTAGTTCTAGAGGTTCTAATCTTATGAATAACCGGAAGGCAACAGTGCAGCAAATTGATTTTGACCCACAGTCTCACATCACTGACACAAGGACAATCAAAGATTTGAGGTTTGTAAAGACTGAAGAGGGAAGCAGAAAAGCTAATCATAACCGTGAAATATCAAAACCATGAGAAAATTAACCAATAGCCGATCCTACCAAAGGTTGACAGATAAGACTACAATTCAATTCTAGTAGTAATTAGAACTCATAACTATTTCAAAAATTATAGAAAGAACCATATGATGTTAGTACTGTCAGAATATATAATGAGAAAATTAACCAATAGCCGATCCTTACCAAAGGTTGACAGATAAGACTACAATTCAATTCTAGTAGTAATTAGACTCATAACTATTTCAAAAAATATAAGAAAGAAACCATATTGATTGTAGTACTGTCAGAATATATTATAATATATATATATATATATATATATAATATATAATATATAGTTAGTTGTAGCAATGAAAAATGATTCAAGGGATATATAGTTAGTTGTAGCAATGAAAAATGATTCAAGGGCATTGCCATAAAAACAGTGGTAATATGGAGAATCCTCCTTAGTGACTGCTCGTATTTACAATTTTAAATCCAGCATAAACAAAAATTGCGTACATTTCAAACATTATGGGAATAACCATTATTTTGAATGAACAAAAGAACATAACACGATCAGGAGTGAAATTAACATACAACCTAAAATCAAAATTAGGAGAAAAAAATCAAGACATAAAGAGAGACATAGATAGACCTTGAGAAGCTGCGTAGGAAAAGAAAAGGCAAAACATTTTTGAAGGAATATAAGATGATGACTAGAAAGAACATTTACCAGAGCAAGATAGCTTCTTTGCAGAATATATACATCTACCAGATAATTAAGAAGCTTTTTCGATCCGAGAAGGAAATTGGAGGACAACTATATGACCATTTTAATCTCACAAACAAACTGATAACCATTTCATCCAGACCAAGATAAGAACAAATAATTAAAGATGCCTTACACCATAATCAACCACACCTCTCTGAATTAGATAAGAAGTTAAGCCCAAAACCAAACTATTTGGCTGCCAACAATTCCACCTGCACATTGCATACCAAAAAGAGCCATTACAACACTTAAAACCTGAATAATTTCATACCAAAAAACAAAAAACAAGAACTATAGAAAGAACCAAAAGCACCTGTATATGGAGACTTCGGTGATGGAAGGGAGAGTAAGAGGCAAGACCAAATCCAGTCCCTATTGAATTCTCTTATGTATCTCTCTCTCTCTCTCTCTCTCTCTCTCTTTTGTTTCTCTCCCTCACAATTTTTTAACCAATTATACAAACAAAAACCATTACAAAAATCACTCAATTTCTCTCAACATCAAGAATGCTTCCTCTAAACTAGTAGTATCACTGTCCGGACCCTTGAGAATCATCCTTGGCAGGATTTTGCTGTTGGTGCTGCTGCTGCTGCTGTTGCTGGTGAACTCTAGCCTGCCCCATCTGCTGATAAATCTGACTCAAAGCTTGTGGGTTCAAAACCCCAATATGGCCGTCCTGTGATAAACCAAGCTCTAACCCAGGTATCTGTTGGTTACTCCCAGCTAAAATTGAGGTAAAACTCATAGGACCCATATTATTTCCAGGCAAGTCAAAACCAGGAAACCCAATTTTTTGCAAATAACTAGTAGAACTTTCACTCCCCAAATTTGTTGTTGCTGGACCAGTGGTAGATGATGACTGGAACCCAAACCCACCTACTGGGGGCCATAATCCTGTTGTTGCCACATGATGGGGTCTCCCTAAATTGCCACCTACCATCGCCCAACTGGTCCTACTACTACTGGACCCACCTAATTCATCAATCTTTTGGTTCAACCCAGCTGATAGAGAGGTCCCTGGCTGTGAAACTGATCCACCAGCAGCTGCCAAAAATGATGCAGGAACTGTTCCTGTTCCAGTCGCAGCAATTATAGATGGTTCTGCCTGTTGTAATAGCCACTGAATTGTCTCTCCATCAGATTTATGGCCCAATTCCCTGGTCAATTGAAAGATTCTTGCTGCACAAAGAGCTGGCATCCTTATCCTCCTCCCTCTTCCTTCTACCTTTGTGTGTCTATCCTTGTTCGAACTTCTTTTCGGTCCCAACTGCTTTTTTTGCTCTTCTTTATCTGCAATTACAATCTGGAAATCTTTAATTTCTGCTGGTTTGTTCTCTCCCATGCTTCCCTGCTGTTGTTGTTGGCTTTGGTTCTGATTTTGTTGCTGTTGTTGTAGGGTTTGAGGAGGAGGGTGGGTCAAGAAGTTAGGTAATTCATGTTGGTTTTTTGAGTTTGAGCCCTTGGGATCCATGAACAGGAAGATATGGGCAAAATAATAAGCTCAAAAAAAAAAAAGCCAAAAAAAAAAAAGGGTCCTCTTTGATTGAAGAAGGTGACCTGAAAAGTCCTATACTTTCTTTAGTTTTCACTGTTTTTGGCAAGAAAGAGACTCAGATGACAAAAAAAACCAATTATAATATTAAAATCCCAATGCACTCCCAATTGTCAAAAAGAAAAAAAAAAAAAAGAAAAACACTAAAAATTTAATCTTCCCCTCTCTACTCTCTAGAGAGGTTCACCTATTTTTCACCCCCTCTCTCTCTCTCTCTCTCTCTCTCTCTCCAAGATTATATCTGTGACTGTCTATACTTGTACCTTTGATTACCGCCTTTTTTCTGGAGTGGGGCTGTTCAGAGTTTGACTAAAAAGTTTTCAGATTGAATTGCCAATTTCACCATTTCAGACAAGCACTTCAAAGGAATTATTTATTATATTCTTATTAACACCATGGATAAATAGATCACTGATGGATAGATTCTACGTTTCCACTCTTACCATGTGTTATGCTCATTATTTCTTTTCCTCTCTCTTGCATGCCATTATTGCAACAGCAATATATGATGCCATCTCTTCCAAGGAACTTAACTGCTCACGTGGCAACCTGTGGTTTTGACACCTGGATGCCCTTTGAGTACATAGTGGGGTTGCTTCTAACCCACTCTTGGCCCATACTTGATATTATTACTATTTAGTTGAAGGAGGAATATAATTGAAGAAAAAAAAAAAAAAAAATTATTACTATTTAGTTGAAGGAGGAATATAATTGAGAAAAAAAAAAAAAAAAGAATGGGGGTCATAAAAAAAAAAAAAAAAAGAATGGGGTCATCAAATTTAAAAAAATCAATAATAAATAAATGAGAAGAAATAGTAATCTTGGTGTTGCAAGGTTTTGAATTGAATTGGAGATGGGATCTTGGTGGGTCCAATCCATTTTGAAAAGGGTTCTTAGAAAATATACCATTGTCAGCAAGTTCAATTTAGCAAATGTAGCATGCATATATAGGATTTAGATTCTCTAGGAAATGACATTCTTATTTCTTTTACTTTAAATTAAATTAAAATAACATTTCTAAAAGTTATCCTCATGTCATGATTAATGTGAGCTTTTTTGAGTTTGAATTAGAGCTATAAGTAAGAACTACTCAAATTGTTATTTGCAAGTTAATTTTTCAAACTCAATACCATGTAGGCATGCAATTATGAAAATTTTATAACTTTTATAATGTTTGATTTTGATTTTATGACCTTTGATGGATCAAAAATTGAAGATGGGTTCATAAAATAATTACTACTTTGAATTGCACAACAAGAATTAATTCTTTATGATCTTTGATTGTATACTTACTTTTACATAAAACATGTAAATGCAAATCAAAGAAATTAAGATAGGCATTATATATTGGAAATAGTGCAAAAGAAAATGTACACTTGGCAAAGCAATTAATCTCAACTTTTATAAGTGGATGGCTATTATTAACATATAAAGAAAAGGACAGCAATTCCCTTGAATTTCTCCTATGACAAAGATGCCCAATTTTCAATCCTACCTTGAAAGTGATTTGTTATGTCTTAATCTCTATTATTAATAATAATAATATATATATATATATATAATATTATATAGGAATGTAATCATAATTTTATATATATGAACCTAACAAGGAAAGTATATTATATAGGAATGTAATCATAATTTATATATATGAACCTAACAAGAAAGAAGAATGTGAATTATTGAGGTGCCTACATGTGTACCTATGATTTGTACCACCAATAATTTTCCTCCTTTCTACAAAGAAACGTAAGAGGATACCTTATGTCAAAAAAAATAAAAAATAATAATAATAATAATAAGAGGATACCTAATACAGGAAATTAACTCTCTCTCTCTCTCTATATATATATATATGTACATATACACATTTATATAATGCTATCACTCATAAAAGTGGTTAAAAATTCAATCATTTCCCCTCAAGTAACCATTTTAGTGAAACAACCAAGACATTGTATTATTGTCATTATCCCATCTATTTACATATATTAGATAAATTATGATTAATACTTATAATTATGATTAATCCTTTATAACCGTCAAATACAATTTTAGAAAAATAACATCCTAAACCTAAGCCTTATAATTATATTAATATTACCTCCGTTCCACTTTAATAGGACATTTTACCTTATTCCATTTTAAATGTTCATTTAGGATTTTAAGAGAGTATTAATTTTTTTTCTCATTTTATTCATATTTCTTATTGTTTCATAATACTTGTCACGTTTGAAAAGAGATTGAAGTTATAATTATTGGTCATATATAAAAGGTAAACATGAAAAAAAAAGAGATTTATTACTCCCTGAAACCACAAATGTGACATTTATTTTGGAATAAATTATTTTGTCAAATATGATAAGTATTATGAAACGGAGGTAGTATATGCTCCCTCTATCCTACAATATAAATTATTTTTGGGTGATTATTTTGTCCCAAAATATAAATCGCTTTGTATATTTTAAAGAGTAATAAATGATGTTTTTCCACTGTTCCTCTTATTTAGATTAGTTACAATAAATACTTTTACAATTAACTATTGGTTTTGATATAAATGATAATTTGATCAAATTTATTATAATCTAAGAAAATTAATTGTTTCCTCAATTCTTATGCAACAACCTTAAACGATTTATATTTTGGGAGAAAAAAGAGTAATATTGATGTGAAAAAAATGTGCAACTGGAATTATTTGAAAATAGAACCTAATTTAAATGCTTATAAATTGAGTTTCAACAACCATAATAATCGAGCGGAGAAAACGATTAAGTCATATTTTCAATGAATTCACTTAATTGCCTCCCATATGATACTTAAGTAGGGCAGAGCAAATAGTCAGTTAGGTTCAAATCAAACTGAACTGAAGCCACAAAATATAAATCGAAATTTCTTTATAATAAATTGAATCGGACTGAAGTTTATATATGAATCAAACCAATCGAATTGAACCAATCAATTTAGTCTATTTTTATCGATTTTTACTATTTTGGTTCGGTTCTAAGTCCAGCAGGCGAATATTTGTGTAAACAAATTGAACTGAACAACAAATTCAGTTCAAAATCGAACAAACCGACCAACCAAATCTCTGTTGGGCACCAGGTCGAACTGAACTGAAGCCACAAAATATAAATCGAAATTTCTTTACAATAAATCGAACCGAACCAAAGTTTATATATGAATCAAACCAATCGAATCGAATCAATTAGTTCGGTTCTAAATCCAACCACCCAATATTTGCGTAACCAAATTGAACCGAACAACAAATTCGGTTCAAAATCGAACAAACCGATCAACTAAATCTCTCTTAAACACCAGGCCGAACCGAACCGAAATGAGTCAGTTCTGTCGGTAATTTTGCGCGTCCTTGTATTTAAGGACACAAATTTTCAATCTATGAAGATCCAAATCACACTCCAAATATTAATACTCACTCCTTTCATTTTCATTAATTTATCGCATGAAAATTCCACATTAATTGAAGTAGTTGGTCTATATAGACATATATATTAATTTTCACATTTGCTCCAACTTGATTACCAAGTAACTTAAGGATGATAAAAAGAATGGAAAATGACTTTGATTTTGATTTTCGTTGTACAAGTTAAGAAGTCTGGTTTGATGTGGAGAAAACCAAAATGATGAGTGGGTATGTGTGTGTTAGAGATTGTTTTAGGAGTCATTTGTGCTCCCCATGATGGGGACAAGGGAAGTCCCTCTTTCAAACCTTCAATGGGAAAATAACTCTTTTCTTCCTTTTTCTTCGCCTCTCTCTTCAATTCAACACTTATTTCCCCATTACAGATAAGCTTGGATCTACCTTTGTCTTTATCTTTCATCATCCCTCTTATCTTTTCTCAACTGAATTATATTTTGCTCATATCAAGGGAATCATTACAAATAATAAAATAAATTTGATTATCTTCTTACAAAAAATTATGAATATATATATATATATATATAATATATATATATAATATATATAATATATATATATATATATATATATATATATTATTTTATATTTTAAATTAGATAAATTATTTTCATGAAGCAAACAAAATTCAGAGATTCGATCAATATTACAGCAAATTCTATTTCTTTTTACATAAATAAACGTTAGATAAAGAAAGTTGCTTCTGAGTTCTGATAATTTCTTCCATTGAATAAAGATGTAAAGATTCAGTTTGCTGATTGATAGATATTTTGTTCTCTTATAATTTCATGACGATGATCCAGTTCCATTGGTGATAAGAAATTTGGGGACGTGAAGAAACAAAAAGATTGCCACCTAAACACGATAAAGACAATTATGTTATTTTGTTTTCTATATATTTATATGTTATATATTTAATATTTTTAATTTTGTGTTTTTTTTTCTCTTTGTTGCACTTTGAGTGAGTTTATCTATTCTTTATATATTTTTTTAAATATAAATCTATTCTTTTCTTTTTTTTCATTGAGTTATCCAATAAGAATAATTCTCTCTCTTTTTATCATTAATTATCAACAAAATTATCATTAAAAATTAATGAATTATTACCTCAAAACTACTAGTGTTATCAAATGATTATTCTTCTTACATGTTCCTCCACATTTGATAAAATAATATTTAAATAAAGTCTTTTTAACATTGATAATTCTATATTAATTCATAAGACCAACCAGATTTTCTCTTTCTAACATACCAACGTGTAAAACTATATATATAGTAAAACTATATATTATTTATATATATACTATATATATAATATAAAGGCATGGAAAACTACAATATATATATATAAAAGGATGGAAAACTACATATTACAAATCCTAGAGGCGGTTCCATTAACCACTTCTCAGCTTCTGTTTATTACAGCTTCTCTACACTTTGAGGGGCTGTTCTTGGTAGCGTCATGGTAGATTCTGTTTATTACAGCCACCGCTAGCATCAACTGTTGAAGCATTTTCAGTTGCCGCTGGCTGGTATTATTTTGCTTTGAGATTGTCAACGCTTGAATTATAAATAACAGATTAGCTTTAACATAAACCAATGCCTTAGAGATTCATCTCTATTTCTTTGGTCAAATGAATCCCCCTTTTCTAGCCTCTCTCTCACATACTTTGAACATAAACTAGCTTTGTGTTGCCCTAAAAACACAAAAATGCTAATAAGTTACAGCTGATTCATCAGAAATGGCAGATAGGATATAGTTTGATTAGATGGGTTGGACCCAGACATCATTGGAGATGATGAGACAAGAAGCCACCGGACAAATGTAGTTCAAGGGATGCACAAAAAGTCACAAACTCATAATTCATTAGCTTTAGTTTCCTTTTTCTTTCCTGAAAAGGACAATATGTAGTTGGCGAAGCTTCACCGTCCACTCCAATCAAATTCAATCAAATTCGAGATTTGTCGCTCCTCGTATAAATAAAAAAATCAATTAAATCATCACATGATTAACTTTAGTTTCAATATTTAACACTTCAATTTATATAAAATTATAGCTATTAAATATTTAATTTATAATTGAATCATGGTTAATAAAGAATAAGAGTTTATCTTCTTACCAATTACACTCATTTCATTAGGTTTAGTTTTATTTATTAATAATATAAAATTAATAGTATTATTTTTTTAATACTATTTTTAAATTAGTTATCAATTTTTAAAAAATCAGTTGATTCATACATCAACGATTTAGAAAATTCTAAGTTTAAATATAGACTATTTTCAAATTAATATTCATATATTTTATATTTATATATGTCAGGGAAATGTCACTATGCTTTGTCATCCTTCCACTAGAGGATTTGATATACTTTCATATCATAATAACAAATTTCCATTGTTAATAAAATTCATAGTACATGAGCACATCACTCATAATAAATGAATAGAATAACTTATATTTTACATCAACTACACGATGGATTAAAAGCTATTATATTTATTACTTAGCTATTTTGATCTTTTTATCAATTTTACTTTAATTTTCTATCGATAACTGCAATTAAAGATGGAATTGTAAATAAAAAAAGAAATAATTTTATCCTTTTTTTTAAAAAATAGTATCTTATTATTGAATAAAAAAACAAGCTCGTACAGATGTAGAATGGATTGTGTAAAATAAAATTTTGTCTTTTTTCACTGCAATTTAGATCACAACATAAAATATGATGGTTACCACTTTAAAAGTTTTGAGTGAAATCTCTATAAAAAAGTTACTAATTCATAAAAAGCTTCAATATACCCAAAAAATAAAAATCAATCTTCTGTCTTTGTCTTTTATGATAAAATAGTGGAGTTACTGTAGAGATTAGAAGGAAAGAGAAGAAAATGGTGAAGAAACCCAAAAAAGGGGTAAAGGGTCTCCACTCTCCACTCTCCACTCACCACATTAAATAGCAGAGAAGAGCCACACCCACCAATTGCTTAGCTAGCTCCGATAAAGCCAGAATCTATAACTGAATGCCTCTTTTGATAAGATATGGACCTCACCATTATTATCCTTATGTCACATCTATAGCTATGACATATCCCTTTCTATATTATATGTACTTCAAATTTTAATTTTAATTTTAAGTAGATTAAATGAAAGAAAAAAAATTAATAAATACCAATTACATTGTACTTATCACATTTGAAATTTTACGTTTCTTAATAAAATCATTAAATTTATCTAAATTACAATAAATTATTGAATTAATTGACTATATTACTCTTAATTTAATATTAATTTTCTAAGAAAATCATTAAATTAAAGTAATAATTATTGGCATATATAAAGGACAAATATGAAAAAAAACATTTATTACTCCTCGAAATCATAAACGTGACAAGTATTTTAGAACAAATTATTTTCTCAAATATGATAAGAAGTAACATATGAATAGAGAAATTGGTGCAAGGTTTAGAATCATTAACTAATCAAAATTTTGATTAATAAATTTAATATTGGAGTAATTAAATGTCACAATCTATGCCAAAAAAAGAAAAAAAAAATATTACTGGAATGGGGCGGTTGTGGTGTTTGAGTTTGAGGGAATTATATATATTTCGTTTTCCAATAGAGAATCTAATTTTGCTAGCTTTAAATTTTTGGATTTTCAGTTACTTGAAGACACAGATGTGTCGTCCTTTTCTTCTTTCTTCTTGCCACATTGTTATTCTAAATTGAAAAGTCAAAAAAACCCTAATTTATGCATTTTCATCCCTCAATTGATTTCTTTTTGCCCATTTACTTGTACAAATGAAGGGTAAAAAAAAAAAAAAAAAAAAAAAAACCCTAATTTTATGGCATTTTCATCCCTCAATTGATTTCTTGCCCATTTACTTGTACAAATGAAGGGTTTTAAAAAAAAAAAAAAAAAAAAAAAGTAAATCAGCTATTTGACTGTGTGAAAATATCATATATAACACAGAAGATTCATGTAGGATTTCATTTTTGGTAAAAAAAAAAAAAAAAAAAAAGTAAATCAGTATTTGCTGAAATTTCATAAATATAACACAGAAGATTCATGTAGGAATTTCATTTTTGGTCAGGCAATAATGATGATTAAACAGAAATTGGTAATCCCTACGCTACTCATATTCTTTTATTTAGGATAAATATAAACATGGTATATCAATACAATGTATGGGTAAAAAGAGAGCAATAAAATAAAATAAAAAATTCAGAGTCAATATTATGAGCACTTCTGTAATCCAGATTTCACTGTTCTAATTGAATATCAGTCTTATAATAAAATACAAAGGGCGAACTGTTCAAATTTTAAGAATTAGAATAGAAAAGTATGTTAAATAATGATGTTTCAAGATGAAGCATTGAGCATTCAAGCAAGCAACCTAAATGTTCAAAAGTGCTTAGAAAAAGCAGTTAGTGGTTAGTGTTGTCTCAATTCTCTTAGACGTGTCTTAATCATTTAAAGCAAGTGGTTCAATCACTTTCAAGAATTGGTTATGGTCATTTCCTTCTGCGTTTGCATATTATGAAGAGAGAAACAGAGTCCACAAAATGAGCACAAACAAACATTTGCTATTCAGTTGCCCAGAAAGGTTCTGACAGGTCCACCATAAAAAATAGAGCTGCATCTTTGGACATCCATTAAAAAATTGTAAAACCTTATAAGAATAAAGGTCAATTTGGTCCTTAAAGGTATTTAGAAAGATTGAAAAAATTCAAGTTGTTCTCGGCCATTAGAACATGGAAAAACTAAATTATTCATAAACTTGTACACCATCCATTAAGATATTGTAAAACCTTACATTATTTACATTTCTTTTTCTTCTATTTCTTTTATCAGTTCGTCAAATCCATGGATGACACATCTGAATAATCAACCAACACATATACAGAATAAAATGAAAAAACATATTTTACAATACAGCTAGAGCTAGCAGTTACCTTGCTGACGAAGGTCCAAAATACATGCAAATGGGAGGATTGATCCTGAAAATAGACAGTATTGCTGATGGTATCGTCCAGATCCCATCCCCGCATATTAAACCCGATGCAACCGCCCCTGCATAATCTTCTGCATCCTTTCTATTTATTCTCTCCCAAATGTACAATATCACTGTCCCAATAAACATATCAACTGCAAAATAAGCTCCAATATAAAATGGGATCGCTAGGGCCATTGGAATAGGAATAAATTGTGAGATCTTCTTAGGAGTCACATCCTTTAGAAGATTTATGACCAAAGCGGCTACAAAAAACCCACAACACATGGCCAGGCAATGTTTGGGCAGCTCAGAGAACCCCTGGACACCCAATATGGCCATCTCCCGGAATATCACAGCGTATGGCGCTTTGTACGGACCGTCAGGTGCTCCGATATCAAAGGCAGTCCAAAACAGCCAAAATGTCAATGGGGCTATAACACAACCCATGGCCGTGCCTATCAACTGGCTCACAAACATAGACTTGGCAGATGATAGTGTGAGGTACCCAGTCTTGAAATCCTGCATCAGATCAGCTGCAGTGGAGACAATTGACATCATCACCCCACAAGCTGCCAATCCAGCTACAACCCCGCCATTATTTCCAACTGCGGAAGCAAAGATGAAAAGACCAATCTTTCCATAAGTTGATGCCAAGCTCCAGTCTGTTAGCCCGGTTCCATAGGAGTTGCAAAAGGCAAGTGCAGGAGCAATAATGTACGAACTGAGAACCAAATACCACTTGAGGGGTGGAAAAATGATTGGAATTGTTGCTGTTGATATTGCAGCCAGTCCCACATACCCAGAAACTGCGAACCAAGAGGGTATCCTGTCTTTCATAAATATTTCATCTCGTTTTCTCTCTTCCAACTGCAATTTGGAAGGCTCGCCATCTCCTGAGGGACCATAAGGAATCATTAATCTAAAGAAAAAGCAGTGCCACTCCATTGAAGCAAGAAACAGGAATAATTGCACAAGCCTCCCACAATTCTCATTAAGTAAATGTTGAACAGGTATTTAGCAAACATGTTGATGCTTATTAATAGAATGAATCAGTTGAATTAACAACATCCCAACATTAAGTGAAAGTCAGTTTCTTGAGATTAACAACCACCTAATTTGTTCCAATAGACAATCCCTTATTTGAAGGCATGAAATATAATCATAGTTACTTCTAGTTGTTTGAACATTCAAACTAATAACCTCCAAATTGCCTGTGTTATAAAACAAGATTGACATTTCAAATTAAGCATGATACTTGAAGAATGTTATGATGATACAAAGTTTCACTTAATTATCTGTTTTTTTCCAAAAGTTTCAAATACCTTTGGATTACTGTTAATGCTAAAGATAATTGTAGAACTGCAATTGATTGGCTAATGCTAAATTAACAGTTTCAAATATGCATAAGATATATAACTGCCTAATTATGCACAAGGTATGTGTCCATTTTTCCAACAGTTCTGAATAGCAGTTGAAAAATATGTATAAGATATATAATGCCTAAGAGATGTGAAACAAGTGCAGAAAACAAGATCATGCCGTCAATTCATACAAATACAAAACAGATCTCACCTTGCACCTCCCTGACAGTAGGAAGGTGAACCTCTTTGGTGCTTTTATTGCACATTTCCCTAATAGTTATGGCAATTATCTTGATTAAATTATAAAGGCCATCCCCAAGTACAAGGGCAATGGATATAAAGACCTGCAAAAAAAACCAATGGTTGAGGGAAAAATTTCAGAACACAAATAATGAAAGATAATTTCACCAAGGTGTAAAAACGCATTACAAAAGTAGCTGAAATGCACTAGAATAAACTATTTCATTCTGATGCCAACAAAGAACCACATTTCAAGAATGGGGAGGATAAGGACAATAATTGATGAGAATTGGAAATCTATAATATTTTAAGAAGTTTGCCAATTTTGAAGGGTGAAACCAAAATTCCATAAACTTTGGTGGGTTTGTATGCAGCTCAAGCTGCTCCAGCACTGTTAATATTTTTTATAATATAGTGTATTCTGTGTCTGCACATCCAGTTCAGAAATGCAGACCAATTAAAGTAACTGTATGCTATGGAGACATATATGAAGCATGAGGAATCAAAATCTACAGTTAGATATTGCCATAAAATACTGACATTGCACCATACCTTGTATCCATAGAGACCCTTAAAATCATTACTGCCCAGGTCAGCTGGATACCAGTCCCCAGCATGTTGGGAGATGAATGGCCACAGGAAACCCCATGAGATGATAGCACCAAGAAGAACTGAGACGTTGACTATATGAGGGCAAATTAGACCACATCCAACATATGTTGGGCTGAAATCAAAATAAAACCTGCAAGAAGAGTGGAATCATGTAAACTAATAAGTTCATGAAGTATCAGCATTTACATTAACAATCCAGAATGCCACATATGCCTTATTACAGAGATCCTCAAAGAAACAAATCAGGCAAAAAAACAAACTTAAAACTGTAAGATAAACCTACAATCAAGTAATCACAAATGTAAACTAATGAAGTCTCATTCATTCCAAAATTATGTTTCTCTAGTACCACGAAAAAAGCATGAATCAAACAGCAGCTTAGAAACAGAATTCTCAGTTCCCTGATTTAGAAACTAAACATTTAGAGGCTTACGTGTTTTTGAATAATGTCAAACCAAAACTGGGAAAATTATCAAATCCACATGAATCTCCGATACCGCTGAAGAACCACTTAAAGCAGCTCCAAGCTAAACTAATGCTTAAGTACTTTCCGAGACAAGTGACTTGTTTCCTGTAAAAAGTTGACAAAAAGATGATAATTAGAAAAAAAAAAAAAAAAAAAAATTGTTTCCTGTAAAAAAGTTGCACAAAAAGATTGATTAATTAGAAAAAAAAAAAAAAAAAAAAAAAAAAAAAAAAAAATCATAAAAAAAAAAAAAAAAAAAAAAATCTTCCTTCCTGTCAATCTGAGATGCCCAAATTGTTCTGACTGTCAACTACTAAACAACAGATTGCAGTAAATAAAAAAGTTTCACTTTTTTACAAGTCCTGTCGACTGTGTGTCAACATTCCTCGCTCACATATATTCCTTCCAGTACCATTCTCCAGTAATTTAAAAAATACGAGGAACTATATAATAAGGATGAAATGGTGAATACAGCCAGTACAGCACTCACCCTGCAAGCTCAGCTCCAGTGTTTGTGTGGAAGCTATTTATCAACATTGCCGTGGCTGTTCCACTAGGATATGTAAGCTTATAATCCATGACCATAACCTATCATTTCATTCACATTTACAACAATAAATAATATTAGCATGTGTACTACAAAGCAAAATACTTAAAAACCATAAATCTAATTGCACAAAAATTACCTTGCGAAGAGGAACAAGACTAAAAAGCCCAAAAAAACTGACAACAAACAAAAACCCTATCATCCACGCTAATCCAGGGTTCTTAACATCCTGTGCCCTGTTACCAGGGTAATCAGCTCCAATCAATTTATAAGTTTTCTCATCCATTGCAAGCAAATAAGACCCAAATCCTCCTGTCATTGAGAATTCCAAGAAAATCACAATAAAAAACTTCGCAAGCTTTACTACTAAAACAAACAATGCCGGAAATTTACCGCTAAAGGCGAGGCCATAGCAAGCGACGACGCAGGTCTGGATAACAGTATTCTCCTGTTTGGTGAACGGAGCAACATTAAGCCCCAACCTGGATAAGGAACCAACCCAGGACTGGATGAAGAAGAAGCCGAGCAAACCAGCAGCGACGTTCAACGATGGGATGATACCAACGGTGAGATTGAGCTTGTGAGTTATGATGCAGAAGAGAGTACCCAACAAGGCGCTGACTAATAGCCCTCTGATCGTGATCTGATCCTTCCATTCTGGGACCCTCTCAGAACCGACGGCCTCAATTTGCTTGGACTCGAGATGCAACAACGGCTCCGATATCTCCGTCCCCATCGTGCAAGAATTTTGGGTTAGTCAAAGATACTTGAGGAGGATAAAGGGAATTTGGATCTGTGATTCCGGTTTGGAAGGTGTAATTAAGACAGAAGGAAAGTGTAGAAAGTTGGTTGGAAAAGCAAGCGAAAGGCAATTGGTTGCTTCGTTGGTTCAATAATAATACGCCACGTGGTTTTGGTTAATGGTCTGGGTTTAGCGGTAACTGTTATGGGACATGAACGGAGAGTTTGTTACTTTGTTGGGTTGTCTGAAACTCTGAATCCTGGACGTGGGCGGCCATTAATGATGCGATGACAATGATCGTAACCAGTTTGAACAGAACTTATCTCTTATAGAATAATTAAATTTAATTAATAATATATACTCTATCTCATTTTATTTACTTATTATTTTTTTTAAATATTTCAAAATATTTATAAAATTTTTAAATTTAGACATATAAATAATTATTTTTTCATAATAATTTTTATAATTATTCATTAAATGAAGGGCTTTTAGTATCTTAATGAGTTATCAAAGGTGAAGAAGAGCAAAATAATTTTTGTTAACTAAATCCATAATATGCGTGTTTTCTCAAACCATATAAATAAGATAGAAATGTGAAAGAACTTTTTTAATTATACTGTAACGATTTTAAATAATTTATTGTGAATACAGCACTTTAAAGACTTTTACAAAGTAAATTAAGCAATTAATTTTTTGAATTACTATTTTTGTTGCATAATACTTGTCACATTTGATATTTTACATCCCTTAAAAAAATATTAAATTTGTCTAAATTACTATAAATTATTAAATAAATTGACTACATACCCTTAATTTAATACTAATTTTTCAAGAAAACTATTAAATTGAAGTAATAATGATTGGCCATATACAAAGACTAAATATAGAAATAAAAATTATTACTCTTTGAAACCACAAATGTGACAAGTATTATGAAACAAACTATTTTTCAAATGTGACAAATATTATAGAAATGAAGTAATATAAATATTAATATCCGCTTAAAATAATTATTTGAATAAAATTACCTCTTATTTCATAAAACTATTAAATAATCTTTTAAATTTTCAAACAATTATATAGAGATATCTAAAGAATATTACAATTAAATTATTACGACTGCATAAATTTTCACGAAACCATAAATATTAAATAATTATAAATAACCAAGTGCATGCAAAAACAATTCCTATTTTATTTTTATTTTATTCAAATAAGCCATCAATAAATTTATTTTGTATTCCAATTAAATATTGTTTTATAGGTACTTTTATTAACGTAAGCAACGAGTGTGATTGAATTTAAATCCTCTTGATTACAAGTGTCTAAGGAGAATTAAATCTTAATCCATCCTATTATTTTAGCCAATTGAGTCTCCCAATAAATTAAATAAAATAAACTTCCTTTAACAAATATATTGGTTAATTAGCGTGCTTTGCTTAATTAAGTAAAATACTTATATTATTTTAAATTTCATTAATATATATTTCATTTCTCCAGAAATATAAATTATTTTATGATATTTATTTTATTTACAAAAATAAATTGTTAGAGAATAACAATAAATAATTAATAATATTTTTTCATTATCTCTTATTTAAATTAAAAGCAATTATTATTTTCATAATATTTTAAAGGATAATTTCATCAAATTAATAAATATTTTATTATATTTTAAGAGAATTAATTATAACAGTCTTACTCTTCCGTTACTAAGTATTCGTTACACTTGAGAAGATATTATACTTCTACCTACTTATCACATTTGTAGATTTAATAAATAATAATTTTTTTTTCATTTTACCTTTTATATAATATTGACTTAAATAATAAATTAAGAATAATATAATCACTTCACTTAATAATTTATTAAAATTTAGACAAATTAGATGATGATTTTTTTTAAGAACACGAAATATCCAAACGTGAGACAAAGTATATTTGTTGTCGAAGCGAGTAATAGTAACTAATTGCGCCGATCGTATTCATTGACAACCGCCGATCAATTTATAATTCATTAATTGCAGCTAATGAAGCAATGTTTAAACTAGTTTGCTTATAAATTTAATTTGTAGTTTATAATTTTATAATATGAATAATATTATTATATTGTATTTTATTACCAAAAAAATATTATATTATATTTGTGAAAATTTTATCTTATCTTACACTTAACACTTTATTCCATATATATATATAATATTATATAAATGTGTCCTATTATAGTAAAATATTAAATAAAAAATATCGAATGAATTTTCTTTCTCAATAACATATTATATTTTTCATTATTCATTAAAATAATAATAAAAAAAAACCATATGTAAAAATATTAATATAAATTATGCAGTTCTTAAATACAAGTAACAATATGCAGTTCTTAAATGTTTGAGCAATGGGTGACTTGCGCACCGCTATTCCCATCAATTTTTCCACACAGGGATATCAATGGGCCACATTGAATCAGATAAAGACTATTCAAAATTAGTCGAGTCCAAACCAAGTTGGGCTCATTTTTCCGAAATATAACATGGGCTCATAGCCCGTGTAGAATTTCAATACATAGGATTGCTCAACCCAGTAATGCTGAAATGACTAGTGAAGACGCAAATTTAAACTTCAGCTGTAGCCTAATTAATTAAAAAAAAAAAAAAAAGGATTATTAAGCATTTAAAATTAACGCCTTTTATTTAGCTATAGGACGTTTCATATGACTATTTTGGCATACTAAATATTTTCTATAAGAACAGTAATGAATTAAACATACCGTTATAGCAGAACTAATAACTCACAGAACATTCAGCATTCTCAGCAAATTGGCAGATTTCAAATGTTATAGATAACACTACAGGTCAACAATGAAAAGCAAGCAATCCCCAGTTATGCGGAAAGAGGTCCGAACGGAAAACCAGTTTTGCTTCAGGCACAATTATTATTGATTCATACAAAATATAAATAAAGAAGAAATTCAAAGAAACTTCCTGTACGGCCTGCCTGCATCTTCATCTTGCATATTCTGTTAGTGCAGATAACCAAAATGTTAACATACTCAACAAGTTGAAATAGAAACAAAACATACAAGGAACTCAAAATCACTTCCAACATTGAGATCATCCAAATTACTAAATGAATGGTAACATAGAACAATAGCCTAATGCATAAAAAATTGCTCCTGAACTTTTGGGAGACCCATCATATGCCCTTGAAGTTGTAATTTTTGTTATAAAAAAGTACCTTTAGGAGCATGATCAGTCCTAAAAATTGTTACTAAAAATATCACCTATCAACCACAAGATGCAAGTTATGTTGTACCGAAACGGAAACGTGGAAGCGCAGAAACGTGGGAACAGACACGAAAGAACAGCATTTTAAAATATATAGGAAACGGAAATGTGGGAGAAACACATAAATATGACAAAACATAGGGTTATATTTATAAATATAAAAAATAAATTATCATAAGCCATTAAATATATTCAACGATAAGTCAAGTCCAAATCAACATTTAAGCATATCCAAAATAAAAAAGATCATCTACAAATTCCATACTCATATTAAAAAATTACATATTTTGTGAATTTGTATTTATTTATTGTATTTATATTAATTGGAGAAACGAGTTTCTGAGATTTTTCAATTTATTGAAACGTATTTCTAAAAGAAGAAATGTGTTGCCAAATTACCAAATTTACAGAAATGACCCTGAAACGTTCTCGAGGAGTTTCTAGACGTTTCCATGCAGTAAACATTTTTCAAAATGCAGAAATGGTAGCCGAAGAGAGTTTCTGTGCAACATAAAATGCAAGGCTGTTTCTAAAAATTGCAACTTCAAGAACATGGTAGGTCTATAAAAAACCTTAAGGGTGCCACCGGAATAAACCCTAAACTTCATGGGCAATTTTATGCATTTGGCCCTAAAATAATTGAATTAACAACTTGAGTCTGCATAACTTTACAGCTAAATAAAAGAAACCTAAAGCGATGCACTTCCTAATATTATATACAATTAACAACCAACAAGTAATCATATGGCTGTAAAATTTGTGGAGAACGTGCTCCTGGAATTTAGGACGTTAATGCAGTTAAAGATGTTAAATACTAGCAATTGCAAGCTTAGCCTAGTATAACTCATCTCTTATGGAATGGACCTTAGTTTGAGTCCTTCTCCCTAATGATTAAATAAAAAGGGGTGTCAAATTCAATGTTGACACCAACCTTTCAAGAGGCCATATGTCTTATAGTCCCAGAAAAATTCCAGTAAAGCCAATGTCAAAGTTTGCCAACTTAGAAATTACAATTTTAATAACCAGCTTTGGAAAACCAAAAATCTGCCAATATACTAGACTTCCAATTTCTATATTTGTTGGAAATAAGCAAAAAGTAAAAGTCAAATTTCTAACTTTATACTGGCATCATATTACCGTTCAAGAATGAGGCTTTTGTTTAATTTTCATAGTCAAAGTAAAAGTAAAAAGAAAAAAAAAAGGCACAAAAAAGAAATAATCTCTGCATGAAAGATTACACTGAATACTTAAATATACAAGCAATTCTCTTTTTTTCCTATAGAAGAATGAATGTTATTCTGCAAAACTTGCAGAAGTCTTTAGCTCTCTTTTAGGAAGTTTGGGGTCAAGAAGAACCATAGATGTAATACTACACAATTGTGAGTATGAAGTATGAACCTAGGAATATCATATTTTCCCTTAAATTTTTCAAGTGTTTCATGAAAATCAAATCAGGCCTCTGTTACTGAAACCCGTTATCAAGCTTAACTTCATACATCAGAAGGTTAAATAAAGAACATAAGGAACAAGGGACCTAACATTTTCTCAAAAGGAGTCTAAACTAATGTAAGATGTCTTGTGTCATGTCAAGATTTTGTAGTCAAGACTCACGAGTCCTAAGAGAAGTAAGCAAAGTTCTTGAATCTTAATTTAATCCACCAATTAAGTACGCAGTTCACATCAAAAGTGTATCTAACCCTCTGATCTCCGTTATTATCTCCAAATCCAATCATTATGTATACTGGAAGTCTGGAGCCAATAATCACCACTCCTACTCCTCTCCAATCGTTTATATGTACATAAACTGATTCATTTCCTCCCTCCAATCATTAAGTATACTTCTGATAAGTTCATTTTTTTTTGCCAAAGAAAAGCATAGAAACATTTGAGAATGAATATGAGAACAAGCCATCAAACGCATGCCTATTTCATTATAAATTGATAGTACTTATATCCAATTCCTCTCTTCTTATCTCTAAAATGAACCACACTTAACACATACCATGAACAGAGTCATACAGCAGATATTAAGCACAACACCACCCGTAAGATAGGGTTACAGTTCCACAAACTAATTTAAGAAAAATGGAATTAAAATGGGATCTGATTCCCAATTAACCAAAAAGGTTCAAATAGATCGAAATAAATTAGCAACACTGAGAAGATCAAACAAAATCGATATGGTAAGGTATGTAGATGTGAAGGGAGAGAGACAGAGAAAGAGGAATTTACAAATTCTTTGACGATGCCCCTGTAGACGAAGATGGGAAGAGCTATGCCGAATAAACCGATGAGGGCAAAGTTGCGGCGAGTCCAGCGGAAGTTATGCTCCAGATTCTCCCGAGCAGCACCCCAATCCTCTATGAATTTATTCTTGTTTGTTTCCATTCCTCCTCCCATTTTGTCTCGTCTTCTCTTCTCGTTGCTCTCGTCTGTGTTGCTTTCTTTGTTAGTCTCTTCGATTCTTAATTTTGATGGTACTGGTTTGGTTAAGCTGGGTATGAAATATGCCGGCTGTTTGGTTACAATGACTACCATGTTCCTTAATGTATAACTTGAATCCTGAATTCTTGGGCTGATTTTAAGAACTGAATCGGGCCGGTAATGGACCTATGAATTGGTCTAGTATAGGCATTTCCCAAAGGGTTGCACCAACACACAATAATGAGACGCTGGTCGCTGAGCTCAAAGCCTAGACGAATTATCGAATAGCACTCGGGACTTGATTCAATTTTGTGGAATGTCGATTTTTCTTTTTTTTTTTTTTTAAGAAACAAAACGTCTAATTGTTATATTTAAAATTGACATGTTTTTTGTTTTAGGATATAAGTCTAAAAACATATTTATTGACAATTCTCTCAACTTCTTCTAAATGGTTTGGGATATCACATGTAATTATAAAATATGTACTTTAATAAAATTTATTATTTTATGCATCCTTTTTCACCTTTTAGAAGCTTATCAGTTTCTTCACCAAATACATACCCCTCCATTCCTAAAGGCTTATACATTTCACGTCATTTAAGAAAATCATTAAATTTGTTTAAATTACAATAAATTTTTTAGATATTGAAGTAATAATTATTGATCATATACTAAAGATAAAATATGAAAAAAAAACTTATTATTCGGTAAAACTACAAATGTGACAAGTATTTTGTAATATCGTACTTTAGCAATGTAACAAGTATTTAAGAATGAAGATAATATTTATTTTGATGGTATTTATCGCTGCTGCTACTTTTTTTTTTTTTTTTTAAATATGTTTTTCAAAACTAAATATAAATTATGATTATAAAAATCAAAAACGTAATTTTTTTTTTCCGAAGTAATTGAGCTGCAAAATTCATCAATATTTTAATAGAAGAAGAAGCTAGAATTAAAACTTGCACACGTACACCTGCATGTTCACTTCATAATGGAATATCCACAGACCTTTATTAGGTGCCCCATGGCCTATGAATATGAATCAATTGCAAATAGGAAATTTAGAATTCATGTGCCAATAAGAAATGAAAAAAACCATACTGATTTCACAAATATGCACGTGGGATTCACATGGTCGCTATCTAATCATGTGCGTAATTTCTCGTGACTCACCACTAACCCCACAAAATGACTGGTTAGTGTTTGTTTTGGTAGGATGAATTGGCATGGAAAAGAGTAGAATTTTCGGGGGAAAACATTTGTTGTATAGTATTTGGTTAGATTGCTAAAAAGAGGATCCTTCAACATGCACCTAATCCTGTCTTTTGATAGATTTGGGTAAGATTGTCTCAACTCTCGACTATAGTGTATTTGCTTTTAGGGTGTTACAAACAAATATGGGACAGCCTCACCTGGCACATTTGATTGGCTGGCTGGTGGTGCTAATTTTGCTAATTAGTTAATTATACTTAATTATTATCATCTTTTATGGATATAATTGATGAATTTTCAAGACATGCACTTATGGGATTGAGCTTAACATTACCTAAATTATTGTTTTTCTATAAAAAGAAAAACAATTTGAACTCTAATCACTAGTTAAAAGTAAAACCGTGCAGTGAGCTACCAATAAGATATTACTTGAAGTGGTTAACGGTCTCAATTTCCTTAAGGATGAGACACAAGTTCGATCCCTGAAAATTTTGCTAAGAGAGCCAAAAATTTTTACGCTCTACAGCTCGGAAAAGCCAAAAACCTTTATACATCACGGCTCGAGGGAATTAAACCTGCTGAAAAGATATACCCCTTATTATTTATGTGAGGTAAGCATAAATCCTAGCTTCGCCCTGACCCTGTTACCGAATCTGTCAAAACGAAATGATATCATTTTCACATTACTAGGAAAGCTAAACCTTTACCAATTTGAACTGATAATTATTTCCTCGTTGTTGTATAATCCAATAATTAGTATTGGAAATAGTAAACACATCGCATGTTCATCCATTATGTAAATGACTTTCTTTGCAATTTTAATAATTCCACAGCAATTTGACGTAATGTACTCATTTTTAACAGAAATGAAGCTGTTTCAGTTCACGGGAAACGATATTACATGTAACCAAAATTTGAGAGGCATACAAACTCAAGAGGCAAAGCACGAACAGTACCAAACGTGTTACTATCATCATCATATCATGTGTCGCCATCGACATCACTGAAACTGTTATACACAGTATTACTATAACCAATTTTTCGTGTTAACTGAACCTCCTCTTTGTCAATGTCGGATCCAGTTGGACTAAGATTATCCATACTTGAAAACCCTCGTGGCGTTTGTCAACAGAGTTTCAACAGTTCTGTCTACATGGCTTCTTGTGCACTAGATGTTTGTGGGCTAAACTATAACATATCGCACCCAGCAACATTATTCAAGTGGTCTCTTCAATAATATATAAAAAAGAAAAAGCAACCAAGAAATTTCAGAAGTTGAACTCACGTCATTAATGATATCTAAATCATGCCTGCATCAAATTTGCCCTTCCAAGACAAATCACAGCTCAATGCAGAAACTCAATTTTCGGAATATAAAGCATTCTTCAAATAGAGAGGGAGAAAAAGGAAATCGGGATGAAACATGTCGCTCCTGTTATATTATAGTTCCTTATAGAAACTGGACATCTATTACTACTTGGTCCCAAAATCCTGCAAGGAAGCAAAAAAGAACACATAAACCATAGCATAACTAGTTGAAAAAGAATTACAGATTAGTAAATCAAAATAATCATAGCTCCAATGATATGAAATTCTCAGTGGATGGCCATTTAACCAAAGTACAAACAAGAACCTGAATTCCACAGGGCGAAAAGTGGTAACGAGTGGGGACAATTGGTTATTGACGATAGCAATGCTAATAATAATAATAATAACAGCATATCACAACATAACAAGCTGGCAATCAGTGATAAGTACACACAATGACCCACTCTCAATTTTATACACTAAAGCAAAGATCTTTAATGCAGCAAGCACAGTAGTGCTGGTGTACGATATCGGAACCATTCAGTTAGAAGTATCTTAACAGAAGCATTTGCTACAGAGCTAAGAGATTTTATCACTTTACCACTTTTGACCCATAATATTGTAATGTAATCACTCTTGTCCCACACTTTTCTTTTGGTCCTACTAGAAATTGTGTCCTTGATGTCACTAATTACCTTGTACAATAGACATGATATTTAAAAAAAATTATTCAGAAAGTAATCTTTACGGAGATTTGATTACGTTAACATGTCCATGCTCGCTTATGGTATATACCTCCATTAGCAAAGGAATATGTTTATCTGCATGTAGATTCAGGTAGTACTTAATCTATGGACAACATGATAAATGCATCCGTGACAACAAGTTGATGTGGTTGCTCCATGGGTAATGTGCATGCACTTATGAAACCATACAAACGCCTCAAGCATACATGGCAAGTGTAACACCCCCCCACCCCTTCTGGGGGTTTCCCAACTACTCCCCAAGTCCTGTACTTGATTTGATTTTGACAAAGAACAGCCAACCAAAGGCTTGTTTATATCTCAATGTTTCTCTCTACCCACAACCAAACCAGACCCTTCTAGCACCCACTGATTCCAACTTACTGAATCATCGTGATGATAAGATGCTTGTTCTTTTGCTTTCAGTTGATCCTAATATCTTCTTTTTAAGTCCTGTTTACGTAGCGTATCTAAATCTATCTCAATATAGCCCTTATGACAACAAAGGCAATCTCAAACCAAGTCCTTTAGAGACAGATCAATATGACTGTAAGTCCATACTCTTACCAAATTTAGAATAGCAGATATTAATTATCATTCAACTTCATATTTGCATTTCATTTTTGCAGTTATTAGGTTGGATGCACAATAAGCTACGGCATACCAGCATTGAGCCGTTCAAAGATTTTACAATAGGTATTCCAACTTTCTTCATTCTTCTTCTTTTCTTTTATATATAAATACATAGATACCCACACATATGGACAGTTCTCTGTATGATCACATGAAGAGGTCAACCAGACAACAGTAAAAAACAGAGGCCTTTACCACCAGATACTGAAAGTCTCAGACAGACCATCATCCATGGAAGAAACATCTCTACTTTAGAAACTTTCAAAAGACAGAGTGAGACCACTGACCACCTGTAGTCACAACCAGCTGAACTATGTCCAAAATAAGCTAATTTTTCAAAAAGATTAACTAGGCATAAATACTGTCAATCGTCTCATTTTTCCAAAATTTTGCAACGAGAGATAAAATAAACGAGAGAAAATAGCTCAGTGTAAGTGTTGCCACCTAACCTGTTTCAGAGTTTCCAGCGCTAGTTGAATCTTGAGACAACACACCCTTAATATTACAGTGCAACTTGACCTCTCTCTACAGTGAGACAGTCAGAAATTGGTAGATTAGAACATATATAGCATCCACCTTGCAATTCAAATAATGTGTTGTGTGCAGTATTACCACGTTGTTGAATAAATAAATGATCCTCTAACCTACTTTGTTGCTCTTGTGATGGTTGCTTAGCCGCTAGAGTGGTAAGCATTTCCATTTAAGTGCCAAAATCAGTCATGGCGAATGTTATCTTTCTCTGCTTAAACTCTCCAATTTCTTCCCATGTCCTAATTTTTCTCAATACTCTCGTCTCCAGAGAACTATTGTGCTTGCCTTTCAGCAAAGTCACTCCCTGACGACAAAGTTTCCCCAAAAAGGCCAAGGTTTGGCTCCAGATATGAGAAATGTGAAAATACCTCATACAAAGCTGAAGCCACGAGAGCAGATGAGAATAATGATGAAACATCTATTCCTATGTCTGAGCTTTATCATGGTTTTCTCGCAATTGGAACTCTCGGTTCAAAACCAGTTAACAGTGAGTCGGCACCAGCAACATTTCACATGTCTTTAGAGAATATTGCAGATGAAAAAACAGAGGTGACACAGAATGACTTGAAGCTCATAAACGATGAACTAGAAAAGTTTCTTGATGCTGAAGCTGAAGAAGAAGGTTGCAATGAATCATTGGCAAGGAGCAGTTATGTTAGCACCATTACACTCAATGGCATGCAAATGGAAGGAACAGATACTGATGGTAATGAAAAGACTGCAATATGTCCACTTCAAGGTTATCTATTTCGATCATCAATAGAACTGCCCGAAACAAGAGTTGAACTAAAGAAAGAAAAAACATCTCTAGGGGAGATGTTTCGTAAGACAAAGATTACTGATGAAATTTCTGCAGAAACTGAAGGGAAAGGCAAGACGCACACCAGGGAAGCACATAAATCTGCTAAACACCTCATCAAAAAGATCCTACGAAAGTTTCATGCTTCAAGAAATCCTGTCCCTCCTTCCAGTGAGGGAGCTTCCAATTCTGTTCCAACAAAGAAAAAGCTTAATAAGGTGTGTCTACCAGCTCTAAATTTCCTAAGATAAGGAAAGAGATCCTATGATTCTATCCATAAACCTCTGATATTATTGCTACACCCTTATAATCTATGGTCAAATATGGTGAAAGCTAATTTGTTTCTTGAATCATGCTATCAGAATTTCTGGACAATTGGTTGTCAAGTTAAATAATGGGATGGAGCAGATTTTTAAATCTATTGTGACTCAACCAGAGGGATCTTGACAAGAGAAAGCCATCGATGGCTGAACACAAAATAGGCTTCGGGGGAAACATAATCCTGTCTAGATCTTAGAACTACAAACTACTCATTTCATTAGTGCCTTTCGAATAACCAATTTAGACCATCTGAGTAACCTGTATTCATAACCAAAGAGTATACTTTCCAATAGAAAATTCTCCACAGGACAACAAATCCACATCAAAATAAAAACACATCGCTCAGGAACAATTATCTGGAACATTCTATAGTAGGAACCTTGCTGCCCAAAATAAATTAAATCATATTTCCTACTAGATTTCTTATTTATTTTCATCTTTGGCATGCAGGTACTTAGAATGTTACATAGAAAAGTCCATCCTGAAAACCCTACAGCCGAAAAAGAGTTCACTACGTCCCGTAAAGAGAAGATTAAGATGGATCTGCATCATAAAGCAGACCTTGTGCACCAGGATGAAGACAACAGAAAATTTCTTCCAGGATTCAAGTCGGTGGAAGGGATAAAATGGTACAAGAACAACTTGAAACTTTCCCAATATGCACTGGGTGGATGCAACTCATCTGGAAACAGGGAACACTGGATCAAAACAGATGCAGACTGTAAGTGCTGAATCTTGACCTTTTGAATAACATAGAAATTTATTTTAATTTTAATTTAATTATGGATTTCTTAGTAAGGTACCTTGTCAATAATTTGTTACAATAAGGAAAGATGAATAATTCTTATCTAAAAAAAAAACAAAAAAAGGAAAAATGCATAAAAATTATATATATATATTTGTAAGTTCATATGTCCATAGATAAGATTCAGAAACATAAATGATTAATGGCACCTTAAGTCAATGTAATTGTAAGGAACTTCGAATAAAGCACAAGACTTAGAAATAATGTTGTGATGGATGCTAAATGCCATGACTAGTTAATTATAATACAAGAGATTCTATTAAAAGCATGGAATATTAAAATTACAAAACAGCAAAATTGAGCTTGCAAAAATTATTCACCCAACAGCTAATATCCATGTGTTTATTGCAACATCCAAGTACAACAACATTTTTGAAAAATACAAGGGACTGTACAATGTCAACCAGTATGACAAACAGATTTGCCGCAGCCATCAATGCATAATAACGCTAACATAACTAAGCATTAGCACCAACTAGTTGGTTGGTTACATATCCACTAACAACTAAAAGGAACATATATTGATAATACATTTGTCACACTGCAAAAGAAACGTCATTTTTATAGGATATTCCAGTATATCTCCAGTTACCTTTCTTCATCAAACTGTTAATATCATAGCCCATACACATTGTAACCACTTTTTTAGCATTCCATTTTGTCACATAATGCCATCTGTAACTGTTCCATTCCATACAATCTATTTACTAGAAAAAAAAAATTACAATAATAGATATAGGCAATATTTGAGATATCGTATAATGAGGACACATTGATCAACAATTTTTTAGAGAAAAAACACAAAAGAAACTTTAATACCCATGCCATATTTGTCACTAGTATCAGAATGCAGGATCTAAATTCCAGAATAACTAAACTGCAAATATCAAAGTCAGTCATAATCTTCCCACAATTTATTCCATATATGCAATTATATTATTGACTGCTTATAAAGAAGAGACATTATTCCTTTTTTTCCATAATGCAACGTTGACCACCTTGTCATCTTCGAGCAGTAGCTTTGAGATGATTAATTTATGAATGAATGTATCTGACCCTTGATATTGGACTGTAGACTTGGTGCTGGAGCTGTAGCAAAGGAATGGAAATGCTTGCTCATGGTGTCTGATAATATCATCTACGTTCTTATGCATGTGTGGGTGATTTAGTAATAATGAAATCGAAAAGATGGAAGTAATGAGGTATCCATATTATTTCTGTGTAATATGTGTGGGCAGTAAAATGTTGTGTAACATTTCTAATCAGTAAACATAATTTGTTCTATTTGCAAGTGTTATTTGAATTTTAGAGAATTATTCTGTCTCCATGAACAATTAATTGATCCAGAAGCAAATGTTGTGAGGTGGGCAGAACCTCGTTTATTATGAGAATACATAGCAAGAACTACAGTTAGTATGAGAAATCTAGCAAAAACATTTGATCCCAAATCTTAACCAAAAAGGTAAACAATGATTCATTTGGCCAAATGTTTCAGAAGCTTGACAAGGACTAACGATTGAAAATTTAGGCTGCTAAATTTTAAAAGATCCAAAAAAAAGGCCAAGGAACAAGAATAGGAAGGGGAGGTTTCCAGAAGACAAAGCAGAAGCAAAAAATTGCAGATACTTAAAACTAGAGTCTGGTTTTAGATGTTGTATTCTCATTCACATACTAACACTATTTTCCAGTCCCAAGATTACTGGCTACTATAGTTCACACCAAGAATTTTTGTTTTCTGATAAGTATCATGAGTGATGCTTGTAATAGAGCTTCAATAGCCCTACCTTTCTATAACATTATATACCATTAGAAGTTAGTTAAACCAGTAAAGCAATGCCGAAGCAGGGCCCCTACCTCCTCCATTATTATGGTCAAAAAAGGTCCCTCTTACATTAACACCTTTCAATTTTTTTTTTTAATGCTATCAGCCACCTCAAAACTGTTCCAGAACTGAGCCTGCTTTTTCCAACTGAACAAATTATTATTGAGTCCAATTTAAAACCAAAACATATCATAGTGATTAGATGGGTTGAAATGGATTTATGACATGAGATTGACTTCACATCCAGTAATCCCATCATTAACAATTTTGAGAATTCAGGATATATTACCTAGAGATATCTCCATTTTAATTCTCTTCCATGGACCTTTTCTTCCAACTAAGTGCAGTTTTTGGAGAGTAAAAGCACCTAGCCACTAGATTCATCAGAGTCAAACCTCATAGCATCGGATGGTGATAGGTAGGAATAGCCGCTATTCTGGAAGCAGCTCTTCCTTGAGAAATCCACCCATTTCCATCCTCCAAGAGTGATCAACTAGAGCTGCTAACTCTCTGGAGACACCAGAAGGTCCATAAGGAAAAGAATTACCATATGCATTATGTCAAAGAAACAGAGATAAGCAAATACATGTTGCGGTGCCTTGTAACAGTTTACATTCAGCAAATTAGTTCATGTTTATGGAATTCAAGAATGAAATCGATCTTGGATGCAGAAAACAGATTCAGCTATAGAACAATAAAATGCAGAATGGCATGGGTTGAGTCCAAGCCATCACACTAGACGGTATCATAAAGATAATATCATAGTACAATAATTTCTTGGAGCTCAGCATTGATCCTTTTCTCTTTCTTCATTTCTGTTTAGAACACGGTCTATCTGGTTCTGATGGTGTTTAAATTCAAAAATTGTTAAAAAGTGTATGCAATAGGGAATTGTAAGGCTATGTCCCTGACTTCTTATAGGTGAAATCTAATTTTAACACATAGGACAACAACAGAAAGCTTTAAAACAGACATCTCTCCCCATCAATTATAGTGCTTAATCATTAGATTACTAGTTGTAAATCAAAGTAAAATGTAAAAGAAAAAGAAAAACTTTGTGTTCTTTGGAACTTACAAAAGCCTTTAAGTTACAGTACTTACTTGAGGTCATGACTGACAACGAGTAAGGTCAATTCTTTCTTCAGCTGCTTTAAAAGCTTTACGACATCAGCTCGAGCCTTCCAGTCTGATATTGAAAGCATTATTGACAATATTCAACATAGTTATTTCAACCAGCTGGAAAATATTCCAAAGGAAAAGGCCAAGGTATGTATGAAGCATACAGGAGCACACTAACCATATACACAATAAAGTTTGTAAAAGTGAGGTGTGTCAGTGTGCTGCAGATTAGCATTACATTTTAGAATTTCAAGCTAAAGACTCATTTGAAATGGGAGCAAGTATTAAATTGAAGTAGAATGAAGTGATCCGACCAACCCCTGCACTTTCGACAAGGTATGATCAAGGGTTCAAACACTAGTGCATAAAGGGTTATTAAAGTGGTAAAACTTTTATTGTGAAACTTCAGCCATCCTTTTAATGATTTCATATAGATTCCAGAGCAAGAATTGACAGAAAAATCATTGCAGTGTCTTAGAAAACAGTGCAGCAGAATTCTGTAGGCTTCATGTTTGATTATTGATTAAAATCTACTTAACTCTGGTGTTCACAAACCATCAATTAAACAAGGAAGATAACAAGTGAATTAGGAACCAAAAAGAAAAAGATGGAACTCATACCGAGACCAGCGAGAGGTTCGTCCAATATCAATAAATCAGGAACTTGTACCTGAATATCAAAATACATTACTTTTGTCAACCATAGCATGAAATAGATAAGAAAAGTCGTAAAAGCATCAAATATTATGACTTTAGGTTGAAGCCTGTGATGAAATGAACCTAATCATGGACTAATAGTACGTTCTTACTAGTTGGATTGCTAAAGCAAGCCTGCGTTTGTAGCCACCACTAAGAGATTGAGGATCTTTGTCAAAGGGGATCCCATTTAATCCAACCTGAGGTAATTAAATTAGAAATATAATTTATTAAGAATAGGAAGTGGAAAGCAATATAACAAGCAAGACCTCAAGAGTGAGCATGCACACATATGCCTTAATTAAGAAGAGGAGGGCAAGTGGATGAAGGCTCACAAATTGCTTAATGGAAAACAGCGTTCATACCCAAGTAACAGCTTTCTGAAGATTCAGAGCAAGATACTCCTTCAATTGAAGGCTGCCCTTTTTCCTTGGCCATCCAAATATAACTTCATCAATTATAGTATCCGCCACAAAATACCTAGACAGCAAGAAATAATCCTTAGAAACTTTGACTATACAAAACCTTGAGAGAGTACAGGACATTTTCATATATTAGTCTAGGAAATCACACTTATCAAGGAACATGAGATATTTAACCCTCTTCCATGAATGGAATAGTGTGTTCCCAGACCAAGATTGCGAGCTAATAAACAATAAAGCTAACTTAAGAACAGAAATCTCTTGAAATCTACAATGACATGCAAGATTACATAATCACATATATATTTAAAAGATGCTAATAATATTGTTAGGAAACATCTTTCTTCAATATAAATTCAACTTCAAAAGCAGTGTATATGTGTTAGGAATAAATGAAATCATGAATATGGAATTAATATATTCAACTAAAAAGGTTCATTTGCAAATTAATTTTTCATATTTGGACTTTGCAATTAAATGTAAAATTCATTTTGAATATGTAGCAACACCAGCATGAATCATGAGTTCATTAGCTAGCCCTTTTAAGTTTACATTTCAATTTGCAAATTCTTTCTATTTTGGTTGAATTTTTCTTGAGTAACCAACTCCATAGAATTAAAAATTTAGAACTCCGAGTGAATGTTCATTAATGCCAACACCTCAAGTGTGCATTTCCAATTGAAAAAAAAAGCTCTTAATGATACCTCTCAGGAAACTGAAAGACAATACCAACTCTTTCTGGAGATAGCGGTTCACTAGATTGATATGGATTACCATCATTCCTGTATCTTTGGATGCAAATGGAACCTGAAGTTGGCTCACTTAACCCTGCAAGAAGCTAACACAAAGAACATACCAAGTTAAAGATTTCTAAAACTAATAGTAACAACATTAAACACATCTAGAAGATCAAACATGAAGCAGAAAGCCACAGACCTGCAAGAGAGTAGTTTTTCCACTTCCACTCTGACCAAAAATCAAGCCAAAACTGAAACGTAATGGACCCAAAAAAATTAAGCCCATGAAATATATTCATTTTATAACCATCAATAACTACATTAGAAACACAAGAACTACCTCTTCTCCGGTAAAGAAAAACTAACTTCATTTAAAATGTTGAGCTGGGTTCCAGGAGGCCTATAGCTAACATCCCTAACCTTAGATTACCAAACAATAATGGTCTCAGTATTAACCTAATTATGCTTGGAATAAATTAACAAATGACCAAAAGAAGAATAAAATCAAGCAGGGAATCATCATCATCATCATCATCATCATCATCATCATTTGGTAACTAACTTCGAAGCAAGAAAAATCGCAGGAGATTGTGGGAGATTGATGAAGTCTGTTGAAACTCAATTTCCTATTAATAAAAATCAAGCAAAGGCTGAATGAAATGAATTAGAAATAATATTAAGTGAATAAAAAATAAATAACAGTTAAATATTGAAATCGAGAAATGCTCGCCTGTAGCGTGATTTGGTTGACAAATGGGCTGGCAATAGCAGTGGTCTCCGACTAATAACTGAAGCGATCGTCGAAGTCGAGGTGGCCATTTCGGATGCCGGATTATGAGCCACGGTGACCGACGTGGATGAGGCTTCGGAGCTAGATTATACACTCTTTAGGTTTAACCCCGGATAGGAGAAATTCTTTACGTTATGGATCATTAAATCTTCTGAGAAGCACTTGTTTTAGATCCAAACAAGCCCAACGATGAGGCCCAACCCATGAAGATTGAATCCTTTTTTCTATTTATTTTAGTTTCTTAGTTATGTACAACGGTTACCAATGGCCGCTGTAGCTGATAGTTGTTAATTATTAAAACGGTTATTTAATAAAAATTTATATCAATAAAAGTATAATTATATTTATAAATTGTTTTTTATATGTAATATTTTATAAAGTAAATATTATTTTATTTTAATTATTATATAAATATTTAAAAATGTTTTTTATGTAATATTTTATAAAGTAAATATTTTTGTTTTTAATATTATATAAATAAAAGGATATTTAATTTAATTTTGATTATAATATATATTTTAAATAAATGAAAGATATTAATTAATTTTTTATAATAATATTTAATAATTATTTATTATTTTTAAATAATTAGAAATAAAATGTATCCGGATGGATGGGCTATATGGTTACTCGTTGTATGAAAAAACTTTGTGATATTTGGACTAATAGATAGTTTCGGCCTCAAAGGAAATGTTGCCCAATTTTCGGTAAATATAATTATAAGATTTTTTTTTGAAAGGAACCATAATAAGATTAAGATAATGTTAATGAATTAGAAAGTATAATAATTTATAATACAGATATAAGAAGGAATACTAAATTATGGTACACCAAGGCAGAGCCTAATGGTAAGTGCATATAGGACTCGTTAATAGATTTGAGTTCGAATCTCCTTCCCCCAATACTCAAAAAAAAAATCCTAAATTATGATTCTATATTTAGGGTTTCTGTCACGACCCGTTTCCGTGGGCCGGACCGGCACTAGAGCCCAGGTAAGCTTAAGGCTCCCGAGGCCCGTAGTAAGCCTGAATCACAGCCCTGAATCACTAATTTATTATTTCAATATAATTTCAAAAACATTCAGCCCATATTATAAAAAAATTAACCTCAATCCTTTTTATTAAATCTGGCCCAAAATTTACGCATACAAAACATTCCAACGCGTTCGGGACCCAATTAATAGTACATTCACATTATTTAATATGGGGCTCAATAATTATATCGTCTACTGTTAATACCGACTTAATTGGTAACGCAAAAAATTCTACAACTGCGGAGTCCATAACCTAATAGATATACATAGATTTTTAATATATCTAGAACCATTAGCAAAATATTTATTGCTGGTCTAGAAATTTTTCGTTCTTAGCTCATTCGAACGAAAACATAAGCTTAACCGAAATTAAAGAGGACAAGAAACTTTATCTTCCTCTGAAAAATTATAACAAAGATTATTTCGAGCTTTCTAAGGAAGTAACTATTAATTGCACAAACACCACCATTCAACCACATATGTGCTAAATATATCCAATCTAGTCATTCCTGACTAGTTATATGCCTCACGCAGCCCGAATGTCAGCACAAATGGACATTGTACCAAGCACTCGACAATCATCTTAAACATCCCTTCATATAATCACATCACGTTGAAAATTAGTCAGTGGACGTCACCGAACCCCGAGACGTCCTCCACATTGACTCATCCTTCCCATGCTGCCCAGGGACCGATCCCCCATACTGTCCGACCGTCTAAATCCTCACGATTGACCAGCCCATCTCATTGATTTTCTATCCTCTCTTTTCTTTTTCATTTACCAACAGGAGGCCAACCCAGGTCGTCTCCATCAAAATCTAGATTCATCAGGCGCTCACACAGTGCAGGCCCACCCTGCAGCATGCTTCGATTATCCATCTAGATTATCCGGCAGCTAATCGCGCCCAAAAAGAAGCCAACCTTTGGTTAATGTTAGTGCAGTAACGAACAGTAGTAATTAGTTGCCACACGGGGCGCCATTTATTCTCCCCATTTAACCGGCTAACAAGAACATGAATCAGGTCCAATATACAGAATTCAGAATATTACAGCAAATCAGCAAATCAGGATCACGTATAACAGAAACAGTCTTTCACAAAACCCATGGGACCCACTTCAATCCCAAACTCACACACAAACAAAGCCAAGCATAAAACCAACACAATTATCAAACTTGCATTTAAGTGCAGACATATGATAGGTTGGATCACGTAATAAAATGCACAAACTAACAAACCTTCTTCAAGTGCCAATTAAATTACAATAACAAATAATAGTAAGAATAAACAACAATAAATAAATATAAATAATGGAAATACAATAAAATTGGACTATTCAATGAATAATAATTGAAAATATTAAAATAATTAGAGCCACTCTATTTAATATTTATTAAGTTATAGAGATAATTCTAATAAAACTTATTAATTATGATATTTATAAACTAGTCTAATTTCTATCGAAATTTCAGGCAGCACCTCCCCTAAAAGTGGACTTATTCTACCTGCTCAATATCGCAATATTACTATATAATTTATCAATCAATGTACAAGCCATCCGTCTGCAATCAAACCAAATTTAAAGTCCCATCCTCCTTTCAGTTAGCAAGTATTTCAACGTTCACTAAATAAATCTACAAATTATAATAACTACAACATGTTCCCAATGTTGTATTAATTGTCCTCTAACTAATTATCAAATAAATGTAACACTTATAAATAAAACTTGCGTCGCATAAGTTAGAATTTAAATAGCACATAAAAATCAATGTCACCTAAATAAAAATCAATATATATATGTTTTTTCTAGTTAAGTTATCTAAAGGCACCCGTTACCTGAAAATAGCTGCTGCCCCAAGAGAAAGAAATTAGCTACAACTTGCATTAAACTTTTATACAGCTAAACAATAACTCATTCCCATCAAAATTTCTAAACTTTAACAACAACATATAATCAATATCAATGCAAAAACTTCAAGGGAAAAGCTTGAGATGTCGCATTCCATCTAAAGTTTCCAACTTCTTTCGCCAAACCTGCTTTGAAACTAAATACATTGCTTCATATAGGTTTAAAGACTTCAGTTATATAGTTTTCATAAAGCTTCATTTTCCTCCATTTTTGGCTACCTCTTACCATTTCCTTTTAATTAAAGCAAATCATGATTTCAAATTGTTTTATCTAGCAAGAATAATTTATTCGAGTACTTAACCTACCTTGCTAGTCACTGGTTAATTTAATTGTTGTTAATAATTTATGCTATGCTCATACTACTATGGAATTATTACTAAATTTATACATTAGATTTTAGCTAGCAATGTCTCTTAACAAATTCCTAGTTAAACATGTATAGCAAATAGCTAGATTTCTCATTCACTAGCCAAAACTGTTAACCATAATAACCCACTCAACTTCATTCAAGAAACTCAAATTAATAATCCTAAGTAGCTATGGCTTTATCTAATTCCTGAGCAAAAAACCACCAGACAGAGCTAGCTAGAATGTACATTCTATATACCCATATTATTTAATTCATGATACCTTTAATTAACAAATTTAAGGAACTATAAACATATTTATAAATGGGTTAGAACTTTAAACCTAGACTCAAACATATAGCGTCGAAAAAAATTGAATTTCCGAGTTAGGGATGATCCGGGAACACAGCTCCAGCTATTCTACATTTGCCCCCCTGCGGAGTTGTAGGAAGGACGGTAAAGCGGTGGGGAGTCGCCAGAGGTGTTAGAGGTGTAACCATCCAGCCCTTGACTGGTTTCGCCGGAAAATAGCAAAGAAGACGGCGAGTCGACGTGTCCCGATCGATCTAGACGCATCTCGCAAGCTCACTTAGTTTGCTGCGCTAGCCTGAGGCCACAGAGTGAGGGGAAAGGAGCGCCACAGGGCAACGGCAAGCGCGGAGCGATGAATGGCCGCTCGCCGTCAGCAGCTGCCATTGATAAGCAAAAGAAAGGGGAGGGGTGAAGGTCGCGCACATGCGTCTGGCGCCAGGGAAGAAGAAGGGAAAAGAGAAAAGGAAGGAAAAGAAAAGAAAAAAAAATCTTGGGGCTTCTAGACCATTCCGGTTCGATTTGAACCGGTTTGGTCTAATTCAATGTCTTGGCTCGATTTGCTTGGTTCTCGGGTTTTTCACTTGGTTTTCCAATTATTCGTGTGGTTTTCGAAAAATCAATTTGATTTCTGAATCCGGTTCAATTCATTTGATTATTTTAATTAAGTTCCGTAACATTTCCTCCTTTAACCAAAATAAAATATAAAAATAAAAATAAACTATAATTAGTAAGGAGATTTGTTTTTAGGGTAAATATATATATATTAATCGCTGGGATTTACTTTAAACTGTTTACGATTCGAAAATTTGTCGCATTTTTTGCTTGGGCCCAAATCGTAAAAAACTTTGACTCAAATTTAGCGATCTTTACAACCCATACTATCAAAAATTCAGATTTTTGATTTAATAAAAATTCCTAAGTTTTGAAAATAAAAATTCGGGATATTTCAGTTTCCTAATTTAGATTTCTTCCAAAATATCTTATAGATTTTGGGGAAATACTTCATCAGCTAAGAGATGATCGAGAAATAGACCAATTACTAAGGGATAGTTTATTACCATTTTTATATATATAAAAGAGATAGAAAAGAGATGCAATAATAAAAACATGTTTAAAAGAAAGAGACATGTAGGAGAGATATTTCTAGAAGAGCGAGATATGTAAGAGAGAGAAGAGGAAAGCGTATCAACAGAAAAAAATAAAATCGCGTGAGGCATGATTTATAGTTTCATAAAACACGTTTTTTATTTTTTAAACTGTTTTAAAAAAAAAAGTTAAAAAGTAAATTTAAATATTTTTACAACATAAACATGTTTTTTTTTTATCAAAATTAAACGGAAAACTAAAAACCACAAAAATAATAATGGCGACCTAAATAAAGCAAAATAATTGTTAAGGTGTTAAGAAAATAAGCAAAATGATGCTTAGGTACTAATGGGTTATTGAAGAGACATGGCCCCTAAATTTTAAATAAAAATTAAAGAACAGTATAAAACATCTAACGGTAAAATCCAAAAAAAAAAAACATAAATTCTCTTTTTATTTTATTTTCTCTTTCAATCCCTGAGAATTCAAACAGAAAGATCTTACGGAATTTGTTTTGCTATAAACTGAAATTCCCTCACAAACTTGATCAAAATTTTGTTACAGAACATCGTAAACGACTATCTATGTATTTTTTGAATTTTGTTGCAGAACAATTTTTGAATTTTGTCTTCCTAGTCTAATTGCTCATTCGGCAAGGACTTGCAACCATTTTATCACCTTGTCTATGAATTTTGTACATTAAAATAATAAAAATTTTGAAAGAACATTACCTTGTCGTGCAACTTATCATATATATTGAATTGAATCAATTTTAGACAGACTGATTTATGATATCACAAAATGCATTCATCTCTCCCGCAAACGGAAAAAAAAAAAAAAAAAAATTTTATCATTTCGATGTTCATCATATTCTTAGCTGTGATCAAACTGATGGGAAAAAAAAAAAAAAAAAAGAGCTATAACCCCTAAAAAAATTTTATCATTTCACCATTTCATCAATATCCTGACTTTGATCAAACTGATAGCCATATTGCTGCTAATTGTGTATTAAATCTTGACTACCATCAAATTCATTACAAGTAACATGATTTCAACTGGCGACTTGAATAATTACAGAGCTAGCACAAAATTTGTATGCCGTCTTTTGATGGAAGGGAACAGCCTTACTCACGACAGGCACTCAGCTAAACATTCAGTAGGACCTTGCCTATCACCGGACAGAAATATTAAAAAAGAAAGCATGATATTTTTGGGGGAAAGGAACTTCCTTCTAATAACGTATAAAGAACGGACAAGATTGTGATCCAACCACGTAATATCCCATTCTTGCATATGTCTCAAATTCTTGGAGCTGCAAGAAAAACACCCAAGTGAGTCAGATAAACTGCCAGTCATCTAACAAAAAATGGCTAACTAAAATCTGTCCATTATAAGAGCATATACAAATTGACAACAATAACATAGAGCTTACCTCCACCCATTGTTGCTTCGGGCAGCCGTTCAATTGAATATTTGTGTTGAGTAATATACATAATTGGCACACCAGGGATCTGCACATGAACAGGGCCCTATCAGAATTCAGAACCAATTTTATCAATGCACAGTGAATGTCTTATCTGTTGAAAGTCACCTTGCGTATCCTTCGCTTCAAGTCTCGATCACATGTAGCAACAATGTAACACTTATGCTGTTTACATCAAACACAATCAATCAATCACAAAAATGTTATCATGAAAAGCAACAACATAGCTGATTGTAGCCACTAAAGACATTAAATTTTCTCAACATAAAACCAAAATGCATAGTGATATAATGGAATTAATAAATTTCACAAACCAAGAACAATGTCACAATCTAAAAAGAAGTCATTTCCAAATGGATGCCAGCATAATATCTTATCACAGCAAAGTTCTAATATTACAAATTCAAACTATAACCAGAAAAACATTGTATTTGGAGGACACTACCAAAGACTTTAGGATGTTATGATTCACATAAAAATATTTCTCCCTTTTTAAACCCCCTTTGTTGAGAGATGGGTTGATGGGAGTCTGTTGGGTGGGCCACATGGGTGTTTTGTGGAAGCATGCCAGGCGAACACAAAACTGAAATTCTTAATGAAAATAAAAGAGATGCGCATAACCGTACTTACATGAGTAACCCTATCAACAATGCAGTCATCAGCATAAGTTCCTTTGTGAATACAAGTTAGTCTCTCATAACGTGGATCCTTAGCAATCCTGGTAAATGAAAAATAGAAATATGAAATCAATGTTCGTCCGCAGAAAATGAAGAACTTGGCAATAGGAATGGCATTAAAATTTCTAATAAAATTCTAACAACCAAAAGTAATGATGTTCCCAATTTAATTTGAATCAGTTGTAGATCCAGGAGATGCATACCTCAAAGCTACGCGGTATTTCTGACCTAACTTCTCAAGCTCAGCCATCACACAATCAGTGATACAAGGTGTACCTGTACATCCAAAAGGAGGAATAGATTAACAAAATTGGAACAACAAAACCTGAAATTGGTCTTATTACTCATTTTTTAAATTACTCCAATGATCAATGTATCCTTCTTACTGAGCGCATGCATACTAACAAGAGCACCAAAATTTTGAAACAGATAATAGAAGAACAATCACCATTGCATCTTAAGGCATCACTAAAATAAAGAAAAAGTAGCCAGGTTTAGAATACGAAAGATATCAGAGACTGAGAAACTCACATTTCGCATACAAACAGTCTATCATTGCCTTCTCTAAATCCAACTGCAAAGAAAACAATGGAAAAAGGAAATTCAACAGAAGCAATAGATTGTAAGAGCTAAATAAAAGGGTAACCAATTCAAAATACAACAGAATGAACAAGTGAATGCAAAAGTATACCACTATTCAAGATTTTCATTTTTTCATTTTCATTTTTTTTTTTTTTTTAATGTCACATATCAGCTCTAAATTACAAATATATTTAACTCCATTTTGACTTTTTAAGTTCTCTCTCCTATTATAATCAATATAATCGTACTACAATCAAATCAAGATTGGATGAAGCATAATCAAATGATAGCAGTAACCACTCACTTTATTCTGGATGGAAAAATTAATAAAGTTGGTATCCACCAAAACCCTGTATGGTGGCCCCAATGCTGTGTTATATTGGAAGTAAAGAGCAGAAGAAACTTGTGGCCTAATTCAAAATAAAAGAAAATAGAATCAAAAAATTGAATAATTAAATAAAAACTAACATAACTTCTTAACTTAAAAAACTCTATACAAGAAAATCACAACTGTAACATAAAATAAAAAGACTTACACATTCCGAGGGAGCTTGTCTTTAGAGAGATCTTTTTTCTTTGGATTCAAAACATCTTCTTTGTATCTAGATACACCATTAAACAAAACAATCAACACAAGATACAAGTTAATAGGTGAGTGCATAAGAAGAAGGACAAAGAGCTTACTTTTTAATTGCTTTTGAGGTGACTATCTTCTTCATCACTGCAAATTTAGGGCCTTTTTTCGCTTTCCCCATTGTCTGGACTGGAAAGTACAGATGTAAGACTCTGATACAATAGAAAAATATGTCCTGGAAAGATAGATAGAAATAACTAGCTTTTCTTAGGTTATTTTGACAGTAAAGTTGACCAAGAAAGAAAGAGATGCAATTCCGTGGGTATTAGGTTTTTCTAGTCTAAACAGGCTAATTAAGAGGTAGGAATAGTTAATTACCAATTTGATATATCAAAAAAAGAGAGAAGAAAAATATAGAGGGAGCTTTAGATTAATGGAAATGATAATCTACTTTCAAAGTCATTTATCAAACGTATTCAATGCATTGCCAAAAAGACTTGCAGGGATTCCACACCGTGTGGTGACACGCCATTAGTACCCTAAAATCATCAAAAGTAACGACAGAATAGGCACCCAAAATATAATTCTCTCTAATTTCTTATGAGTAAATGAGATAAACTCTGCAAATTGATTAGCGATAATAAGACAAAATGGGAATTTAGATTTCAGATCTACTGTCAACCTTTGAATAACAATTCAAAGAATATTGAGCATCATCCTTGATTATCTCGGCATAATTAAATAAAGTCGGGCATATTCAATCAGGATTGCTAATATTAGAATCCTTTAATAGCTAGTCAAAACAAGAAGTTCCATATGCAGAAACACAAAACAAAAACAAAAAAGCTAATAAAGCTTGAATTAACATTTTTAATAATAATTAAACATCATATCTAAACAACTGCCTTCAAAATCAAATCTTGTCTAAAATAAGAATAGAATAACTCATACCAGCTTGGAAATGTTTTGATTCAGAAATCTGCAGAATCGTAACCGAGGAAGAGGCTAATGAACTAGTGCGGCTGCCTCGTTGCCTGTGAAGATGAGAAGGTTAATAGAAATATCTAATAATCGGTTAAGCACCAACTACTTTCTTTTTTTAACTCAAAAACCCTAGCCAAAACCTCTCTCCCCAATTTGTGAAGCGGTGGCGTAGAAGGTATAAGGACACTCTTTCCTTCTCGGTCAAACCGAACCGGGACACTTCGGTTCGGCTTTGCGGTTTGGGCCGTGGTTTGCTGAGAATTAAAAAGCGAAAGGATAGAAAAGAATAAAAATCCTAACTATAAATTTCCAGAAGCAAAGATGTATAGTATGCTAATAATTCATAATCTTAAAAACAAATAAATAACCTTTAATCGTTCGGTCTTTCAGTCTTTAGCGATCCTTTAACGATGAGAAATGCCGCTGTAGAAATAATCAACTTTGTGGTCGTCTTGTCGTGGGATAGTAACTCAGATATTGTTGTTGTTTGGTGATGGGTATTAATGGATTAATTAGGTTTGGAGTAGAAGAAGAATACGAGAGAGGAAGGGGTATTGGGTACTGGGACTGCAAGAGGTTGGAGAGAGAAAGAGGCAGGACAATAGGTCTTTGGCTTTTCCATTTTCATGTTTCATTTATATCGACTAAACCACAGCGTTTTGATAATACAAGTTATTAGACCTATTCGGTTTTCTTTGTATAAAAATTGGGTCCAAACCAATAAACGGGGTCGAGCCGAATTATATTGGTCAGATTGGCTGAACTGAATAGCACCGGTTTAGTTCCAGCCCAACATTGCTTTCTCTGCTAAGGTTGTGTTCGGCAACAAATTTTTAAAAAAAATTAATAATTCGGTAATAGGTAACATAACGTTTGAACTAGCTTTTAGAAGTTATAGTAATTTTCGGATATTGATAATTTTAGTGCCTGAACTCTTTGATTTTTTTTTTTTTTGGTTTGAGTGCCTAACCGGAAGACTTTTTCAATTGAGTGTCTGAATAATTTTAAAAAATGCAATCAGGTATATTCAACAGACACCTGTCACCAAATTTCTGACTCCGCATATGTGGGACCCACTTTAATGATGTGGCACACAAAATGTAAAAAAACAAATACAGGTCGAATTTGCATGGAATCTCAAAAATACCTTTAATTATTTTCCCCTAACATGCTCTAGCACCATTTTTAGGGTATCGTTTTAGTCTTTCTTTGCATATAGATAATGCAAAAGAGGATTCCATGGATTATCGCATCATGTAGATGTGGATTAGGATGCCTTGTGAGAACTTCATGGACAGAATGGAATCCTGGAAGGCGTTTCGTGGCTTGTGAGACTCGATTGGTAAGTATGCTAGTTTGTTCTCCAAAATTGAATCTTTCATGCGTGGAAATTTAAAAATTTTAGTTAATTTCTTCTAGTTCTCTTCCCTAAAGGTGGATCGTAGTTGAGGATGTGATTATTTTGAGTGGATAGACCCGGTAATGGGAGATAGAGCATCGAGAATTATACCATGCCTATTAAGGAGCAATTGCAGAGAAGTTAGAGGCAAGAGAAGCTACTTTAGTTGTGGGTGGTCATCTCATTGCTCATTAGCACTTTCAAGTGATCTGACTTGTAATAGCTTGTAGTAATGATCATGGGAGGCGATGATAAGTGTTGTTTTGGTGTAGTGATGATTTTTTTGTAAGTAAACTATTGTAATTGACATTAGGATTGGTGATGTTCAGCGTAGGATTTCAGTGAAGCCTTACCATGATTCTCAGATTTGCCTTTTGTAATAAATTGTGATGGAATGGAAAAGAGACAAATTATGGAATTGCTTCTTTTGTATTTGTTATTCTTACACTTCTTACACATGTTTGATAAAATGCCTAAAAAATTTTTCATACGTTTTGTGTTTGCATTCCAAAAATGAAAAGCAACAAAGTCTCAAAGGCCATTACATCTTGCACTGTAACTGTTTGACAAAATGCCTAAAAGAAAATCATCACTTCAATACACATGTAATCATTTCATTTCAATTCAATTAACAAAATGCATAAACAAAATAAACAATTGCACAAACTCCTCATTTAGATAGCTGAATTTGGACAAGAATAAAAATCATTCCATTTCATTTGAGGGAAAAAGCCATCCATCATATGAAACCATCATATAAATATTAAATTAGCTTTCTTTTTTCTTTGCATGAATAACTCATTTATTAGTTAGAATAAAAATTTTAAATTTTACATAATACAATTGAATCATATTGCCTATGCATCGGATGCACTTTAAATTTTAACAATTTATTCAATACACATATTTTACAACTCAAAATTAAATATATTATACAGCCACGCAAAGCGCGGAAAATCGCCTATATATATGTATATATATAAAGGAGAATCATGGTCATTCTCTTGTATGCTTATGTGTCGTCTCCACCAAAGAAAGAAAGTTCATAGAATTTGAGTATTTGATTTTTAGTTGGCTAGAAAAAATTTGGCTCTTAAAATTAAATTTTATGAGTTGTAAATTAGAAAATGTAACTTCTTTACTTAATATTATTTTTATTGTCTCAACATTATAAAATATACTACATTCATTCCATAATACTTGTCATATTTTAAAAAATAATTAGTTTCAAAATACTTATCACATTTGTGGTTTCAAAGAGTAATAAAATTCTTTTTCCGTATTTACCCTTTGTATATGACCAATAATTATCACTTGAATTAAATAGTTTTCTTAGAGATTTAGTATCAAATTAAGATAATATATACAATTTACTCAATAATTTACTGTAACTTAGATAAATTTAATGATATTTTTAAGAGACATGAAATTTCAAATGTAATAAGTATTATGAAACAGAGATAGTAATTAATGTTACCTAATTATTATTTTTCTCACCTTCTTCATTTTATACAATTACTCAAAGATTTTCATATTTTTTTTTATGAAATTAATTAATGATGATTTATGCATTACACATTGCGAGTGCCTTATTCCTTTCCACTTTTTTTTTTTTTTTATCTCATTTAATTAAATTGATAATGGTTTGTGCATCAATTGGGATAATTTTATTTATTGTGTTTCGGAGTATAACATGTAAATATAAACATATTTATATGCATATTAAAATTCAATTAAAATTTATAAATCTAAGGAGCTTTAAAATTGAAAGGTTAAAAAAATGCATAAAATTATAGCTTTCTCATCAAATATTATCCTCTAATTTATGGCTGTTTATGAATTTAGTTTTCATGAATTTTAAGCACAAATTATGTCTTTATGTGGCTATTGGTATTCCCTATATTAAAAATTAATATAATATGTCTTTTTTAATGTATATATCACTAAAATTAAAATTCAAAAAAAGAAAAATATGCCTTCATCAAATTAAAAATTAAAACCTCTTCCTCTTCTTATGATCTGTTTACAAATTAGCCTCTATAAATATTCTAATTTATAATTTCTCTAACCCATAATTTTTTCGCATTTCATTTTTTTTTTTTTTTAAATATGCCTTCATCCAAATAAAAATTAAAAACCTCTTCCTCTCTTACTGATCTGTTTACTCAAATTAAGCCTCTATACAATATTCTAAATTATAATTTCTCTAACCATAATTTTTTCCGCATTTCATTTTTTTTTTTTTTTTGTGTCTACAATTATGCTCCTTGCTTGACTATATGAAGACTCTTTTTACATTTCATTTTTTTTTTTTTTTGTGTCTACAAATTATGTCTTGCTTGAATATATGAAACTCTTTTATTTCTTCCATTCGTATTTTTCCTCCCTCTCTTTTCTTTATCTATCACGTCTTTTATCTCATACCGATTCTTAAGTTCAATTTATTTTTCTGAACAATTCAAAGTGCACTTTTATTTTTTTTATTTTGTATTATGTTTTATTATATTACTATTTTTTGTATTGATTAAAATCTTTAAATTTTGATTTTCAAGTCATGAAATTTGAATAAATTCTTCTCCAAAAAAAAAAAAAGAAATTCAAGTAATATATATATATTCTCAAAAAAAAGAAATTTACATATCGAAAAATGCAGCTGTTACATTATTAGTTATTAAAATAGTTCATTTTATTATTATTGTTATTGTTTTCAAAACGATAACTATTATTAATATTTGTATTTTCTTATTACACCTATTTTATAATTCAAATAAAATAAAAATATCACATATTTGTACCGTCTAGTTTATATATAATATAGATTGTTTCTTGATCTGAAAATGATTAATCTCTCGTCCAATCATTAAATGGAAATAGTAGAATACCATTGATAATACCAAAAACTTATTATACTCAGCATATTATTTCTAAAAGACACTTTATTGAAGTTAAATTCCAATTGATGAAAAAAACAATAACTCTCATTCTTAATAAATAAAGGTTTTGTTCACCAATTATTAGGAAATACATATATAGGTTTTGTTCATCAATGATTACTTCCTTTTTTTTCTCCTCTGTTTGCTGTGATGCATAGAAAGGGTCTCTTTAAGGAGAAGGGACATGAATCGCTTTATGAGTAAGCAATGTAAGGCTAGTTCTTGCTTTCTATTGTCAAACATCTCTAAATCCAGCTCTATTCATGAACCTAACTTTCTTTTAATAGTTAAAGTTGACACATGTTAATAACTATAAATTGCAAGAGACTATACACTTTCAGGAGAAATTCATGAATATATTTACACATTTTGTCAACCAATTATTTTAAGTTAATAGAAAAGAGCTCTCAAATATCATATTAAACCAATTTAATTTTTTTAATCCTCCTAACTGGTTTTAAATGATGTAAAATTAAGGTTATGTTTGACAAAGTAATTTTATTGTTTTGACTAATCAAATCAATCCGATAACATAGTGTTTAGACTAATTTTTAGATGTCAGAGTAATACTTTGTGAAAAGTTAACTCGTGTAACATTTAACTTTTAATATTTTATGAAAACTATTCAAACAGCTAATAATTAAATGACACTAAAATAATTAATTTTATTAAATAGATCATGAATTAAGTATTAAAAAAAATTTATTAAAACAGTTAATAATTAAATAATATTAAAATAATTAATTTTATTGAATAGATAGTATATTAAGTATTAAAAAAAATAATAAAAACAAAAGGGAAGGCTGCTGCTAGATAAGTCATAAGTGGATGAATTTAATGGTTACTGACGTTCCACAAAATTGTGGGGTCCAAACGTGGAAATCAGGGAATGATACGTTGCTTTCAGTAGCTTTTTCTTTTCTTTTATTTTTTTCAACTGGATAGTCTGCCGAAAAGATGCCACATTACCTTACACCACTCTAGAGGCCCAAATTCAAGAGCCAGCTGGGTTTGTTTGGGCCCTCAAAAAGGTTCCAATTGTGGTGAGACCCACTTATTGCCTAACCTTACCAAAAGAAATATTACAGGGCATAAGTTGTTAGAGAAAATCTCACGTACGTCTAATCTAATATTAAGATATCGACGGTATAAAATTATAAATGTTGTTTAAGAGGAAAAAAAAAAAAGATAGTGCCACTTTATTAGAATTAATTTTTACTCATTGATTTGATAATGTATAATGTAATTAGTGTAACTAAGAGTTACCAAGAACCTATTGATTAGGTTGATACGCGATTTTAATTTTCGACAAGCACATTTAGCTAGGAGAGCTACTAAGGGGATAAACGATCCCGACCAAAGCAATTTTAGTTGGGTGATAAGCAATCTCAATATCTATAAGGGTGAATACACAAGTTCGATCCTTGAGAAATACTTTTGTTGGGATGGAAGGACAAAAAACTTTTACACTTTACGGTTTAAAGAGAGATTGTTCTTAAAATCTTTTTCAGTAAATGACAATCAGTTAAAAACAATAATTTGAAACATTTAAAAAATTGTATAATTAAACCCATAAAATTTATTTCTAAAATGAATTTTAACTATTTTTAATAAATATTTTTGACATAATACTTATTTTTTTCTATAACTATTCAAATAATATTGTGAAAAAAGCATATACTTCTTCAACTAGATAGTGCATAAAAAAAAAGGACAACTAATGTGCACGTTCATATTTCTTTTAATGTTCATATTTTTCATGTTTCCCTAAAAATTTGTGGAAAATAGGATTCATGAATATGATAACTTGTTTTCTTGTACATTGACAGACAATTTCATTTTCACTCCAACAAATAATAATGGAGTATTGGAGTGGATAAGGATAAAGAGCTACTAAGATAATCACATATGGATGCTTTTTGTTGAGTGAAGAAATACAAATATTTGTTGCAACCCATGTGGCAGACATGTCAAGTAAACTAACTCATGAAAACTGCCAAAATACTTGATTGGTTAAAAAATTAAGTCATCAATATATAAAAAATAAAAAATATAATATTTTATGTGATTAATTAACATTTTATAAGACTTTATCTACATAATATTAAGTTATGAAAATTAGAAAATTGTTATGAAATAAATAGATGTACTGTATGAGCTAGAAATCTGTATTCTTAATTACTGCGAACTCTATCTTTCTGTTTTGGATAGATCTCTACTAGAGTTCCACTTATGTAATCATTAATAATAAATATACTCTTGTATTCTGTCTCTATTCTCTTTGCTTCTCTCCCTCTTTTTCTATTATTTTATAACATGTTATCAGTATCATTGTTTTACCACAATTTCGTTTTACCATTTTCATAATTAAAAGGATAACGTATGATCTGCAACAACTAAAATTAAGATCGAAGTATTTTAATTTGTTAAGTTTTAAAGGTATATTTATTATGAATTGATCCAATGATAATATATTATGAATCAT